AGACTTGCCGTATGGCTTAGCAGATGGCATCAGGGCTTTCTGGATTGGGCTCGCTAAATGCACCAGGTGATTTGGCCATTGAACCACATGTTCAGAAACAACAAAGGCGCGAGCGTAGTAATATCCCATGGCTTGGCCCATCAGGTTGTTAAAGCTGGTTTGGTTTCGAAGACCGAGGAGGGAAATCTCTGTCAGGTCGGGGGTAATATTGACACGTGCCCTATGAAGAAAAAGAACTATCAGCGATATTTCCTGAAAAGCAAAGAGCCACCAACGGAAGGTGATGGTAGGGAAAAGGAAATGCAGTACCAGACGTTGGGAATGGACAGGGGAAAAGCACTAGCATGACTTACAAGACATTGAGCGACTCGCAATCGAAAGTTTGCCATCCTATATAGAGGGTCGTCAGCGCATGAAAATTGCGGAATGCTTTGAAACTTACGTTCTCAGATATTGCTGTCCGCTGCAGGGGACTGTATCAACGATGACATCTATTTATCATCAACCATCAGTAGGCAGCCAATGAAGACAACTTGTAACTCACTTTGCTCGCAGCTTGGGTTATTTGGGATCCAGAAAGGTTCGCTCAATGGGTCCTCTAAGGGATACTGTAGCGGAGGCGGGCTGATATCGAGCATCTTCCGAGTTAGCATGACTCTAAATGACTAGGAAACGACACTCACTTGCTTTCTGAAGTCTTTATAATCGAGAAAGGCTAGGTCATTGCAATATAAAAGGTCAGCCTATTTCAATGCATGATTTGGAGGTCAATCCATACCAACGAGTAGCCGCGAAGACGAACCACGATCGACATTCTTTGGTCCAAAATCACAAAGGAATGCTTGCGAACGACTCTTCAGCGGGCGAAGGATCGGGTATTTATAGCTGCCCAGCCAGGCATTCAGTCTACGTCAATGAGATCACCATTGTGAATTGTGAGGGCTTAAACACAAACTACTCTTAAATTGCAGCCGGTTCAACATTTGGTTGTTCATCTGACACAACATTCGAACACAACATTCAAAGACATGGCATTTTTCCTGGAGACTCGATATATGCACTTCCTTTTATCACTGTTGGCACCGTTTAAACAGTGGTGAGCATGCCGCAGAAAGCATCGATGACCTGTTTCAACATTCACCACCATGGGCTCGTACGTTATTGCGACAGGTGAGGCGGCAACAGATCATGCCATTCCATTTCACCCACCAATGATGACCACGATACCCTACCCAATGAACACCTCATCAAAGATAGGCAAACACCATGCCATATTGCGACCCTAGATATCTACTATCCAAACGGCATGTTTCTTCATTGTTTATTTCGTACATCGGAGAAAAAGAAAGCACACCTACACAACATCAAGTAGATACAAGCTATAGTACGGCGCGGGACTGATTCACACAGCCCCACCTCACAACAGAGTCCCTTGTATAGTGGGTCAGATATTAGGTCGATTAGGTTTTCGTAGAACACCCTCTGCGATCACCCGCATCTTTGCAAAGGCATTACCCACTCCAATCTCCTGGGAACAAAGTGGATGGGGGGAAAGTGGGTAATACAACAAGGAAATAGTTATAAGCCAATTAGTGCCATCAATGGATCACATGCGTGCAAGTCGACTATGGAATGATTGGTGGATATTTGGCCATGGCTCCCAGGAGGCTGTGGGTCGTAAATATAGATGCGATCATTGGATACTAATAATAGATCGGAGGAAGAATGAGCCAATCGGTGCTATGAATGATCCACGTCTGCCACATAGTCCCTGTAGAAATGATTGGTCTAAATTTGGGCTGTGAGCTCCTGGGAGCCTGAGTCTACCATAACACCTCCCATAATTGGATAAGGATGAGTTAATCATGTCCACAATGTACCCACGTCTTCTCTCCTTTGAACCCGAGATAGAGACGACATTAAGAATTGGCCGTTGAAATTCAGGTGTAGTCTTTGTGGATATATTCAAAATACAAGAACTTTGAGTAGACCGGGTCACAGTATATCGTAATATTCATGGAAGATTCAATTGGAGTATAAGACACACAGCCGGGCCGGGTTTCTTACGAGAACCATACTAGAACTCGTGGTTCAGAAAATGTACTTTCCTGTATCAATTTCGACTGAAATTGGAATGAGATAGCATCTAGAGTTTCTGGTGACAGTGTCTCATGGTTATCAAATAGAGCATTGTTTACGGCGCGGGGAATAGTCCCTTGTCATCTGTGTCCAGATCACTGATGCAATCTGGCCTGCTCCAGCTCTACCATTCCCTTATTATACTCATGGTACAAGGTCCATCAATAATTGCGCAGACTTCCGAGTTCGGAAATAAGATTCTGTTGAGTATTTTCAAGTAGCGATACCCGCTCCTCAATTTGGCAAAATAAACGATAGATACGTGTTCTTGCTTGGTGTCCCCTTGGAGTTGCAAGAAAAGCTACTCATAATTAGTATGAATATTTTGATTGTCCACAGCAGACTCACGATAGCGCCTGGAACGGAGATCAGAAGCGAGGGCCGTGGATGACACATATCTGTTGGGGGTCATTTCGCAGGCGTCCTTTGCGGGTGTACGTCAGTCGGGAGTCTGATGGGTTACGATGGTCATAGAATTGATTGCACACTGGGTACTTATCTCTTGACCGAGGAGCCACAGGATAATTTATTTCTGCATACAGTACTTCTCATCCTACTCCCAAGATTCAAGTCACGCTTCCTTGAGCCCCGAGCCCGTTCCTATGGCAAAACAATCGCGAAGAGTTTTTTCAAGAGCAATGACGTAAAAGAGCAAGAGAAATTCATCTTTCTGTTCGTATGCTACCATATTATTTTCTCTCATCAATACTGAGCCATGAGCGGTACTCTTATGAAGTTAGACGCGAAATCCACACTCTTGTCTACGCCGAGACCAGAAACGTAGATGCAGACTGCAACTTTTCAGTCTAGAGCCATGCAATACATCCACAAGTGTTAATGTAGCCAGTAAAATGCATCAAATATGATTATGGAGTAAGGGGTATGAATTTTGCCGCTCAACTCGCACGTTTAGAAGTGCTAAGCCGAACCCCTATCTCCCCTTGAGCACACACAATGCGGAGTCTCTTCGTACATTCGTTGATTAACTGCACTCACCTTTTTAATTTATCGCTCTATTCAGGCTGCTTGTTACATATAGGTCTCTCAATGCTTCCGTGCAGCACCTTCGGTGCTAGCTAGGAATGGACCTCTCCTTATGGGAGATAAATTGCGCGCTCAGAATCGCCGAGAATCGCCAAAAAGCCCACAATATATCAAACGGGAGGAAGGAATAACCTCATTTTTATGGCTGTTCCACTCCATTATTCTCTTGACGATTCTGATTTGTTGATTCAGAGCGAGAAGGGATGTATTTGTGAGTCTTGAAAAGCCTTCATTATCTGACACAGTGTCTTCCCAGTACACTCAACGGCAGCTCATTCATTTTGATGTCTGCAGAAGCTGGGAAATTTGAGACCGAAAATACTTAGTCGAGGCTCTCTGAAGCATTCTGCTTCTTGTTCCTGATGCTTCCGCCTCCACTGCAAGATGTCGCTAATAGGGACATGACGATGTCGTAATTAATGGCTTTCATTTAAAGAGGTCCGTCCTCCCCTCATATGCCGTCCTCCAAGTTCCATTGTAAATGGAGCTCCCACTAAGGATGAATGTGTCATCGATTTATGCAATCGCTGCGGGAGGCTGCTTTTTAGCTCTTTTCCTCATCCAGACCCGAACTACGATGATTGGTTGCATCGAGTCCTGCTCTGTTCTGATCTCTCGGCACCTCACACTTCCTGCTCTCGTCCACAGGCATCGTATTTGGGGCCCTGGTCCCGGTTGAATGTTCTCATCTATTTTACCTACACTGTGGTTAATATCATGGTGGTATTCTTCCATACACACTCCGTCGCCCAAGCTGGCCGGAGAGCCGGAGAGCTGGCTCTCATCAACCTTATTTTTCCCCTCTCGGCCACTCACCTTGGGTACTTGGCTGACCTTCTGGGTATCACCTGGCACACGTGCTGTAAGATTCACCAGGCAACAGGTTGGATGTCTGTTGCTCTGCTTTCTTTTCACGTGGTTGCAGAATGCCAGAGCCGGGGATTTAGTTTTCCTCTTGGGGCAATATGTAACATATTTACCCTAAGCTTCCTTCTCGCTGTCATGTATTCAGGACTAACGCTGATAGGGGTCAATTTCCTTGGCCACACTTGCCCTCACCTCGCTCCCTTGGCTTCGTCGACGGTGCTATGAAGTCTTCCTCCGAAGCCACCAAGCCCTGACTGCTCTCTTTTTATATGGCACGTGGCAACATCTTCCAGACTAGAGTCACTTGCCAAGTTTGTACCTTTACGTGCCGCTGGTAATTTTGGCCCTGACTACAATCCTGGAGGTTGTCAACTTATGTTACACGAACGGGCTATTTTCGGGCCAGGGTGCTCCTCGGGCCTTTGTATCCTTCACCCCAGAAGGATCTCTGACACATCCTAGGCTAAGAAAAGCGGCCCACATTCGTCTGGCTCTGCCCAGACCTATCAAGATCGATGCGGGCCAGTATATCAATCTGTGGATGCCGTCAGTTGGACCTTGGTCGTGGCTTCAAACACACCCTTTCATAGTTACATCCTGGTCGCGCGGAAGACATGACACGATTGAGCTATTTGTGCAGGCCCGCGGTGGCATGACATCAGACCTACTGAGTCTTGCCGCTGGCGCTCCTGGCTGTCCTGTACCATTTCTGGCCATGTTTACAGGTCCACACGGTACTAGTGAGATTGTTGACGGGTTTGAAACCGTGCTACTGATTGCGAGTGGTTTCGGGATCGCTGCAACAATCCCCTATCTGAAGAAGATGATACATGGATATAATACCTGCACACTTCATGTCCGTCGGCTGCATTTGGTATGGCAGATAGAATCAATTGGAGAGAAGACCCTTCCGCTTTCAGTCCGACAGCACCAGCACTAACAAATTAGAAATGGTTAGCGCAGCCGAGGACCTGCTGAACCCCCTCCTGGAGGACGATATCATAGATAAAGGCTATGTAAGTCACTGGCTTCTAAATGGAAACTTTGTTGATTATTGACGGTAAAACGTCTACAGATTCTCAGCATTTCAATCTACGTCGAAAAAGGGCTTGCTCATGATAAGACGCCAATAGGAAAACATGAAAGAGCCTGCTTTTACCAAGGTGTACCCGATTATGACAAAATAGTCTCGCTCGAGGCATCGGGAGACCAAATCGAGAGGCTACCGAACATTCGCGATGAGCAAGGCCGGACCTTGGTGATGGGTGAGTGACCCAACCGCAGCCTGTCTCTATTCTATCGTATACTAAATTATCTCTAGTTTCAGCGGCAGGCAGGTATAGAGACCAGATCCGAAAAACCATCAAGGGCTTTTTGCATCATGGTGTGAGGCTTTCGGAGCTGGAATACCAGCCGGAGTAATTCAATGATAGGGAGTTCGCATGGAGCAAACGCAATGAGTAGTCCCGAGCATATGATGCTAGTTGGAGTTGCCTTCTGCGCACTTAAAGTAGTAAAAATGTGATGTTTGGGCAATTGAAATGCGATTACGACAGACAAACTTGCCGATTTGATCTCTGAATCTCCCTGGTCAACCAATTCAAATGAGCTACTTGGTCATTATAAATGACCGGGGCCAAGCATTACCCTGAAAAACAGCGGCTAGACCTTGATTGTTGACGCAATTAACACAACTCTTTTCTATCAAAATCAAAACGCGTATTATCTAATAGTAGACAGAACAAAAGCTTGAGCAATGAGGAACAGAAAGATCGTCGATTACCGTACCATGCATTGAATTTTTTTCATCGGTCATATTACTTTTGACTTCTGCTTTAATCGTTCTTCATGGGCCCTGGCGTGTATGAGTAGAATGTGCGAGCGGAGATCAACGCAAACCATGCAAGTCCGATGAGATTCCCTGGGCGGCATGGAATTTGCGTCAACAGTCGTTGCTAGATATTATTAGCACCGTTTGGAAAAACTGGTTTGGAAACAAATCGAGAGAAACAAACCTCTTTCAGTTCTTCAAAAGAGCCTGCCGAGGTCGTCGCGCAGAGAAATTCGATCGCAGCCGGGCAGGTTCTCCAGCGGTCGAGATTATCAATTCCTACTGCCCTATCTTCTTGGACATATTTTTGCATCAATTCCATCATAATTCTCGACACTGGCGCCAGGTCACTGGCATCGGCTCTACCTCTTTGCCGGAACACACAGCAATCGATCCGTGCTACCGTGCCTGATTAGGTGAGATTGACTGGGAAGGTAGAAATGGAATGAACTTACCAATTTTGATACGCCCATTCAAATTCACAAGGACGCTAGAACAGCCCAGAGATGTGTGATGGAAGTTGTTCACCACGAGATATAACAGCCCGTCAACGAGCTGTACATAATCAGCCATTTGGCCATCTGGCAGACAGGTGAGAGGAATTCAGGAACAAACCTGAGACATTATGGCTGCCAGCTCCTGCTCGTCTGGGAAGGCTTTACAAGCGACGATATGATCCAGAACGAGAGGGTCGAAATCCCCCCAGTGTGTACAGAAGCTCGGGAGTGCGGAAACACTCCCGAATGGAGGCCAGGTTCTCATGGCGCATGGAGCGGAGGATCCGCAGTATCTTGTCAGCGTCCTCAATCGGATACTGGCGCACCGCCCAGACACCGCGGTCTCCAGATGATCGAATGCATACCGCGACGGGGCCAGCTAGGTCACAATCGTAGTACTTTCTGAAAGTACCCCAAGGAGATTCGTCTCGGACTGTCAGGCCCGAACTGATAATGCTCTGCCACTGCATAGTCTTCTGGCGAGGCAAGCTTTGTGGCATGAATCGAGTTTCCTTGCCGGTGTGCTCTGAGGTTGAGGAAGTGATGGACCTCTTTCCAGGTGCGGGTCCTAAATGGAGAGGTTGTGGGCCGGGCTTGAGGTCCGTTGCCGGTGATACTTCTGTTCGGGTTTGCGGCTGGGGGAGCAATGCAACTTGAGCGGCCTGGATTCTTGTCACTCTCTTTTCGCCAACTTTTCGCATCATGAAAGCAGGATATAGTTTGGCTAGCAGTTGAAAGCAGAAAGAGGAGCATGAAACACAAAGGAGATCCTGCTCGGTTTAAATGGGCCGTTCGCGCCCGCGGAACATGACACGGTTGGGCAACAGCCTCACAGGCAAAGGCAACGTAGTGTCAACGTTGAACCACCTCAACAATGGAAGCCATAAGTATATATATTCAAGGCTACACTCAGCTCAGCCAAGTCATTCTGAACCACAACTCCATATTTATCTCCATGACTCGACACGTCTTCACCGAGCAAGAGGTGCGACTCGCAGCAGAACGACGACTCAAATACATTGGTGCTGCTAAAGTCAGCATCCGCCAGATTCAATTCGAACCTCCCTTAACACGAGACTTGGACCCTAAAAATTTGGACCGGCTACGAAACCTTTTCCGTAAGAATCGCTGTCGCCGTCTAGATGTCCAAAACCATGTTCCCGCGACCGTGTCTCGACGTGACCTCGCGGATGCATTGACCGTTCAATAAGACATCGGCCAAGAATTGAGAGCCGCGTTGGTGGATGAATATTCCAATCAAAAGAAGCCGACCGATGGGGAAGTCTATCGCAAGATCAGACAGTATGAGGGAGAGGGCAATGAAGCTTTCCGAGAGCGATGGTTCGTGAACCAAGAGCGCTTGGATCAACTTGACAATAAAAAGAATCGTCATCTCCGGCATGCATTTGACCGATTGTTGGTGATTCCCGGGCTTTGGCCGGGCGGGATGAGAATCAGGCTCCTTCATCGATTGATTGCTTCGGGCTGCATTGAGGTGAGTCTCAGCTCAAGTTGCTGTTTTTTTCTAGCTAATGACGACTCTTCATCTCTCAGGAGATAGCAACCTATTTTAATCACATCTTGGACTTCTGGTCTTCTCTGGTGGGATCGGATCGGCGTCTGATTGAGCAGCACTATTGCTCAATTTGTCGTGAACTTTGTCTTTACAGCTGTCGAACGCTTTGCGATCACCTGAAAACACCGGGGCATCCGGGAACTTGGGATTGTCAAAGCGGTCCAGGCTAGCAGTACAAAAAGAGCTGGGAACGTCTCTGCTGTTGCACTTCGGGCTAAATTCCACGGGAAATGTCCCGCTCAGTGTCACGGCCCAGGTGCTCCCTCGTCAACATCGGGGTTTCGTGTCTCGTCGAATGGATTTGCGCAAGCGTGGATGGATGGCGACTGTGTTCTTGGTATGTTGCGTCTAATCTCGAGGCCATCTCTTCCAATCTTTTCTCTGCCATGTCCCTTTGCACTGTCATGCGATCTCTTTCGCGTCGCAATTCTCGGTTTTCTTCGCCTAGACGTAGGACATCTCCACGGAGAGTCTGGTCGGTCACTCGGCTCGTATTCATCTTGGCTTGTTTGCCCATGGTAAGTAAAACATCCCACCAGAACTCAAAGTGATTTCTGAACCGTGCCAGTTGCTGTGCTCTGTCCAAAACACAGACCGCTCTGGCAGGGCGCAGCGGATGATTCGAGCTCACATAGTCAAACGCATCTATCACTGATGTAGCTGTGTCTTCCGGCTGCTGTCTTCTATCCTCGTCGTTACTGGGCTGGTATTCCTCGTCATCGGAGCCGTCGTTAACTACGACGGTCGCTTCTCGGGCCATCAGAGTCTCTCTTCTGGTTCGTCCTCGTTGCGCTCCATCCTCAAGCTCACGAGCCCTTGAATTCTCTTCAGTAGACTTGGATGTCATGGTGTCTTGGTTGTCTTTGGTTATCGTTGTTGTCTTTGGTTATCGTTGTTGTCTTTGGTTATCGTTGTTGTCTTTGGTTATCGTTGTTGTCTTTGGTTATCGTTGTTGTCTTTGGTTATCGTGGTTATCTGGGTTGGCGCTACGTAAGGTGAGGGTCTCACGTATCTGTTGATGAGGAGCGTGTCTTTTCAATGAATGATCAATATCAACGAAAGCTATAGTCGACTCTAGACGTAGCGCGAGGAAGCAAGAGAGACAGGCCTCCTCGCGTTCAGGGGAACCCATATGCACCATGTGGATCCCGCACAGATCATATCTCTATTCATCCTGTAGGCTCCATGTATATCCCTGACAAGGTAGGCCAAGAGCCCCACGATATTTATTGATCAAAAGCCCCAGGAGCGAATCAGCTCCCGGGGCCGGTGATTGCATTCCCAGCTCCGGTTGTGTCGTTAACAGGAATTTAAATTGAGGTCTGGTGACCAGTCTTCCCGCAACAAGAATAATCTGCTGGGCCACAGAGTCTGCACGTGGATACGAAGTATGCCGGTCCCAGGAATACCCACTCGGGCCCGCGGAAGCAGAACCATGGCCCTAGGATCTTCAACGAAGGCTATAGGAGCCCGGCAGCTCCCAGGACCGGCCCAGGCGACCCCAATACCGAGCATGTCGTAGATAGGAACAGAAGTTGCAGCTCCCGGAGTAGATTGCGAGTCGATTTTGCCAGCGCATTACCATATGGTGTATAAGATACCGCAACCAGTACAGATATGAAGGCCCAGCCCGTGTCTGCTGGCCTATTCCTTGCATCAAGGCGCGTAGTGGAATCAGGTGCTGAGATCCGCGCTCAACCCCTTCATCTCTACTCATTACAAGTTATTACCGTCGGTTAGAAGCCCCCATATTTGGTTGAGGGCCGCGCCGAAGCAGGCCGCACGGGATTTGGAAAGAACAGGTGTTGACTGATTTCTCGCCGGGTTTGTGGCCACAAAGGCCACCTTTTGGCTTCAGGGTTGATCATTGAGATCTCGCATATAAGAGGGTGAGCAGGTAGGTGAAGATTTTTGGTTATCTGTGGAACATTACGCAGATTTATGTCTTGAACTTATGACTTTCGAAAGATTCAGTATCATTATGTGTTGCGATGCCGCCTTTATTTCCTGTCCGGCGCGACAACCCTATCGGAGTGCTTCTTATTTGTCATTTCAATCGTTGAAGGCACAAATTGGCTGATTTTCGCAACAAGGTCCTCGGTACGGAAGGGCTTGTGAATGATATCATCCATCCCAGCCTCGAGCATTTCTGACTGTTGCGTCGCTCTGACGTTTGCTGTCACACCTAAGATGGGCACATGTGCATCACCCCCCTTCTCGACCTGTCGAATAAGTTTGGTTGCTGAATTACCATCCATCACAGGCATTTCCTGGTCCATGAGAATGCAATCAAACATGTTGTTCTGGAAGACGTTCAAAGCCTCTTGGCCATTGTTGGCCTCCGTTATTTGAAACCCCAATGTTAACAATTTCCGAGATAGGATTTTCCTATTAATCACATTATCCTCCACCACAAGTATTCGTCGACTTGTCTTTCCCTCGTTGTGACTTCGATGGCTTCCAATATTCCGAATGGTTGCTTGCCGCGCAATCTCGTAAGTCTGCATCGTTTTATCATCAACGGGGGCTTCTGGGCTCAACTCTTCAATATGAGTCAGTGGGGGATCTTCTGGTATCCGAATTTCTTGTGTTGGTCCTTCGCAATCTGCCAACTCCTTGCCTAACGCTTGGATATCGTGAGACAACTTGTCCAGTTCCGAGATTTTATCCCCGCTAAATGCCTCCCCGCTAAATGCCTCACCGCTAGTATCATCGCTCTTGCGCACTCGAAAGAAAAAGCCAAAAGTACTTCCTTCCCCTTCTTTCGAACTGACGCCAATCTCTCCACCATGAAGATGACATAGTTTTCTGCTGACATTGAGACCTAGACCAGAACCACCATAAACCCCTTCCGTCCTTGGGGTAGCTTGATTGAATCTTTCAAATAGCTTCATCTGCGCATGATCGTCGATGCCAATACCAGAATCCTTGACAGCAAGCATAAGATATGCAAATTGTCCGGAGCCCCACTCAGGCAAGGCGGTCGTGTCAAGGCCGAGCGCATCCTCGCCCGACCGAAAGAAGACAACATTTGGAGGGTATGAAGAAGGTCGTTCTTTTGAAGCACCAATTGAGACTCGAATCTTTCGCTCATTCTTGGACCTGGCAGTGAATTTTATTGCATTGGAGAGAAGGTTGATAAGGACCTGGCCCATTCGGTCAAGGTCGGCCATAACCCATTTAATTCCACAATCCGCATAAGAAAAGTCAGCTTGGTAATTGAATTGGATACCCTGTCTCTGCAGCTGCGGCCGAAATAGAGAAATCGGATCAGCAAAATGTAATTTCGGTTGCACTCTCCGCGGTGATAATAGTAGCATCGATGCGTCGATTTTCGAGAAAGTAAGCACATCGTCAAGGATTTTTTTCTGGTGCAAAATGCAGAGACTGATGGTCTCCGCTGACTCGGCCACGCGTGCAAGCGGTACTACGTGGGTTTCTTTGTCGCGTAATGCCTCAATGATATCCTCGGTGCAATGTAATATCGCAGACAGGGGATTTCGTATCTCATGGCTAATCATGTCGATGAACCGCTCTTGTAGTTGTTTGTGATCTTGCGCATCTTTGGCAAGCTGTCTTTGAAGGGATTCGGCCCTCTTCTCTGGTGTAATATCCGCAATAGTGACAATGAACCCGCCGCGGGCATCAAGGCCAAAAGCATGCAGATTTGCAAGAAGGGGATTCAGAGTAAGCACACACCATGCGTCCTGGTGCCGCGCGCGGTATTCAACGCGCAGCACTTTTTTGGACGAAAAAGCCTCATCAAAGCAAGTAGTCATACGGTCAATGTCGTCCGGATGGATCGATCGCGACCAGCAATCTAAAAAGTTTGCGTTTGAACACTTAATCAGCGCCCGTAAGCTAGGGTTCTGGGAAACCAGCTCGCATTTATTATTGAGAACGGCTAAGCCATGTGGAATGATATCCGCAAGCTGTTGCGCAGATGCAGTTAGGGCAAAATCGAGACTCATTTTGCTCTGCGCAGAGCAATACATCAGCTTTTCTTCCTCGCGAGAAACGGCGCTCCATTGCCAGGCTGTGTTGATATCATACCACGTCGTGATCTGCAGGCTCTGAACTGAGCTCAATGTATATGGTGTTTGTAGAAGTTGCAGCGAACGATAGACGCGCAGTTCAAGGCGGTATGATTTTCAGCTGTCCAGAGTTTGTCGGATTCCCCGGGAACTTGATGAAACACGTCACATTTTCTACAAAAACGATATTTGTGACCGCCTTCCTAAATAGTCATCCAAGACTTATCTAAACAGAGGGCTGACTTTCTGTTGGATCCTATGTTAAAAGTACCTCAGTTACCTCAGACCACAGCCAATGATAAGACCGAATTCTGCCGAATTCTGCCACGCTAACCCGATGGGTTGCTTCATCAGTCTGTTGTCATAGGCCTAGACCTCGAAATGATGCGGTTCTACGCGGTTCTGTCGCGGTTCGAACCTCACGGAACCGCGATTGCATAATTTTGCCAAGGATTTCCTTTTTCGGATGGATAAAATGATGACTCACCTTATTTCTTCCTTGTTATTAAACACTGTTTTGGGCAATACACGACTGATTGTTCCAATGGAGCAACAATCCTCACGAAATTTAATTAAATTTGATGAAATTTACTTTTATATAGAAATTCCCGCATTGAAAACTATAGGTACCCCTAGATTGAGTAAATTCCAGGCTCTTCTTGGTGGTTGATTCTGGTCGGAGTAGCCGTTAATGTAGTGTGTAGTGTGAGAAATATATATTTTAATCTCAGTACTACAGTCCCGTTCCAAAAGTTTGAAACACCCTGTTTACCGCCCTGGTCTCCGCCTGCTAATAGCAGACTAGTAGATACCTAAGATGGAATAGACCGGCCAATGTATTCCATTCTAGGTAGCTACTAGTCTGCTATTAGCAGGCGGTCAATTATAATCGGCAACAGGGTGTTTCAAACTTTTGGAACGCCACTGTATACCATCAGCTCGCCAGTCTTTTTTTTCAGTTTATCCCCGTGGTGAAAATTTAGAAGTTGTTTTGATAGCATACTCCCTTGAAACTATTTTTTATTCTTTTTGTCTACTTTTTACTACTAATATTCTCTATTAACCGCTATAGAAAGGTGATACCTACTGAGGATAAAGGACTTAGCCAAAACTTGGAGAATTCAGTCATTATGTGAGGCGGACGGAGGTGTTTGATGTGGTTCCTGCGGTGATTTTTGCGGGTAGTGGAGGTTCGTTGTGCGGTCCTACGCGGTTCTATAAGATTTGGCGCGGTTCGAACCTCACAGAACCTCAGTATAGTGGGGCTGACTACCCAATCACGATAAGGGTTGGAAATAGATAATATACACATAGCTTTTTCTAGTTTATGCGATTCCTTGGAACTCGTTTAGTTCTCTTATTTATAGTCCGAAAACTTCCTGTAGGTCTATTCTACGCACTCTCCCTTTCTAAGCTCAGCTCTATCAAACACTATGTCACAGAGCCAAGACTCTCAGTTCTCTGACAACTATTCTTCGTCGATTTTTGAGGATAATCCTCTGGATAACCTAACGTTTCTTTCATCTGATGGTTTGCAGCCATTCAACCCTGATACCTTATATGGCCAGAGCACGCCAGATTCTACGCCTAACCTTGGTTTCGCCCGGCCAGCGCTTCCGCCCTCCATCCCCGAGACGCTCGAACACGTTGGCCCTCAAAAGAAGAAGATCTATGTCCTCTGGACAGATATGGTTAATGACGAATTCGTTGCATGGTGGTTAAAGACAGAGTATGGAAGTCAGACAAAACGGAATATCTTCGAGAGTAAGCACCAGGCAGATTGTTGGGAGCATTTTCACCAGGTAGCTGCTATTCAGGATGGATCCCCGCGAAGGTTATGTGTAGAACATGTGATCATATCCTTAGCCATCCTGCAGACCGTCATCGTGGAACATCCTCTATGAATAAACACTATTCACAAGGGGTTAATTGCCGGAAATTAGCGCCTCGTTCGCAGGACATCAGAAGGCTAATACGTAATGGGGTACGTAGAACTATCTATATCTTCTGTTTCGGTTAATCTCTACTAAGATAATTAAATCTGCTTAGGCTAAGCCATCTCAAAAAGGCACCTTTACCCAGCAAGCTTGGATAGAGAGGGTGATCACTTTCATGACTGCCTCACGATTACCGTTCCAGCTTGTCGAGCATCCACAGTTTCGTGCCCTTATTGAAATGGCCCGGCTTGCTCCGTCCTTCCCCGAAATACCATCTGCATATATGGTCCGCCGTCAACTTCAAGAATTAGTTCAAGAACGACAAAATACTCTTCTTCGGACGCTTCCTATGGATGCTAAGCTTTCCATTGCACTAGATTGCTGGACTTCGCCATTTTGGCAGGCCTTCATGGCAGTGACAGCCTACTTTCTCGATAAAGATTGGAATTATCGTGAGATCTTACTTGGCTTTGAACCGCTGCATGGGGCGCATACCGGATTGTATCTGAGCACAGTTCTACTGGAATTACTTCAAAAACATCGCATTGAAGACCGGGTTTTAACGGCTACCACAGATAATGCGTCTAATAACTCAACGTTAGTGGATAGCATCCGGGGGACACTCCAGTCACTTGAGCTACCTAATCATAAACCAATCATTCGTATGCCATGCATCGCACATGTCATTCAACTCAGCTTAAAAGAGCTGCTTGGTCGGATGGAAGCAAATCCAAGGAACGAAAGAGAAGAGATGGAATGGACTAAGAGAGATAATGGGGCCCGGCGAGAGAACCGTGAAATCGTGCACACCCTCTCTAAGGTAAGATTATATGTTGTCTAATAGTATCACACTAATAATTTACTAGATTCGACGGCTTGCGATTTTCGTCAACAAAAGCCCCCCAACGCCGAGAAAATTTCTTAGATCTTCAGACCAAGGAGCCAAAGCTTGTTCCAATACAAGATGTTCGGACACGCTGGAATTCGACATACTTGATGCTCCGGCGTGCGAAACGCCTATAGTCTGTTCTCAACGACTTCTGCTCACAATACGACAACCAAGAGCTACGACCAAGCCAGGATGAATGGCGACAGATTGACTATCTTCTTTCAATTACACAACCTTTCTTTACCTTTACCACATCCCTTTCGAAGACCAAGGAAATCACCATCCACAGCGTCTTCGCAATCTACAACACCCTTTTCTCTCATCTAGAGAAGTCTAGAGCTCAGCTTGCACGAAAGATGGTTGACTGGAAGAAAGTGATGCTATCTGCTATTCACGCGGCGAGGTTGAAGCTCTCGGAGTACTATAAGCTGATCAATGGGATTGATAGTGATCTCTATGCAATTGGTACGATCCTGGCGCCACAAAATAAGCTGGAATTCTTTTCTGGCAAAGACTGGGAACCACACTGGCGTGTCCGTTACCGCAAGAGCTTAGAGAATTACCTGGTACCATACCAGCAGCGCTATTCAGAGACACAGTCCATATCGAGTAGTCAATCCTTGATTGGGGGAATCTCTGATGTTGATATCCTCGTGACTTCGACCACGTCTCTCCGGCCGCAGACGAACGCTCATGACGAGCTTTCGCGGTATCTCGGAAGTAGTAAGCTAATTCACCTAGCCTTTTGCCTCAAATCTCTCGTACTGATCGTTATAGGTACCCAACTAGTGAACCCGCGGATTTACTGGAAGGAACACCAGCATGAATTCCCATCCTCGCAAGCCTAGCACGCGACGTTCTCACAACTCCTGCTAGCGGTTCTGGCGTTGAGCGGTTATTCAACTCTGCCCGTGATATTTGTCACTATCGCCGAGGCTCGCTGAAATCTAAAACAATCCAGGATCTTATGTTGTTTATGTGTACAACAAAGTTTGACATGGAATCCGAACAGCTTTCTCTGATGGATGATTACTTCACCACCCAAGAGGCGCAAGCAGCAAGGGAAGAAAAGGATGCTCGGAAGGCTGAGTGTGAATTTGATCTCATCAGTGACAGTGAGGATGAGCCTTCAGCAGCCATATCTCAGACCGTCCAAACGGTGAGCGAGCATGCGCATGGTAAAAGACGAAGGGCAGAAAACATCACAGAAGGCCTAGAGCATGTGATTGAACTAGATGAGGAGGATGAAGTTCCCCTACCTGACAATATCCATATACAGGGAGAGAGTAGTACTCAGAGGCGTTCATCAGGACGGCTTCCAAAACGTTCAAGGTGAGATGAAGATTTTGTGTATGAAAAACCATAGAGTTAGTAGAATTTAGAACGAAAAGATTTTTAAGATTCTGCGACTTGTTTGCTGCAAACCTCCAACTTTTGTGATGCTCACTCCTAATATGAATTATTGGGAGAAGCGGTCATCCATACAACCAAAAGTCTATTCCAGAAGCTTATTTGCTCACTATCCCGCTCTATTTCTGATGCCGTTACCTTTCCAGTTTCTGCTTCTCGGGAATGGGACTTCGTCTAGGTTTGAATAAATGGTACGCGATATTTAATTCGCCAACTTGTCCTGCATGACTCTCTATCATAAGTAAAAACCGTTTTTGGGCTACGGCATATAATACTGTTGCAGTGGTCCGGAATCTTCTAGCGTCACAATAGCCGCCTCTGAAGTATCGCCTGGTGTCTTCAAATTTATCCTGTTCAGTTTTACCAATTGAAATCTTCTTTTGCATCGTGCTTGGTCTCACAATTATGACTGTCCTAAGCTACCGAAGTTTATACTCCATAGCACTGATTTCTATTATCAGTATCGAAATTATTTACAGGGCCATGTTCGTCATCATGGCATCCGAAAGTCTGTTGTTTTTATGGCAAATGGAATAAGAACCCTTATAGCGAAGTTAAAATTATTACAGCTGTGCAATGGCAATATTACTGAATTTTACCCCGCGTATGTCCTCTCTTTTCGTTCCGGCCGCCACTTTGTGTCATACAAACAATTATCAACTAGCTACCAGAGGAAGAACCGATTTAAAATGAGAACAGTTCCGTATTTTCTAGCAATGAAATACAGTCCGAAACTCTCCCCTATTCAAGCCAGCTGCCGCAGTTTTTTTATTGGCGTCCACAAGACGGTATTATTTTCGCCACCCAAGGATACAAAAGCCGGTAATTGCAGTAAATGGATATCAATATTTGAAACTATATCATTATTGGAATTTTCGAATAGCTCATGCACGCCACCATAACGCGCCATTTCTTGTGCTCTGTATCGACGCACCCTATGTATGTATGTATTCCGGTCGGAAAATATATTAAAGTCTACGAACGGACTAATCTTCGATTGTAATTGTAGGATAGAAACAGCATCGAAGGAACTTCTTAGTGAAGCGAGAGTAAGGTCAAATTCCCCCCGCTTGCAAATGTATCCAGACTATGCTCATGGAAATTGAACATGAAGAATCAAAGGCGGAAATAGCTCAGCGCGTGCACTTCTAAAGAAGTGCTATTTTAAGGCGGAATTCCAATAAAGGTCAATCTGGGTGATGTGGTGGTTAGCCAACCTGTTGCTGACTAGTATTCCAACCAAATTTCACGTTGAATGTTACTTGATGTGTTGCTAACATCAAGGCAATTCTCGGGAGTCTCAACAATTCTGACAGCCATGCTCTGTCCTTCGGCCATCTCCTGCACAAACTCATCATCCACCAAAATTTCGAGACCAGCTTCGTTTTTATGTACAATGCTGGAAATCTCTAGATTTTGTTTGACAGAAATTTTTTCCGAAATTTTCATCGTGAGATCTTGGATCGTTCGTGACTTAGGATATATCGCGCGATAGTGCTCACTCGGAGACTTGTTGTTTGTGATAACTCGAATATAGAAGCATGCGGCTTGATTCAGAGGAAATAGTCAGTTATAAATCCTTTCTAGCTGTTCGACACAATGTTCACTGGGTGGGTCTTACCTGGCATAGTACTAGAATGACTTGGTTCCAATAATACTGGTGATACTTCATGGGTCGCTGATTCCTGCAGACTACTCCTGGAGCTTGGCGTGTCCATCTCATTAAATCCGGCTAAATCTGATTTGACAGACGAAACGTCATCATTTGATGAGCCCCGGCGGTCCATAGAGCCCCTTTTCAGCGGATCATCATCTGCGTTTAGTAAAGGAGACGGATGCAATTCGGGATCATCTTGAGGCCCGCCACGAAGATTTAGAACACTTTCGGGATGGCTAGAGTAGAAGCGTTTTGCGAGGGCGTCTAGTCTCTCCTGCAGTTGCTGCTGGAAGTTTGCTTGCCTTGGAGAATTGTCAAGATCTATTGACATATCGCCTTGACGTTGGAGGTTATTCTTCGAGTAACTGAGATCCGGGTTGGACTTTGCGGAAACGCTGCCTCGCTTTCTCTTATTCAAACATTCAGGTGGCGCGGGATCTTTCATTTGCAGCTGCAGCTTTTCCATTCTTTTCCGCACACTCGCTGCGTCATTCGATAGTTTTCGCTCGGCGCCATGGTCGCGGAAGAGTTTCACATTGCAGAAACAGATATTTGGTTCTTGAATGCTGAGCTTGCCGACTTGCTTTGTCTTGGCGCATAGCCTGACCTGAATTCATTTCACCCCTTTCGAAAGTGTGAAGTCGGTAGATAAGAAGTGGAATCGCACTGGGATACTGCATTGGGGTATCCTGTCGGCCGGCTTGCCAGTCCAGGTGACAGAAAATCCATCGTGGGAGACTTGCTCAACGTGCATGGAGGAAGTGTTATCGCCCACGTATTCGACAGCCTTGAGTTTAGAGTCCCTCTTCTTTGACTCATTGAGCCCTCGCGCTGATTTCCACAATTGCCAATAGGCAGCTGGGTCAGATCGTTGTTGTTCTTCATCGAATGAAATCCGAATAAAGGTTCGGTACTGAGTAGATTCGACGTTATATACCACAGCTGGCATTGTGTCTACCACCCTGAGATGGTAAACCTGACCTTTGTTGAGATATGACACAGCCGCCTCGCGCGAATCATTAACTATAGCAGTGGGGGCTCGGAGAGTGGTGGTATAACGGAACCTGAAGGTGCAATATTAAAAGTTTTGAACATTGGTAAGATCGTGTTTGTTGAACTTACTGGTTCCCTTCAGGGAAAGACATAGTATTTTGTGAGTTGACACGGCTGCCATTCACCGAGTGGTTACTTTCCGTTGGGTTCCATGATAGCTCGTCACTCGAAATACGATCGTAATTAAGTGGCTCAGCTGAGAGTCCCATATTTTCGAAATCCGGACTTGGCTGGGGGATCTGATTCGGTGCATATGCGCCTGGCTCGGAAAAGGAATCCATACTGTTCCATGTCACCGCGGGATTGATACCATCCAGTGAGCTTGAGTTGGCGCGATCTCCGAACTGATCTCTCGTTTGCCAGCCCAAAGTAGATTTAATGTTATCTTGAGAAATGTTCTTGGAAGGTTGACACCCCTCTACCAAGTCATTGAATGTCGTAGGGGCATTTAATTGCGATCCATAAAAGTCGAGACTGTGGCTTTCAGGTGCTAGACACAGTTCAGGCGCAATCCCGTCGAATGAGAAGGAAGGGTCGGGTAATTCGAGGCTTCCCTTCGCCTTCTTACAGGCTCTGCTAGATATGAGATTTTGTTCCCGGAATATCTGGTAAAGAAATGATTACTTACCTTTCTGAAGGTGTCATATTATTGTCTACATCAGTAAAAGGGTTTCCCGATTCAAGTTTGTTATTGGTGGTGCCCTCGTTGAAAAATGATTTCCCACAGAGCTTTTGAAAGCGGCCAATGAGCTCGCTACCTGGCTTATGAGATCCCGTTCTGTATAATAGGCACATTTCTTAAACATTGTAATTCCACATTGGTATATTGAGTATTGGGCGTACCTGTGACAGAACATTGGTGAAAAGGAAAAAGGAGCTCCTTTCGAAAATGTTCTGTATTGAATTGGTCTAGGGCGGAGCCGATCTGATGAAACCTTCAATATTAGGTTTGCTTTCTCTTTACTGGAAAGATAATATGCAGATGGATAGAATTTTATCTGGGGGCGAAGCTACTTATATCAGGCTTGTGTGCAAGTCGGGGAATCACAGTACTTCTATGGTGCCCTGCATGAATGATGAGACCATGGCTGTATTATCCGCTAAAGTACCACCGGCAAGGTGGAGATGACAGGGCGGGATACTGCGTAGTAGTTGGGGGGGAGGGGAGCCAACACAACGGGGCAACTCCAGTGGATGTGTTTTCCGTTCCCAGTCCCCAATCCCCTGTTACGTGACATGCAGCTTTTGTTGTTCTGCCCGTGTTGGATCAATCATCCGCTTCCCCCTCAGGACTTTCTCGCGTCATTGGATCCTCGTCTCCTTTGTTTGGTTCCGATTGATGACTGGTGTCTGCTAGTTCTGCGAATGAAATAACATCCCGGGGCATTGGATTGATCATACATTACCAGCTCCTTTGTTGGTGACAGCACGTAACATAAGAGTACATACCAGGGTCCATGTGTGGCGCTTGCACCCAGAACCAAACAGGAGCAATGATACACACACATGCGTCCCCGATCAGCGAACCTCAATGATTATGGGACTTCATTGGTCGGCTGCTCTTTCCGTAGGCAGTCGCCCCTCAAAGTGGAGACTTGGCTCCACTCAAGGTGACCAGCAATGCTAAAAGCTGATATGAAATATGCCTTGGCATTTTTAGCTAATGGAGAGACAGCCTTGGGTGCCCCACACTAATGTGAGGGTACGTATTTCTGACTTTTATCTTTTCGACTGAAACCTCCCTCCTCAGTACTTTACTGTGGGCACCGTAGAAGTGAATGGAAGGATCGACGCCACTCCCCCATCTTTCTCACTGAGGCATTATCTCCGCAAACGGCCTCGATTTCAATTTTTTGTGTTCGATTATGAACTTTTGATTTTTGATATGATGTCATAGAAAGCCGAGATATACAGATCCTCGGGAGCTTCTGTCGGGGTACACTTTTAGCGCCCTATTCTGAGCCGCACTGACATTGGCAAAAGCCGCCGTATCATGAACAAACACATCGCGAAAAGGCACAATTAAGTGTTTTACAATGCACGGAAGAAATCCATCACAATTGATATTTGGCTGGCTTGAAATAAGAGCCCAATTCTCGAATTCAATCCCGTTCGTGACTTTTGGCGCCTCGGAGATTTTCTCAAATGACGCGTAGGCATTTCAGGGTCCAGGCATTTGGAAAATAAAGCCCGGCGTAACATATTCCTAATCATCGAGCGTTGGGCCCTGGAATGATGTTTCATTACGCGCGTTGTTCCGAATCTAATTTATGTACACTACTCCTTTTGGTAAAGCGAAACTCCTTTTATGTATGTATGTATGTATGTATGTATGTATGTGCGGAAACCAAGCTCATTTGAACTTGACTTAAAAGGCCCACAGACAACTGCCCATCTTAAAAGACCCACACAAACTCAGATCTATGATTCATCAGTGTCTCTCACAGACAGGGAATCGGATATCAAAATGCTCATCTAGTTGAGATGGAGTAAGATTCAGGATCTTTTGCCGACTAACGAAATCATACCATACAGCCACGCCACCCGACTCGAAATACGCGAAATAGAATTGTTTAAGCTTTGTCTCAAGATTAATATTACGCCTTGTACATTCTTATGATTAGGTAAATGTATCCCTGATCTTTTAACTAGCTAGCCTTCCCACTATGGACGAGCCTTGAGCCCAAGAGAGTCCAGAGTTCTAGGCAGACCGGAAAGGATCATCAAAGATAACCGAGGTTTTCGCTGAACAGACCTCCGACCGCGCTTCTGAATACGCGAATCAGCTGAAAAGTAATTATGAGATGTAAGGATTGAGGATAATTGAGTATCTGGATGATATGGAAAGAAGATCCCCGTGACTGGTGCCCAAATATACCAGGTAGGAGTGCTTAGAAGACCATTTTCGGTATCAAAGGAACGTCGGACTTCGACCAAAGACCACTTTCTCTCTAGCCTATGGCAGGCGGTCACCACAATGATTACATATCTTCCTGGCTCATGGGCTATTAGCCCAGTAATTGAGGATAATAAGCGGCTGTCAGAGAATGCAGAGGAAGCACAAACCCAAAGAGAAATAAGGATAGGTCATGGCCTAATCGCATCCGGGAACAAAGCGGGTAAGGGCGCCCGGTCCCAAGACTGCCTTGATAAAGCATTTGGCAGACACTTATTGTGTGTCGAGATGGAGGCAGCCGGGCTTTTGAATAATTTTCCATGTATTGCTAACAGAGGCACTTATGATTATGCAGAGTCGGGAAAAGAGAAAACCTAGCAAGAATATACTGCAGCCGTGGCCGCCGCATACGCAAAGGAACTTTTGGGATGTAGGCAGTCTAGTGTTGGGTATTATGAACAATCTTTCGGAAAATCATCACCAAGGGTGCAGCTTTTATCGACCCTTCGAGCTTGCCGTCTACAAAAGGACCTGCCGACGGCTTCACTATGGCGGAGAAAGCTGCAACCAAGAAACTTATGGACGATGCTGGATACAGGCTAGGTGCAGAAAATCAGCGGCAGTGCCGGATCTTTTGGAGAAATTTTCTCAAAATGCGCGACGTCGGTATCGAAAAAGTCCTATATTACCGCACCAAAGAATTTGGCAGCTACTGCAAAGGAAATCCCAAGACGTCAGAAACCTCTCGCGTGGATACAATCAAGAAGTGGGAGGCCCGATATAGACCTCATATCGAACAACTAGAAACGCGGCTTCTCAGGCTCGGGAAAGGTGACCTAGCGCGCGTATCCGATCTTGACAAATCCCCAAGTTTCTGAGAGGCTGAAAGCTCAGGGGTCCTGTTGGAACTGTGCCAGAAATGAATGGGCCTTCCCCAACGAGGAAGAAAGCTTCAAGGGACTTGGCTTGCAGGCTTTCTCTCCTGATATGGTATGCGCACCCTACGATAACCATTTAGTGTCAGAATCTGGTGGAAATAAATCCGCATTCACCTTCCTCTTGCCTAAAGACGATAGCTCTTTACTCGTTTGTTCCATCATTTCCGTGCGCGAAGGAGACTTTTTATGTGTTTTTTTCTGATAAAATTCGTTTCTCAGAAGCCAGAAGTGCCACACACGGTATCTGCGGACCAATCGACAATCTGGGGCTAGACTACTCAAAGTCACTGGTACATTGAACCAAATGCTCGTCTCCAAACCTGGTGGTTCCACAAACGTTCGGGCCCATTGGGAATCAATCTATGATGATATTGGCCCAGAGAGCTGGGCCTCATGGAGAGTTTCTTTAAAAGCCACTAAGCCCATGATGCTATTTGAGCCTCTCGTTCGTGAGGCTGCCCAGCAAGAGCAATATGTGTTGCACTCGGCTCCTGAGCATGCAAAGAGAGGTTTCCTCAAGCTTTATGAAACTGACTGAAAGTTCGTTGAGCATCTTAATTGCTATTCATAATCGGACGTGGCGAGCGGCTTCTACCAATTCGACTTCCCTCTTATATTATTGGTTCGATGGTTCTCCTTTCTCCACTTTGGAGTAGTACGACTCGGGGGGATGGAGGGAGTCAGTTGCCCCTGCTTTGTATTCTGTCCGGACTCTTCAGTTCATCCGAATCCCTAGCATAACCGTGATGTGCACGCCAATTATTTTCCAAATGCACCTTCCATTTATTTATTTTTTCGTAAAGGAAGCGCTAGCGATCGAGACACCAAGCAATTGAACTGTGTTAGCAAATCAATCCTCTGGTTCGGCATGTGGGCTAGCGACCACTTCTACGCTCTCGGCAAACAGCAATGTTGCACAGCAACATATGCAGAGCGAGCTACATCCGGCAACGAAAGTCATCATCATCCCCATAAAGCATCCAGAAGCTCGCTTGTCTAAGTGCTGTTACTTAATGCTTGGCCCGGTAAACTCTAGAGCTTTCGATATGGAATAGATTTTGTGCGGAATCGAATCTCTTATCAGCAGGGCGTTATACAGAGGTTAATCGTAATAATATTGCTTTGAATCACAACGCTAGGCAACAACCGCATTTCTATTAATGGCCCGTCCAGGTATGATCGTGATCAGAAAATTTCAGTCAGCGGAGGCTTGGCGAGAGAATCTGGACCCGAGGTCCCACTTCTATTCCTTTCCGCTCTTTGCCCAAACCCCCTTTCAAGGGCATAGGACCCCGTTTTCTCCGTCAGATCTTGAACTCAGCTGAAGGATCTTGATTATCAACCAACCACGGTATTCGAACTTATTCGCAATCAGTTCCCTGATTACCAACATTATGAAGGGATTTCGTGGCCGATCTCTTCTAGTCGGATTGCCTTTTTGTCTTGTTAGAGCAGAATCGGATTCCGACCCCTCTCTCTCTAGCCGCCGATGTCAACTGGTATCTTCCACTTCCGTGCTACCTATATCCACCACACCCACGTGCTAATCCCAGTCTCGGCACAGGTACGGCATTGACGGAACCTGGAGCGCGTGAGTGAGGGATTTTCTGGCATTCCAGCCTCGAGTAACTGACAGTCTTCAGCGTGAATATCTATGTTGGTACAGAGCTCACGATATCATCTTTATTTCCAAGCACTGTAGATAGAGGCACATGGCTCATCGGAGAAAAGGCTTGTGAAAACTGTACGTTATGTTGTCACCAGGCCATGTTTTCATAAAACAATGGACATAATAAACTGACAGTGGAAGCCAGCTTCGCTATCAGATTGTCCAACAAAACGAGGCGGCCTCTTTGATCCTTATAACTCTTCGACATGGAGAAATCAGGATGAACGTCCTAGATTGAGAAATTCCTCCACCCAAGCAACCTACGGCACAGATACAATACTTGTGGATTTTACGGAGGTGTACGAAGACCAGCTTATCATTATCAATGATAAGGATACCTGGATTGGATTGCTTGGCCTCGCTGTGAGCTTAAGCGACCATGCTCTAAGCGAGCACACTGACTTTTCTACCTTTTCCATGATGGAACAGGCCTATCTCAACAACAGTATCGCTCCCAGCGGAACATATGGCTACACCGCTGGCGCCCACTATCGTATGCAATACAACAGAACACAATTGTGGGAATCTCACTGATAGGTATACCAGGGTTAAAGGGTGTTCTAGCCTCTCTTACAATTGGAGGTGTAGATCAGGACCGATATAGTACTAATGATGCCATTTTTCATCTGACCAGGAATCTGGTTCCTGTTGTTTCACTGAATACCATATCAATTTCGTCCGACTCAGAAGATGAAAAAGGCATCTTTACACATCATCAAATCGCAACCTCTACCCCGGGAACTAGCTCTCTCTACACTCTTGACTCCTCGACTAGCTACATATGGCTGCCGGAAAATGCCTTCAATACCTTTGGCCAAGCTTTCAATCTTACCTATGATGATAATCTAGGTTTTTATACATATGGAAACGATACATCACTCCGGCAGCGTCTACTGGCTATGGGCTTGTCAATCACATTCTCCATTTCCGACTTTCCCAATGCCTCTCACGGTGTGAATATAACACTCCCCTTCCAAGCCTTTGATCACTCACTCTCCTATCCATTCCCGAATTTACCCTCCGAGTATTTCAACACTTCACTTCCCTATATTCCTGTCAAAATGGCATCCACAAATGAGGAACAGCGTATCGGCCGAGTTTTCTTCCAAGAAGCATACCTAGCAGTCGACTACGAGAGAGAGCAGTTCTCTGTCTACCAAGCCAAATTTGACGATGATCTTGTCGACGAGAGCAAGGATATCATCCGCATTGATTCCTATATCGAAAGGTCATTGGATATCTCATCCGGGAAACAAGGTATTCCGGCGGGAATTAAAGCTGGAATTGGAGTTGGTACCGCGGTTGGAACTGTCTTAGCCATAGCGACTGGATTCAGGGCATTCATATATTTACGGAAACGTCGATTTGCAAGGGAAGAAAAGGGTGAAACTTTGGAAGATGGTACGATTAGCCTCGACTATTCGTCTCATAGGCCTGGCGAGCTTGATGGCGAGCATGAAAATCGACTTGAAATGGCATCGGATAACTCTAATGCCGTTTTCGAACTACCAGGATCTGGATCAGCTGAGCTAGATGCTAGTCCAACTTCCATACATGACTCGGATCATGCGGCGAGTAAACCTGAGGAAAGACGAATCCCACGGCATTCGGAAACCCAGTCGAGTATTGCTGCTTCCTTATCTTCCCTAATAACGGAGAGTTCGGATGATGAAGGTCCGGCACCAAGGAAGGGACATACTGCTAGCCCTCCAACATATACGGTGTCTACATCTACGTAGAGAAGGATCACTTGATATCACTCCGACAGGAACCGGCCTGACAAATAGTCATACTTTGCTAAATGATACCCTGCAGGATGTTTCCTGACGCCCAAAATTCGGCTCTGCCATCATAATTACCCGTACCAATCCCTGCAATCTTGGCGTGTCGTCTGGGCTGAATAGGTGCACGCCCCAGTCTGTTTCAACGTCCGATCCTGATTCTTCTCTTGCGTAGTAATATCGTTCGGTAGCAAGGCGATGAACATCTTCTGCATGTCTGCGAAGATGCCTTTCATGCAGGAGATCCTCATTACACATGACATCTCCGATCCTCCAAGTGCTTTTCTCGAAAGTGTCGTAAAGTTGATTTGTGTTCGCTGTACTTGTGTGTTCGACGATGAACGGACAGCAGGTTATTGTCGTAACATTGAAAGCATCGTCGAGGTTTTTTGGCCTTCCGGATATAGCTTCCCGCCTTCTCCAGAAGCAATTGTTCCTTTGAAATTTTAGGAGAAATCGAGGCTATTTTTGTTGTTCGCTCTTCCATTGCTGTGTGCTCTTCGTCGGGTTCATCGATTGGAGCCGGCCGCTTACGTCGTCCACGCAGTGGCCCGCCTTCGAGGTGACAGCAAAATTGCGAGATAGCAGCGACAGCGGCATTTCGTCTCTGCCACTCTGCTTCCAATGAATGGGAAGTTGGCCATATCAACAATTTTTGGAAAATATTAGTCTGATCTGGTAGCATGCTGTCTGTTCGCAACACGTTTTTCGCTTCCTCGTGGTTGATAGCCGCTCCGGAGAGCTGTCGCTCAATGTCTATGTTCGCCTGTTTCCGATCAAACTCCTTTCGAACTTTCTTTCTCAATGCCCTCTCTAACAGAACAAAAGTGTTGAGCTTTTTGCGTGTGAGTTTGTCACGTCGCAATTGCATTTGCTCACTCGGATCATAGATGTAGATTTCGGCTTGCTTATCCAATCGCCGGATCACTTCGACATACTCTGGATGTTCACGAATTGACGCTCGTTGCTCAAGAGTCAGGTGCCGAGGCCATCTGGTATCAATCCACCTGCTCATGCGGGTGATTGCACGCATGAGGGATTTGTTGGATTTTGCGGCCGTTCATCACATTTTGCATGTCCATGTCAACATGTCGCGGAAGATAATGGTTGAGGAATCTGCGAAAATCTGTGTGCTTCATGATCAAATTTTGCTGAACTTGGCTGACCGCATCACTATTGTTCAACATTTTTCCACCTCCATAGCGCATGAGGTGCGCAAACATCGACTGAAGCCAACCATGAATATCCCCGAGATTCCTCAGTCGAGTAGACATGGTGCCACGATCCCACAGAAGAACCGGGTGTCCGTTGACCACCCCAGTCTTGCAAAAGATATAATATTCCTCCATCTCGGATTTCAAGGGGAGTGGTATCTGCTGGCGACCGCCTTCAACAAATAGACTTCGGAGTCTTTTCACGGAGAGGGCCGGGAATTTCAAAAATCTGCAGCCAGAAAAGTGTACAGTACCAAATATGAAGACGTGGGGGCTGAACATAAGCGACGGGTCGTCAATAATTTCGGGGAACGGAAAAGTGTTATTTAGAAGAATCAATTATCAGGGCAAGGAATCGAGCATCAAGGAATAGTAGAACCCGGCCCTGCATTGTGGGTTTGGGGTCGCGCAAAGAACCCTCGGGGCGATCAGGAAGCGGAGGAAGTTCCGGGGATGTGTAAGCTGTCGAGCCGCGAACTTGACCATCATCTGATTCTTCGCTGCCGCAGTCTGGCCGGAAAGACGTTCCGGAGGTGTCGCCTTCACCGTCCATGGAATGGTCCAACATTTCCAAGCCAGACTCTGTCGAAGATAAGTTCGGGTCGGCGAATCGAAAGGGAGGCGATCTATATCGAACGACGAAGACGACTATGACTGCGAGGGCAGGTCGTTGGATGGGCGGATAAATGTCATGCAAAAGAAACGTGAAGGATAGTGGGGTCACCTGGGTAGCAAAAGAAGACAGCGAGGACAGCGACCAGGGTCAGGGCAGCTGGAGCTTTTAAAGGCCAGTGAAAGCTGGCATCGATTGCGGCCATTTTGGCGCCGCAGAGGACAGAGGAGTGCCGCAGTGGGTTGTTTGGATGGGGGTGGGGGGGGTATAATGCTCAATCCGAAAGTTAGCAGAAAGGCATGGAATCCAGCGTGCCCAGGTACCAGGGGCCAGGGGAGCTCGAGCCAACGATACGCCTGAGGGGCCCAGAAGATCGACGGGCGCATAACTAGCTGCGCCGATCCCGAGCCCAATATGTCGCCCACGCTATGATCAAGAGCATTATCACGCTTACCTCCACTTTGGCCATCCTCTTCATCCATTATGATGCGTGAGACCGCATCTTCCGTGCTAGAGCCCTCGTTCAGAGGGTATGTGGCCTCTAAGCAGGACACGCTCATTCTGGTGAAGGCCTGTTTAAACGGCACGTTGCACCTGATTTCCCGTCGCCCCTATTTCGCGAACGGTCGTATCTCGTGCGCAGCGTTAACGTCTTCATCTACAAGGAGCAGACCTCCGGCATCAGGCGGTGGACTGATGGCGTCAAATGGAGTCTCAGTCGTATACGAGGCGGTTTCCTCATCTATCGCGAACTGGAGGAGTCTTCACCTACCGGCGGAAAAAGGCGCGCGATAGAGAGGGGCAATCGTCGACCGGCCCCTTTCACCCGACCGGGCGAGCCTTCTTATGGAAGTACCAATAGTGGTTCTACATACACACACACACACACACACACACAATTCATTAACGCCCGGCGGCTCAGCTGAAAGGGCAACTATCAGTAATCTACCAGTACATGCATGTTTGGGTATACGCCGTGTCTCCTTGGAGCCCATACAGAGTTTCTTTCCGAATCTGACATCTTAACTTCCAATCTCGTAGCTGGTCCCTGTGGGTTAGTATTGGTTAGTAGACTGGCTTGAAGGCGCTTCTTCAAGTGTTCAACATCCTATCCTCGGCAGTTGAAGCGCGTCTACCGTCGATCACAAGGTGTAGGGGTTAGTAAGGTGAGGTATTCTATCAGTTTGTCGGCACGCCTAGGTGGCCTCAAGTCGGCCCGTAGCGACCGCGAACCGTATTGAGGCTCGCACTGCTTCCAAATTCGGCTTCCACTTTTGATCGTCGGAGGGTGACTTCCCTCCCAAGAAGAAGGACATATTACTTCGGTGAGTGTGGGTACATTGCAGCATTTCCGTCCGGTGCGCTGTCCACTTCCGACATCGAAACAGAAAGTGGTCTACCGTCTCTCTTGCTTGTCCACATGCACATTGATCTGTTTCGGCGGCATTGATCCGAAAGAGATATCCATTGAGTCTTGCCATGCCCGTGCGGAGCTGGGCTAGCACGCTCGCCTCTTTCCACGATAATCGGTCATACAGCTGTCGCGTGTGTTTTCCTGGGAGCGCTGTGTCCACTCGTCGGGAGTGTCTCCCTACATTCTCGGGCAACTCGCTATTGGGGACTGCTTGGGCACGCGCAATCTTTAGAGTGGTCGATTTCATTTTGGGGACCTGTCCTTGCAGAATGGCATCTTCTTGCGTCGCGGCTCTCGCCTGCTCTTTCGCCAGCCCTAGTAGTTTGTTGTCTTCGCTAGTGGGGGTCCACCGGACGCTGATCTGATTTCCATGCTTCTGCAGTCTTCTCATCAGCTTGTAGATTTGACAGACAAATTCCTGGCCCGACTGTTGTCGCGGGTTCTTCAACGTAAGAGCCGCTGCTTTGTTGCTCGTGAACAGTGTGATCCTAAAGTCTTTCAATCCCACGAGTGTCTTCAGTGTATGCGCCATTGCCGCCAGCTCCGCGGAAAATGGATTTTGCTCTGTTCTCGCACTCAACGTGACGGACAAGGTCTTCAGTCTCACTTTGCGATAGCGTGGTGGTTGTTTCTCGATCGCCACACCAAACCCAACCAGCTCATTCCGCGCCGAGCTGCTGAACGCAATCTGCATTGACCCGCCTGGTACAGTTGACCCCTCTGAGATGGGCTCATCAGACTGCACGCGTGCTTCCCATGGTGCCAGTGTAAACGGGTTGATGGTTTCCAGTGATTCCATGTCGATGTTTTTCAGCGCGTCCGCTACTTGATATAGTGGTGAGCGGTGGTATCTCCAGAACTTCCGGATCCGATCTGTGTTTCTGCGAAGAGGATTGGTCTCTGGTAGTGTGTGGAGGTCTGCCCACATCTTCACGGCTCGTCTCCAGAATCGGTGTTGTGCCGTGGCAATGTGGGCCTCGGCCTCCGCTACGCTGGTCGCAACTGTAAGGAATGTTCCTATAATTGCTTGTGCTCCTACCCTTTGCACACGGTTGATCGGTCCGATGTTCTTATTCTTGAATGCGTGCATCCAAACATTCGACGCATAGTCCACCACCGGAGCCACGGTCGCTGTGAAGAGCTGTCGTGCGCTCGCTGGGGAGAGGCCTCGGAGCCGTCGTAGCTCCATCGCGGCCTCCAGGCCCTTAGATACTGCCCTTGCGATATGCTCTTTGTACTTCAGTCGCGTGTCCATCAGGACCCCCAGGTTTTTGACCTTGGTTTTAGGCTCGACCATCTGTCCCTTGACAGTGAACGGTTCTTGGTCGACTTTGCGAGCCTTGGGTGCGAAATGTTTAATGGCTGTTTTGTCTGCTTCAAAGGTTGCGCCGCTCCTCCTTTCCCAATCGAGCGCGTCATTGATGATTGTTGCGATACCTTCCCGATTACTCTGTACGGTTGGCCCTGTTACCCACGCGGTGAAGTCATCCACGAAGGCAATTGCTCCTCCTTGGCCGTCGATCGGTCTCTGCACGAGCCGGTCGATCTTCTGTGTGAAATTTTCTCGGCTCGAGGATTTCCACGTGCTCTTTGGCGATGTTCTGTTTCTGTTAGCAGGATACACAGCTATATGGTGATGTCGCATATGAAGAATCAATATCTGCAAAATATATATCCCCAGATTTGCGCTACTAAATATATTCTCATAATTGGCGGTAAAATAGAATACGAACTATCAGAATATCAACTATAGAAAGCTACCTCTTTGAATCATCTCTCAAGTATCATTGTCCGTTGGCATGATCAAATGAAAGACATTTCCGGAGCTCAAAACGCCGATTTGGCTCGGAGTAACGGTTGGTATGGTCTGGGAAAACGGTGCTTATAGTCAAGCAAACATGAGCTGCCAGCACTTGCCTCAATTGTGGTCTAGTGGATATTGCTGCATTTACTTTCTAATAACGGTTCGGGTTCGATTTCCGCAGGTTTAATTCCGATGAAATTCCGACAGAATGAGAGCTCGATCTCGCTCATGTAGTTCGCCCTCGTAATCACAATTTGTCTGGAATTTCCGAGTCATCTTTTGGAAAAACTGCGACTCAAACTCCCTTATTCGGTATGCCCCTTGCCGTTTTCGGATGTTACGTCAAATACAACACTTCCAAGCTTTTTCACTGAAAGTCCCTCTTTTCCCTTTTTGGTCATATTATGTCACCACATTTGGACCATTCTCGGCAGTATCATCTCCATATCACTCTATATTCTCCGCTTCTCTACGCCTTTCCTACTTCTGATATGGCCTAGTTGCCGATTAGCTAAAATGTGCACTGCATGAAGCCACGCACCTGCACATATGGGTTTCGCATCGGCTTTGCTCTTCATGGAGTATCTATTTCCGTCATCGCGTCGGAAGCACGGTAGAAAAAAGCGCTGGAACCTAGAACAGGTTACTCATTACAAGGACCAATCCAGCAGGGACGATTTGACTCTTCCGTCCGCAAAGCTTGACATTCTGGTTGAGTCGGCCCCTCTCATCTGCTACGGGTCACCGGCAACCTCCACCGGAGCGCTGTTCTCGGGTCGTCTTCGCATTACAGTCACTGAACCGGCCAACCGGCTAATAGTGAGAGAGTTAGACGTCAAGCTCGTTTCTAAGAAGACTAATAAGAAGCCCGCGTCGAGTCACTGCCCGAATTGCACCGTCCTCAGCGAAGAACTGACCCGCTGGAACCTTCTTTCAAAGCCGCTTCTTCTTGAGAGCGGGTACTACGATTTTCCTTTCAGTTGCCTGTTTCCTGGTCATCTACCCGCCTCCTGCGATAGCTCTTTAGGCCAGATAGAATATATCCTGCGGGTGAACACTCAGAGCTCTACAGATGAGGAGTTGAATCTAGAATTACCTCTCCACGTCCGACGTGCGCTTATCCCCAGCAACGATGTTTCATCCACCCGAACATTACCGCCAACCAATCTCACCTGCCTCGTCGTACGACCATCAGTGACCCTCCCTATCGGCAAGTTTCCCGTGCAAATGGTGTTGAGCGGTATAGTCGACGAGGACAACGATTCACAGACGCGCTGGTGTCTGCGAAGGTTGATGTGGCGGATCGAAGAGCATCAGAGAATCACATCACCCGCATGCCAGAAACATGCCGGTAAACGTCATGTCGGCGGCAAAGATATCCTGCACCAGGAGACGCGCATCGTTGGCCAGAATGAAGAAAGTAACAGATGGAAGGCAATTCCTAGCATCGCCGGCGGCGAGGTTAACATCCAATTCGATGCTAGCATTAGCCCGATTGCCAATGCGACTTGCGACATGGATGCCCATGATGGCTTAGAGGTTAAGCATGACCTTGTTATCGAATTTGTCGTGGCTTACGAGTCGTATTCGAACCGAACAATCGCTTTAATCACTCCCACCGACTCTGCTCGTTTGTTTAGTACGAGATTCGAGCTCCATGTCACTGAGCACAGTGGTCTCAGCATTAGTTGGGATAAAGAATTGCCTCCAACCTATGAAAATGTTTCGGCCAGGGCGCCGGCGTACACTTAAGCTAGACAGCCCATTGGAGCCAAGGAGGACCATCGTGGATCTCGATACCCCCCTTGAGACACGAGTGTTTTGCTACCAACCGTCATATTGCCGATGATACATAAGGCCCGTCTTGTGCCCTATCTTACGATTTGCGAGTCTATTTGTCACGTCTTTGAACCTGTCGTCTTCGTATCTGTCGGCTGCTGTTAGAGGTCGCTTTATTTCGTGATATCGTGCGAATATGCTTCTTATCTCGCGGATATTCAGTGTTAATACCCATAGACTAGATCTACCACACCCTTAATTGCCACCCTCACCTATTTCCTACATCAATCACCGTACCATTTGAAGATATATGAAGAATATAGTCGTTCCGTAAGACTCCTATTTTACCCCCTTCATTACTTAGGAAGTCCGGAGGGAGGATGTTGCTGCTTAATGGATTTAATATGCGGCCATTTTGAGGATTATCAAGGGCAGGTAAGATCTTGCCCCCTTTATTGGTAGTTTCTGCGAAGATGAGTGTCTTGATTCGCATAGTAGGTATTTGAAGTTGGTAGGTGTGTAGGAAGGCGCGATTTGGAAAGGAGTGATTCGCATGCCGTGTGTTCCAGCCAGGAGGAGATACGCTATATTGTCCTGGCATTTTCCGGCATTATAGGTACTTTATTCTGTTTTCATAGGCCTAGGTTCATACCGACTTGGTTTTTGGGAGTGACTGGCTCTCGGTGGCCCATCAGTAAGCCATGGCCCCTCAAATAGAGGCGGTTTTGCAGGGACCGTAACAGGAGAGATCTAGAGAGTTCAATCAAGGATGTTGAATAGGGAGTGCTTAGTTAAGAGTGCCGGAATGATGATGCTGGGTTGGGAGTGTTCACTTAGCGTTGAGAAGTAATTAAACCAATACTCTTTCGGACGCATCCCTGCCACCGCTTCAACCTCCCAGCCGATCGCTACATGTACATCGAACAAAAATTGTTGAAAGATCTTTTTACAAACGATCTATGCTATATTTTTTAGGCGGAATTTGCGTAGGTCCTGTCTTCTTGAGAGCTACAAGACTTTTAATATAAATCTGCTAGAACAATAGACCACCGGAAACAGTATGGACATCTACCCTCGCAGCATTCTCTGCATCAAAGCTTGTTACATCACGATATCTGTATTGTTGCGTTGCTTTATTTCTTCTCGCTTTACGAAAGTATGCTTGAATCGTAACTACTGGGTAAATGCGTAGTTTCCAGGAACATTCTTCGTACAATCACGACTTTCAACACGTTCATTAGCCTAGTAGAGGGAACATTCTCATCGTGTTTACATTCTTGAATTAAATGCTGGGAAATGTGACCGAATCCATTCCCGCAATTTAGACCCACGTAGTGCCACAACCTAGCTTTTGATTCCAGTGGAGATTCACTTTGGGTAACCCTGAGAAAGTCCTGAAATTTCATTGGTCACTTTCCCACTCTCTCTACTCATGCCTCAATGAGCGGAATAGGTCTAAGATCGCGGCGAACTACTATGGAACACTATCATAGAATGCACTTACTCGATCAAGGTATATTTGCAAGACCCGAGATGCCTGGTACATACAATTTGATCGCTGATATCGCTTTGAAGCAATGTGAACTCGGGCTTCGTCGGACCCAGCGCCACCTGAATTTGCCGCCACTATACAATCTTTGGGTTAAGACATACAGGCGGCTTCGATAGCGCCAGTCCCGTTCCGAAAGATCTTGTTGGGGTAAGCTCAGATGTGCAAAGTAATGCTCTGCGCAAATGCAGTGAGTCAGCAACGCAAAAAATGCAAAGAGTGCTCAGAAATCCCCCCCACCCCCGGGGGTTTTCGCATCCACCTGGTCCAGCGCAAAACTAATAATTTCCTCTATTGGCTCATAAGGATGACTCGTTTGTTTAAAATATTTGCCCCAGTACTGAATCCTACGAGAAGGCAGAGTTGAACCGGTCTTAGGCAGGCGTGTGCAGCCTGGGTTGACTCCCGAGCAGCAAATTTTCAGCGTTTAATTGTAGTCGATTTTTCGAGCTTATGAATTTGAGAGAATGGTCCCACGTTCTTCTGGATCATACATTATAACCGATGTGTGCAGCATATTATAGAACACGGCCAATACACACCGGTCGTGAAAATCGCTAGCCGCGTTAACCAACATCCGTCTGCCAGCGGCTTTCCCGCGTCACAGATATCCCGCTGGGCTCATCATGTGTAACAACCGCCACCATTTGTTTCCCTTGGATTTAATATATCTGATGGTTCACTGCCACGGGCAAGTCACGTCAACTATCCTGCTAGCTTTTCTCGGTTTTTTTTTCGAATTTAATCTAATTTTTAGGCAATAATAATGGCAATGCCGGGGTGGATTTTTACCGCGAGCGATTCTATTCTATTGCTGACAGTGGAAGGGATCAGCGAGCATTGACCAACCGCGAAACATTGCCTCAAATCTAGCAAATTTTTAGCCCAGGATGGCCAACCAAAAGTCCCACTGATAAGATCCTATCAAACAGCTCGGGTTTAAGGGTAAATAAGGGTGCCAGAATCAATCAAGGTGCGGCGGGACTACTCTGGCACGGCCAAGGCAATAGCTCGCTTGAAGGTCGGCGCGATCTATCATAAACGGTCGGTAGAAATAACATGGAGATTCTGCATCACCCACTAACCTCACAACCCAGGTTAGTTTGCCAAATCCCGGCAAGGTAGAGATGTCGACTTTATTCATGGGAACACTACAGACAGGGATGGTTCTCAAGGGATGGTTACATCAGCAAGGTGTCAAGAGCTATAGTCGTTGCACATACCTGCCATGAAAATACTTCTCTATCAAGAACAGACAATCTAGAGGCGATGTTGTGAGCGTCGGTACAATCACAAGTATGAGAGATCAGGTCCAATCCACAGAAAGACGGTCCAAAGTGCAGACCAAGTCCGATGCAGACCTGTGCGACTGGCTGCCACCTCGTCCTGGCACAAGGAATAGGCCAGACTCAATATGTCCAATTGCGTTAGTACAAAAGGCGGGCAAGGTGGAAGAGAAGCTGCTCATGTCTTAGGATTGGGCTGGCTGAGGCGTGTTTTCAATAGAGACGATGTGCTGGGGTCTGGGGGACATATTTTATAATGCTGCGGGCGCGTTGTCGCTCGCGAAGCTGTGATCGAGGGTCCGATCGAGTTGGCCCGTCGAACCGTTTCACGATTGACTGTATGCTAGTTTAATTGGATTAGCAGGTTTCATCTCGTTGAAAAATTATTCTGAAGTCTTATTCCAGGATTTCAACGTCGCTTCAACATTCGTGGCGCAGCTACCAAATAAAAACACCAACAACGCTTCGTGTCAAATTTCAGAAACACGAGCTTCTACCAGTCAAAACAAATTCTGCGTCATCATTTAGCTTGTTCTCAACGATGATAGTTGCTCATTTCGGTAATGATCATTGGACACCCAACATCCATTTTACGGATCAATTGGTATGCAGACTCATCGACCAGTCTATTCTTGATATCATGTTGTTGGAACTTTTTTTCCCCTGCCTCCACTAACATTAATCTCCGCCTACGTGCTATTTTCAAGGTGTTAGTTTGCAAAAAAATCGTATTCTAGAGGCCCGGCAGATAACGCTGATTATTGAAAATATATCTAGCGATCTTTTTCAGTTAATCCCTTTTGCCGGTTCATCTGATTCGCGAGCAAATTTCTGAGGGGCCCACAGCGGGTTCCGACATAACTATAAATATTCTTCTCAAAGAGCTTAGTAGGCTGAACTGTAGCAACCAATCGGAGTTATGAACAAGTCTGAATTGCTGTTTTGCCCGTGACACGCAATTTATATGGGTACTGAATATTCCTTGGGCGCACTAGCTTCTGCTCAAACCTTGTGTAATGACGTCACGCCGATGAACATCCTTGCAACATATTTTAAACAGGCTAGCCAGTTCACATATGAGCCACGTATATATATGGGAGCTTTCGCCCTGGATTCCAAAGGCGTAACAATAACATAGTACAGGCAGATTTCAGTTTTGGGGTTCATTCACTCCTTGATCTTCCATCCATTCCTGGTCATCCCTTTAGACCGTCCAACCTAACCTCATGCTCGACACAACTTCCACATATACAAAAGAAACCAGCGAGGGAAAGCCGTATATCAAGCAAGTGGAAAAGAACAATGAGATTGTGGTGGTTGCTGAGAAGAGTTACATCACCAGCGAGCGGCTCCCAGCAGTCTCTCTCGCTAACACCATAGAAAGCCCCGGTATTGCGCGAGCTAACACGGCGGTATCTGAAGAAAAACCCGACGGTGACCTTGAATGGGCCAGAAAATGTGACGGTTATGTATGTATTTGAGCTATGAGTCTCCAAGGTTTGTCATCCAATCATTGATGCTGATGATGTATAGTCGCCCCTTCAGCAGCACATCCTCTTCTGGGATCGCGATGGTGACGGAATGATCTACCCTTGGGATACCTACATTGGGTTTCGGGAACTAGGGTGCAACATCTTATTTTCAATGATTGCGACTTTCATAATCAACGTCAACTTCTCCTATCCAACACGCCTAGCATACTCGTGGTTGCCTGACCCATGGTTCCGTGTTTATATTACAAGCATCCATAAAGCTAAGGTAAGTACCTCAGAAACCGCGGCAAACTAAACGTAATGATGGAGCTAATTCTATATCAGCATGGCTCAGACAGTGGCGTCTACGATCCAGAGGGCCGTTTCGTACCGCAACTCTTCGAGAATTTGTTTTCGAAGAGGGACAAAGATAGGGATGGAGCTTTGACGCTTCGGGAGCTTTTCCAGCTAATGCACGGCCATAGATGCGCCGCAGATCCTTTTGGGGTAAGTTTCGTTATGTGTGGTGACTTTTGGAATTCAACGCTAAGAATTTTCCAGTGGTTTGCAGCTTTGTTTGAGTGGGGGACAACTTGGCTTTTGGTTCAAAAGGACAGTAACGTGCAGAAAGAGGATCTACGAGCTGTATATGATGTAAGGCAACCTGCTTGGACTGCGGAGTATATGATTCGGCTAACAGTGCCAGGGTTCCTTGTTCTGGAAAATAAGGGAAGCTAGAAAGACCCCAGCAGGCTGGACGCAGGGCTGGGGATTGGGAGGTGATGGATTTATCGGAGGAAAGCAGTTGCTTTAGTAATTGCTGGTGAACCTAGGACATGTTCGGCATAGATATCTATTTAACGGGGAATAACAGCCTAATCCTAAGCCGGACCCTGAAAAAGAAAAAATGCAAACAAAGTCAGCGCGAGGTTATCCGCGTTGATGGAAGAGTCAGGTGCATGGCCAAAGCTCTCCTCTCGTGGCTTCTATCGACACGGCATACTTTTATCTACATTATCTGAAAGAGCTGGAGTCATGTCCTAATCTTTCAAAGCTTCAAGAACATACTGTACAATAGTATAGCTCAAATCCTCAAGGATATGATTACCACATTGCTGACAAAATCAAGAACAGTAATGAAATCCTCAATGTCAACTTCTGAGATTGATGGCGAGCTGTGATAATGGAACAGGATGCTCTCACATAAACAAATCAGGTGGCGGAGCATTGTGACATTCTCATGGGGCATCTACTGGGGGATTGGTGGACTTCTGGCAGACCGGCACTCAGTACCAATATCCGTGTGGCCACCTATTCAAGTGCGAGATATAAAATTCAATGACTCACGATGAATAGATACTCTGCATCGTAAGGACTGGTCAAATAAGAAACCACGACAAAAACCAAACAGCGGCAGCCTCGGGTTCCATAATTCTTATTGTCACCTTATCTCAAAATCTTGTTCATACTGCTCTGGCGTGAGACTTGAACAGATCACAAATCAAAACGAACCATTAAAGTTAACCCGAGGTATCGGGCCAAGTTGAATCAACTTGTTCTTGTTGTATATAAAGCCTCATGTTTCCTTACTTATAAATCTCTGGATTACAACACACATCACAGCGTGCTTTGTAGCTATTATATTGATATTCCTCTTCTTACCCCATTAGAATATGTTATTTTATCAAATCATAGTTGATGATAAAAGTCTACTTCAGTGGGCAACCCACAAAGGAAGAAAAAAGGGATGCTCTGATGATATCACACACTCAACGATCAGCTTACCTGCTGAGATATGTACTTTCAGACGGAAGTAAAACGGTTAGTATCAGCACTTGCTAAAAGAGTATGGACTAGTATGCATTCAGGACGAATGAGATCAAGCGGAACCAATTCAGGATAAAAGGATTGATTGATTGATTGAGGTCCCGAGATCGGTTAAGCGACCTCAGGGGCTTTTATAATCGATCTATGGCGTGTTATGACACCATTCTTCCGATCTCGTACGAATAGTTACAAAGGGTGAATGATGAATAAGCCTATCCAGAGGGGTCCTAGTGGTAAATTACCCCTCCATGCGCTGACAGAAGGGAACAGCTGTTTAGCGATAATCCATTGCTACGTACCAGACCTTACCGATTGATCCATCGTCGACAAATAGTAGTGGAGAGGATATTATGTCAGTGGTAAATTACCACTGGAGCTCGATTTGGACAGAATCCACAAGAGAGGGGCTTACTAAGAAGCAAGCCCTGAGGTTCTGTCGGTAAAGGTGGAAAGGAATCTGACTAGCGCAATTTGATTCATTCAAGACCTATGTCGGTGTTCCGTATTGTGTAATGTATGGGTCATTTCTGCCGCGAACTCGTTCACGATATCTGTAAAGTTGTCTTCAAAACCAAGACGGTGACTCCGTACCAAACATAATCAAGGTGTCAGAACAGGCTAATACAGTACGGCATAGTATGCAATGAATGGGGATATCTTTTCAGAAGGGGAACCAATCAGTAGAATTGACATATAGGATTGATTGATTGAGATCAAAAGAATGGCAGGTAGAGGGTATGTTAAATACCCATCTGCAGAATTGGCTCATAGTCGATATGTGGATGGAACTAATTTCTCCATGTCTCGTAGGACCCATGGGATACTCGAGAGTGACTTTGTGTTGTCTCGGAGCCCCAAAAGTATATACAAAAGGCAAAGGAAAGCGGCGTAAAGAAGAAACCAATAGGAGACAGCTGTAAGTAACTGCTCCACTATTGTCGACAGATTCACATCTCAAAAAAAAAATCTGTAGATGCGACTTACTTTCGAATTTCAGACTTTGTCTCATTTTCAAGAGAGTTATACTTCACAGCGTGAAGCCATGATTAGTGCTAAGCTCATGTCGCACTTTTAATTTGCGCTTCCTCCGGTAGTTGCCCTCACTATAGTTGATATAGGGGATATGCACCCAGTATGGAGAATTTTGTATCGCAGAGCAGCCGATGCGACCTATATCCTTGCTCGTCGGTCATACATGTGTTGTGTCTGGCGATTTCCTCCCCAATCTGACAGTATTTGTCATTGTAAACGAGGACTGGAAGAATTTAGCTGTAATTCCTCCATTGGGGCCTGTAGTGACGTACCTGAACACCCTATGTCGATAAATTCTACATTGACAGAATGAATCGTATTATTGTCGCGCGATTGCACACACAAACCGAGCTGGCTGCCATAGATACCTTCTTCGCCTAAACTTTTGCCATAGCAATGGCAACTATCCCAAAGACGAAGTTGCGCATATCGGTGGTTCGGGATGTTATTTCCAACAGTGCTTTCCAGAATGAGTAGCTGGAAAAAAAGAGAAAATGGGAAATACATGTTGAGGATTTCCTGTTAAAAAGATTTCAGTCAATAGGAATTTTCAATCGGAACCTTCAAATTCTCAGGGCATTCAGCCCTCAAATATAGATCGAGCAGACCAAGAGGCTTGCCACATTATAACATGCATATTTCAACGCGCATAGAATGGATGGAGGGAGTTGGTCGTTCAAAGCCAGTACAATCTGGTCATCAAGGATGAGGTTTTCTCAATACAACAAACAGGCGTTGGTAGTATTCGATGAGTCACAGTTTTGATTGCGAAAATATCGGTCAATCAATTTAATAGTTGAGAGTTTGGTGAATTAGAGCTGTGACCGATCTTTGGTCTACCGTTGGAATCCTGGGCCCCACCATGGATGCATCATGTTTAACCTGTCATGACTGAATTATCAACGACGCAAGAATCAACTGCCTTGAATATGATCCTGGCTCACGAATACAAAATTTGAAGTAATTTACTTCTACACATGTTTTTGATAAGTTTATAAAGGAGAGATTGACAGCCCCCTCATCCGCCAAATAAAAAGTAACTTTTCATCATGGCCGGTATGGATATCACAAATGACGTCCGAGTCGGCCAAGGCATGGAAGAAGGCCAGCTGTCTGAATTCAAGTTGGATCAAACGCTTGAGTGCGACAGTCCCATCGGCATTGGCCGAAACCCCGAGTAGAACCCCCTAGTGGTAGGTAGCGAGGCCGCGATGCCTTCTCAGATGTTTTGAATACTTTGGCTGATAATTTTTCTTCTACTCGCAGTAGGAAACATACGAGCGAGTCATGTCGGTGAACGAACCTTATCAGCGCGTTATGAGGGACTTGACAGATCTTGAGCGGGAAGATCCAAATTTAGCCTTCCAAGGAGCGCGAATTTTGGGTCTCTACCGACGTCTTTGCAGGTCATGCGTGTCCAAGCACCTCGATGGCGAGAGCCTCGAAAGGGACAACCAAACATTGCGAGAGGCTAACATGCATCTGAACGACGAAAGAGATGGACTTCAACTCCACCGTGACGAGCAGCAGTCTCGATTGCTTCTCTTGGACCGAGATTTGGAATTGTCTCGACAGCGATTGATCAGCATTCTTAACGACTGGAGCCAGTACTCTCGCGGGGAGCTGACTGGTCTGGCGGGTCTTGAGTAATTTTTCGGGCTTTCGGGCATACTTTTGGAATCGCCACTCAAACGAGACTGGTGATGTTCATTAGGTACAGGTGGAACATAGTTCTGGTTCCGAGCCAGCGAAGAATCGCTACCTCCAAATAGGTCTACTGGAACATATCTCAAACTACTAGACACTCGCTACTCGGGTATGTAGCTAAAGCATTTCATCTCTTTCTGTACAACGCTGCCAAAGGCCGTCCCCTCGAAAGTAAGTGATTTACTGCAATGTAAAAGTTTTGAGCATACACCAACTGTTCAGGGCACTCATCATACAGTAAGAGAGGAAATCAAATCTTTGCATGAAGCTGAATATGCGAGCTGTGGGTACCAAAAATACCTATTCGTTCTAAGCATTGCCATTTCAAAAATGATTCCTATAAAGCTACGTCCAATTCCTGGGAGCAATTACAGTTCTGGGGAATGCTAATGTGATCCTTCCAACCGATTGTCTCAATAGCTAGGGATAAATGGTATTCCTTATCTGCTCCTAGGATATCTGGTGCTATAACGGGTATTTATTGACAGGCTGGTGCAAGAAAGGAATCGTAGGCAACCAATCTATCGTGGCTTGTAAGCTTGCAATGATGATGCATTTGCCGATGCCTTTATAATCTAAAAAAACTATTTATATGCTTGTTCCCGGATAATTGTCCTATTGTTCCAACTCTTTTTACCTACTCATTTTGAGCTTTACCCAAGCCCCTGAAATCTTGCAGCTTAAGCTTTTGGCAGATTTTCATCCCCACTTCCCCATTTGGCTACACCATGTCTCAGTATACCGATGCATCCAGTATTCTTTTACGCCTAGGAGTCTTTCTCCTCACCACGATTTGGCTACTCGTCGCTGCATTCAATTCCGCCACTGCTCGCTTTGCAGATGTTTTGGGTGGCTAGCCCATTTAATTATCTGCGTTAGGGTCTTGGCAGTCGGGCCAGGAAAGAGTCTCTTTGTGTGTACTGGTCAAGGCGATTTCGAGAATCACTGTAAATAATGCTCCCTTATCTGTTTTGTGCCATGCCGGTGAGATATAGTCACTGAAATTTTGGTCCTGTGATTGACTAATTCTGGCTTCTTGTCAGTTGAAATATTTGGCCCAGAACGAATAGTAAAGATGCAAGATCTAGAACTGGACGTAGTCAAGCCTTGGTAGTTAGGCTCCTCTCATCTAGGAGATAATTTTCCAGATGCTCGATCTAATCCGAAAACGGATGGCGGCTTCTGAGAGGGACAGAAGCAAGGGCCCCAACCAAGCTTTGCCTCGTACCGCGATTGAGATTGAAAGGTGAGGTTGGAAAAAGCAAGTCAGCTAGTTGATAATATATATCTTGATGCTTCGGCGTTTCAGAACATGTAACTTACAATTTGTTACGCTTTTCTAAGAACATTATGCTGTAAGCGGCAAGCGAGCACTAGCGTATATACTAAAAAGATCCAGGGAAGTGTTTTCTTTTGGGGAATTCTAGAATAATTTCTCTGTAAAAAGTGGAAGCCGATTTCGAACCTGAGTGTATAAGCCTGGTACTGCTCGATTTCTAACTACGGTAATCTTAGTTGGCAAAAACGGGACATCCGTCCTTCGTGAGAAGTCCGCGATAAGCTGGGTCATAGTGTGGGCTGGCTTCATCTAGAGTGGCGACGTAGCGATATCGACCTTTTTGTTTACAATGGGCCTTTTTGTAATGAGTCTTCAGATGATCTGGACGCAAAAATGGACGGCGACACTCTGGTACCCAGCATATGTGGTTTCTTTTATTCAAATGGCTGTTCATATGACGCCTCAGGTGCTCTTTCCGATAGAACACCCTTTTGCACCTTGGCTCAGGACAATCAATGGGGATTGAACCCCCCCTTTTCGTAGGTAGACCGCTTGCAAGGGCTATCTTGTTCCTCATGGGCATCAAAAATGCAATCTCCGAATGTATTTTTCGACAGTTGATCATGGCGGAGTTCTGGCCCAGGAGACAGTGGAAAAAAGTCAAACATGGAAGCTTTTCCATCTTCTAAGTCGCTGGAGTCTGCGTCGTTCTTGAGGCTATAGAAATCAACCATGTCAACTTGCGCCCCAGTTGCAGCTTCCAGTTGCTTAAGAGGTTTCGACAATCTGTCCTGGTCAAGAGCTATCACTGGATCCTCGCAGTCAGAGTGTCCTCCGGAGTACCCCAAAAAAGGATCTTCTCTTTCAAGACATTCTTCATTGCAAACAAATGCCGCTCCTTCCAGCGAAGAACAGATGGACATTTTAAATCTGCCCTGGGGGCATAAAAGTATTTCCAAAGGAGTATGAGATGATAGTACAGGGATTTACCCATTTGGCAGAGCTTAAATAGGCAATGTGGGCTTGAAAGTCTCAATTTTTATTGAAGCTTTCAATGTGAAAACGTGTTGCCCAACGGGAATGTAGATTCCCGGGCATGGATAAACAACTCAGGTCAAAGTCGAATAGTCCACGAAGAGCCCTTGTCTGTTTAGCCACTGTATCCTTTATGTTATTAACATCCGTTCATCAGGGAACGTTAAACGGTGAATAGTAAAGGTTCAAGAAACAGCAATCTGTGCATCATGCTTATTCTCGGTTTGGAATTGCCGATTGTGGTCGTCGATCTGCTCAAGTGAGCAGTGGATGATGCTCCCTGAGCGAACTGGAGCAGCAGATGACGCTCCGGGAGCGGCTCCCTGATCAACTCAGGCTGTATTATTGTAGCGTGTGACGGTGTAAAAAGCAAGTGAATTCAACAAATTTTGTACAGTACTGTATATTGCTAACAGTTGAAGTACGACACGACGCTCAAGTTAGATAATCCATCTACTGTAACAAAAGTTTGAAGAGTGGCATGCTGCTTGGCGTGCTTAGCTCTCATTTTAATTTGGGTCATTCACAACATATTGATTCAACGATCGGAAGACATGTCGTGTGCGATATTTTAAACATGTCTCTGTGCTCATCTTCCATTTTGGATTGCCCAATCCTAAATACAAGTATTAAGGAGTTTTGTTTCCCCTGGACTTGTTTGGTGCATGTTCTTGAGTTACTAGGAGTCAAGCTGTGAAAATGTTAAATGCGATATCCAGGCTCCTGGCTTGTTCGCTTGCCCTGGCGTCTTTGCTATTAATCGCATTCATACTTTCAGGCTGCACATCAACTTCATCGCCAGATTATCTTTATTTTATGAAGGTAGGGAGTTTTCAACATCTAAGTTATGTCGCTGACAAGCGAAATATAGATAGATTTGACAGGATTCTCCAAAGACAAACGTCAATCTTTCAGTATAGGGCACCGTAATAAGAAGAACCCTTCCAATATCACCACAGCCGTGATAAACTCGGCAGAGGCGATACAGAACATTTCATCCGAGGTATCTCATGCGGCCGGAACAGCTGCCCAAGCAGAGGATCGAGCGAAAAGGCTAGTTGGCAGCATCGGGCCTGATTTGCCTGGTTTCTATTCAATTGGTATCTTGGGCTACTGCGAAGGAAGCGATTCTAAATTCGAAGATTGCTCTAAGCCCAGCGTTTCTTTCTATCTTGATCTCGCTGGTATATTTCAAAATGTCTCATCAGAAATCACAGACATAATACCGGAACTAGAGAAAAAGGTCTTTAAGGGATACAAAAATGCCTCTCAATGGTCTATCGTGGGTTTCATTGCCGGATTAGCATTAACAGTGGTGTCCATAATCCTGTCCTTCACAAAACTCCGGGTCAGTTTGATCCTCATAGCGCTGGTATAGATGATCCGTCCGCAGACCTTGAAAATTGTTTACTAAATCTCTCAGGTTTCGACTGTTGTAATCACCGGGGCATGCATAACCATGACTGCCATTTATGGGACATTCGCCGCCGCCATAGATGGTGTTTTTAAGCCCTTTGGTGCCTCTGCTAGCCTGGGTCCACGTATGCTTGCCGCCGCGTGGTTATCTGCAGCTTTTTCAATGGGATCTACAATGGCATGGATGATTCTTGCCTTTTGCTGTTGTATTTGAGGATAAGGAAAGCTTATGCCAGGTAGTTTCCTTGCAGTAATGTCACCAGCTTGCGATACCATACACGCAACTTCCCCTTACCCTTCTGATGAAATTAGCTCTGCTCGTATGTATATACATAGCTACCTTATTTGTTTTTGTCTGGTCGTCATTTTCCTTTGAGCCAAGTGGGACCAGGTCGATAGGCAACTGAAGGTTCTTTCAAGATCGCTATATAGGATTTCAGAAAGTGCAGTGAAATTGTGCAACGAGGCTTGATTAGCTTGCGCATTGGGGAGGCGTGTTTTCCACCAGTGGATTTATGGGAAGTGCGTCCTCTAGATAAATATTTCATATCAAAGAAAGCTATATTCAACTCTAGATACAAGACATTGTGCAAGGGAACAAAGGAAGATAGCTTCCTCGCAGTCAGGGGAACCCGTGATCCCTGTTTCGTGTATAAGTCTCATGTATATCTTTGACAGGCCACAAGCTATCTCCAAGGGCATTGTCCGACTCGCCGGTCTGCCTCGACTCATTGATTTACCCGGAAACATATGGTCTGCCCGGACTTGCTGGTAATGAATCATCTACTCGAACTACTCTTCGTTGACCTTGCCAGCTCGTGCTATCTCTTGAGCGAACACACAAACACACACAGAGAGAGAGGCTCGGTGGTCAACACCCGTTCTTTTGTGCAATCGAAAAGGCTCTGATGGTCTTTGAGGGCTGGCGTAACAGGGCTTACGTTGTGGGAGATTTCTGGGTGGGCGTTCCTGAAACCAGAACTGTATCCTAACATCTGGCACACCATAGTGTGAGAACCGCGGTGGCAGAAATGGCCAGAAATGGAACATGCCGAAAATGGAACACGCCAGAAATGGAACATGCCGAAAATGGAAAATGCCAGAAATGGAACATGCCAGAAATGGAACACGGTGGCAGAATTGCTACACTGTGAAGGCTGGAGGCTTGGCAATGGCAAGAGAAGGAATGGCAGGCGGAATACTGAGAGATTCATGAATGGCTGGCTGGTCCGTTCTTCTATGGCCAATGGCAGTCAGTACATAGACGCCAGCCCCCTTTCCCCGGCATAAGAACTCCGCTTTCTATCAAGCCAAACAAAGCTTTTGTCCCATTGTTGGACACAGACCGCGGTTGGGCTGAACTTGGGTACGAAATGCTCAAAGTACCTTTTGACCACTGAGAGATGCATACCCTCTGAATACTCTATCATGAGTCTGCCGGCTAGATATTCAGAATCACGAGCCTGGGTCCCGAATGCTCCTTCTACTGGGCCTGTTTTCCATTCCGTCGTCTTCTGGGGTGTGCCCCCTTTTCATGTACATCTGGCTGTTGGGTTCTCTGGCACCCACACAATTCAATACGTTTCAGACATTCCAATCTGATAAACAGGTTTATTGTCCATAGTGCATAGTACAGCGTGTTGGGTGGTGAGTGCCAATGTACATGTAAAAGCTCATTCGTCGGCTTGACGCTATCCACCTCCTGCACTGCAGGTTTGTGCTAGCTCGCCTGGAGGACTTACCCAATGAAATCAAACCTGAAACTGTGAACCGAGTTTGTGTGACCGAAATATATGATGAATCGCAAAAACAGCACTATACATGCACAAGGATCCATGAATCTGCATGCTGACTGCGGGGTCGACCCGAACCTTGGATGCCTTTCAGCTCGCCACAAGGTTTGCATTTTACTACGGAAACGATCGACGAGAGAGATGAGGGACTTTCCTCAACAAACAATTATTTAAATCACCTGAAATGCTCTACAATCACAGTTATCAATTCCTCATCCAGTCTGAGATTCTACAACCAACCCGAGTTTCATCTCATTATATCGCGGCACAATGAATCCTAGTGAAGATGCAGAGCTGTTTAATGATTCCAATCTTCTTGGTCAAAGCCTGAATTTGCTTCCAGGAGGTACAACCCCTTATCCTTGACCATTAAGCCATCAAGGGTGATCTATGCCCCCCAGATCTTTTGTAGAGGGTCGGCCCAATTGATCGCTCTAACTTGACAGTTCGCTGACTTTTCTGAACTTTGATTATAGAACACGACCCATTCAATCTGGATATCATAGAGGGAGAAAAAAGTACCGTCGTGAAGCCTACAGAGGAAACAAGGAAGGCAACATTCGCGGACGGCAAAGCCTACTTGTTACCCAAGAATGTCCGAGCAAACATCGGGAACCGCAAAACTACCGTGAAATCCCTGATAGTAGAAGCCGGTGATAAGTTAGCACAGACTCTTGATGCCAGCGCTTCGTTAAGTGGGAGCTACGCGGGATTTTCGGCAAGTGCATCCGCCCAGTATAGCTACGCCTCGAGCTTGAGCAACACCAACTACTACGCTCTTCTCAGTGTGGACCATACGTCATTTACCCTGGCACTCGAGGGACACGACGAAACCGATGAAAATATAAACCCGAGTTTTGTCAAAGCCGTGGAACGCCTCCCTGATTGGGATTCAACAGATAAAGTTCATGATCAGTACATGCGGTTTTTTCACAGCTGGGGTACCCACTACATCAAATCATGTACCTTTGGTGCTCGATATCAGTTAAAGATTGAGAATCATGCATCGAAGTCCGAGTCAAAGGAAGAATTCGAGGCCAATGTTAGCGCCGAATACAGCGGCGTGGCTAATGTTAAAGGCGAAGCGAGCTTGAAAACCTCAAACGAGTACAAATCCTACCTCAAGACTCGTCAATTCCAGACCAAGGTGTTTGGTGGAAGCTCCAGCTCAAACATCATTCTTGGCAATGCACCAGACGACCCAGAGAAGTACCAAGAGGCTTTTAAGGGTTGGGCCGACAGCCTCAATGACGCCGTTGCAAGCAATCTAGTCAGCGTGAAGGTCGATAGCATTGGAAATCTTCTAGAAAACAGTTCTTTCCCTGAACACAATGATTTATCTGAGAAGTTAACCAAGGCGCTTGATTTCATGGCTAGCAAGCGACTGGCGGAGGGCTTTTTGAAATTCTCTTTGCCCACAGAGTCAGCTCCTCTCAATTATGCTCGCGGGCTATCAATCCAGGGGGCCCCTGGCATAATCATACGTCAATCATCACAGGGATTCTCAAGATTTGAAATTGACTGCGTTGTTCGACTCAGCCCGCAGACTACCGTCACTGGTATAAGCTGGAGCCCCGTTGATGCATCTTTGCAACCACCTTCGAAAAGCAAAACGGAAATCGGTGTTTTCTATTCGGGTGTAGAAAACACGGAACGCATGAAAAACATTCGTTCGAAGGGGCATACAGTCGAAGGCGACGTGACAATTGATGCGGTAATTCCTCTTTCAATCTTTGCGCCCCCGGGAGCTCTCACTGTTGAGTTGTCCAATCCTACTCAAAGATTGAGCAGCACGGACCTTGATCTTTCCCCACGCGGTCCAAGACTGAATTTAGCTGGGGGTAAATCCGAGCAGAAATACGAAATTCGCTCACTGTTTTTGCCTGGCTCTGGGAACAGTGGAGTTCACATTGGTGCATGCTTTGCAGAGAACTGAGACTTTGGGCGATTTTCATATGGTACTTCCTGGCCCAATACTGTATTACGACCTACTACCTAGGTAGGCAGCTTGAGATATGTAGCAATGGCTTGGTATTATTCAGTTTAGAAAGGAACTTGAAGGAAGCCTTGGAACTGGAGTAAACAGATATACCTAGCCTTGTTGCAATATTCGAAGAAAGCAGGGTATCATGTGTTTTCAGAATGTTGCCAATTTCTAGAATAACATGACTAGTACTTTAGATTGAATGAATGTGACATCTTGGGCCTTATCGGATCGTGGAATCCGGTTTCGTACATGCTTATAACTCATTTTATGCCACTTGTGAATACAAAGATTAGTATAACAGTGAATCACCTTGTGATCTAGCTCATGAGTAAAAGAGCGGACGCACTACGAAACATCGATATGGAATCGCTAGAAACCATCAATCCGTTTACACTGGCACCATGGGAGGCCCGAGTGCAGACTGATGATGAGCCCATTCCCGCGACATCGACAGTGCCAGGCGGGTCAATGCAGATCGCGCTCAGCAGCTCGGCGCGGAATGAGCTGGTCGGCTTTGGGGTGGCCATTGAGAAACAACCACCTCGCTATCGGAAAGTGAGACTGAAGGCCATGTCCGTCACGTTAGGAGTGAGAACACAGCAAAATCCATTTTCCGCGGAGCTAGCGGCAATGGCGCATACACTGAAGACGCTCGTAGGTCTGAAAGATTTTATGATCACACTGATCACGAGCAACAAAGCAGCGGCTCTCACGCTGAAGAACCCTCGACAACAGTCACGGCAGGAATTTGTCTGCCAAATCTACAAGCTGATGAGAAGACTGCAGAAGAATGGAAATCGGGTCAGCGCCCGGTGGATCCCTACAAGTGAAGATAATAATCTACTTGGTGTGGCGAAAGAACAAGCCCGAGCCGCAACACGAGAAGACGCCGTTTTGCAAAAGCAGGTCCCTAGGATGAAATCGACAACTCTGAATATCGTGCGGTCTCAAGCCGCCGCCGGCAGTGAGCTGCTCGAGAACATAGGGAGACACTCCAGACGAGTGGATGCCGCACTACCAGGAAAACACACGCGACAACTGTATGACCGATTATCGTGGAAAGAAGCGAGCGTGCTGGCCCAGCTCCGCACGGGCATGGCAAGACTCAATGGATATCTCTTTCGAATCAATGCCGCCGAGACAGATCAATGTGCATGTGGACAAGCAAGAGAGACTGTGGACCACTTCCTCTTTCGATGTCGGAAGTGGACCGCACACCGGACAGAAATGCTGCAATGTACCCACACTCACCGAAGTAATATATCCTTCTTCCTAGGTGGAAAATCGCCCTCCGATGATCAGAACTGGACGCCCAATCTGGAAGCAGTGCGAGCCTCGATACGGTTTGCCATCGCTACGGGCCGACTTGAGGCCACTTAACCGTGACAACGAACGCAGATAGAATACCTCCCCTTACTAACCCCAACACCTTGTGACAGATAGTAGACGCGCTTCAACTGCCGAGGATAGGATGTTGAACACTTGAAGAAGCGCCTTCAAGCCAGTCTACTAACCAACACTAACCCACAGGGACAAGCTATGAGATTGATAAGCTGAGATGTCAAATCCGGAAGGAAATCCTGTATGGGCTCCAAGGAGACACGACGTATACTCAAACATGCATGTACTGGTAGATTAGCGATAGTTGCCCTTTCGGCTCAGCCGCCGGGCGTTAATGAATTGTGTGTGTGTGTAGGCTCACTGAGTGCTTCGATCAGGCTCAGTGAGCGACCGGCTCGATTACATAACCTCTCCCTATACAATGTCAGCCTACGCCCGTGGTCGGCGTTTGATTGAGCCTTACCTCAGATAATAGAAATTCCTTTAATTTCTGGTTCATAGACAAATTTTTTCCACCGTTGAAGCCATGTGCTTCTGGTCTGACGCTGAACCACGCTTTCCTCATGGGTAAAAATGACCTCGGATATTGCTGCGGCTCAACACTGATCAAAGGGCTATAGACAGAGTGGGAGCCAACCGGGGAACCCACATAGAGATATGAATGGTGGTAGTCGTCTTTAAAGCAAGATCGACGCAGATGACGAAGGTCACATGGAAAAAGTGTCACTCGTCCACGAAGAGGTTCAAGTGTAGGTAAATCCTTGTTACTGGGTTGAAATTGACCAATCCGCCTGGAATTGCACGTTGAGTTATTCCTTGAATCGCAAGCAGCGCTCGCAGATATATTTTGCGCCCCGTAACATGCGCAATTTGTCGAAGCCGTCTCTCGAAACTTTGAAGTCGAGTTGTGATACTCAAATTGTACCTGACAGAAGGCTGATGCGACGAAGAAAGCCAAGGTAGTGAAAGCGGTACACCAGGAGACCTCTGCGAGTTCTATGGCAATAATAAGTAGTAGGTTCTCGACCAATACCAGAACTGTTGGTCCTCCTAGGGCTAGCCGAAGTGCCAAGAAAGAGATAAGCAGAGTGGTGAGATACCAAATTTCCATTCTCATGAACGCAGCTTGGAGTGTGAAAATACAATCGGGAATAAAGTGTTCTTTCAGATGAGTGCCAACGCATCCCTTCGGTATGTGCGGACACTTCGGTCTTCTATAATGTCTTAATACTCATAGTTCTTTAGAACAGGACTGTAATTAAGCAAAGGTGGATTATTATCAATCACATAGGGATTTTGTATGTTTCAATTGCTCCTTTATCGGACCGATAAATCCTGGAGTGATGGAGTGATTAATCCTTTGTTCATCCATCGTTAGCTGTGGGGCAATCAATCATAAGATTTATTGCTACTGAATCCCATTATTTCGCATACAGTATTATGCTTTTAATTTTGATTCTTATTAGCTCACGGCAAGTGAAAGGCATACATATCAAAGTAGGTGTTCAAATCGTCACATGGGGCCAAACTTTCTAAGATAAAGATATCGTTCACGAATACAAAAGTACCATCATAGGGATCACCGTAATCGTTGCTTTGAGCAGCACCACTCAGAAGTAGTCTAGGCAATTCTCACACTTACCATACCATATGTTATCATGTAATACGTGAACCCTCCAGGACGAACGGAGGTGCAATATGTGGGAGACCTTCACACTGGACCCTAGGAGCTCACAACCAAACCTAGACCAATCATTTCCTTTAAGGGTATGTGATACATGTAATTCCTTCATCACAATGAGATGCTTATTTTCCCTAGACAGATGTCGTTTCAAGAGAGGTATCCAACGATAGGATCAATATTGATGACACATGCTCATGAGTATTGGGGTTTCGTGAGAGGAACATTGATGGATTTATTTTGACAACAGCTCTAGAATTGAGCACAAACCTACTTGCTTATTTTCAATTCTGTAAAATATAGCGTTTACTTCTTTGCATATTGACGAGGTGCTTATCACTTGAAATATTGACAAGTTTCGAATAGCCGGCACAAGACATCTGTGTCAAAAAATTGCCTAATAACGCAGTTATATGCAGAGCTACAAAGAAAGTGGGCATCTTCACTATGAACTTTATTTTATCACGTCCATAAAATTGATCCAAAATTTGATAATCTAGACAGGGGGAATCTACGAGCTTGGTATCGGCGGAATAGTTAGCAGCACAGCTATTCCGCAACTTGATCGCTTGAAAGTATTGCGCCTTTAGGTCTTTCGTCCCAAACTTCGCCCTGTGAAGATCCACATGCTGCACATCTAGCTGATCAGTCTCGTCCTCCCATCACGACGTTCTTTACGTAGACGTGCTGCAAGGGCCGCATGGGAGTCGGGAGGGGCTGATCCCTCCATGAGGGCCTTTTTCAACGCAACTTGATGATTACGGCAAGCCTGACGCGTTCTTGGCCTATGACAAGCAGAAAACAAGAACACCATTCCAGCCAGTTTATCCAAGGACGCTCCTCCTTTCAGAAAGAGCCAGCGGAATTTTCCAAAGTCGCCTTGCTCGTATGCGTCGCAACAGAGCCCATCGACTCCACCGTGAACCTCTCGAAAAGAAGCACCGTGACCAATCATGAGAGTCAAGAGCATTTTGTAGTTGCGAGAACGAGCTGCACGCTCAACCATGCCGCCACAAGGATGCTTCGAAGATACTTTCAGCTGCACTAAATCATCCATCTTTGGGACGAGACCATTCTCTCGATAAGCGTGGGATAAGATATGGCCCCGTGAAATGTAATGGCATCTGTCGAATTGACCATACACGGGCGGTAGTTCCGAGGTATCATTTCTCAATGCGTGAATATCTTCCAAAATAGTTATAAGAGTCGGGGCCCGGAATATTTTCCATGTCTTGAGGCAAAGCGCACCGAAACGCAAGTAATCAAGAAAGTCAAGGTTCATCGCGATCAATTCCAAGATCTCCGTCGGTAGTTCATTGAAGTGTACCCTCCTCTTTTCTGCATGGCCCATAACGAGGTTCGTATATGATATGCCGTAGTATCGACGAATGGAGGTGGTCACACCTTAGCTAAATATTGTAGTATGGGAGACACTCGGTTATCACGGAATTGCTCGCTGACTATTACTCCAGATTGTCGTGGGGTAACGCGTGCTAGAAGTAGCAACTTCAGCAATCTGAAATTGGCGAGTGACTTGTTCTAGAATGCACCTCGGAAGAATCCTCGGATAATTATCTGGTCACTTTCTGGAACAAGGTTGATAGCGAAATAGGGACAACGTGGTACCAGGGAAAGCGGTCAGCATGGCTTGATATGTTATGTAAACGGCGGACCTGTGAATTACCGCATCCGGTTAGTTTTGCCTTTTTGGGTTTAGCTCCCCAATACACTGTCCTGTAACGTCTCTTCACATCGCCCCGACATAAAAGACCGGACCTGCCCTCTCGTCCCCTCTCCTTCTTTTCCCTCCCCTCAACTCCTCTATCCTGCACTCATCGCCGCCCCCTTTCTTGCCTATCGCCCCCACAGACCACTGCGCCTTGGCTTTCAGCCCGACGCACTGCCCCCTTCATTTTACCGGAGATGCCGCTCAATCCGATCCGCAGCTCAATTTCGCTCGTTGAGCTGGCATTGGCAGTCGCACAGGGGCAAGCCCAATGAGATGATCCGGGCAGCAGCAGCATCGTGTGACTTTGGGTAGAAACTGCTACTGTCTCCCCAATGAAGTGACTGTGCACCTAGCTACAACTGCCCTCCCTTGCCTGTGCACCTCGTTCATCTCTGATTCCGCCGGCCTCCACGTCCGCCAAGTATCAGTACGTCCTCGACACGGCATGCCCTGGCCCGTCCACTCCAATTACGTTTACATTGCACCGCACCATTGTCATGGAATACCTCTTAGTTGCCAGGTCGCCAAGAACGTGGCGCTCACATGTCGTTATTGACAATTTTCTCCAATGCCTCCCCACCCGGTCAGTAAATATACGACTGCACGGCTCGGTGACATAGGCCAATGGCAAAAATGCCGCACGCGCCCCTGATGTCGGTCAATGATGAATTTTTTGCCCAATTCCAGACTGCGACCACAAAACCATAGCACGACCCCCACCGTCACATGTCGAATAGCCAAGAAGATTATAACCGGCCGATGACTAACATAGGCATGTGCTACGCAAGCGCCATCGGTGCAAGTTACCAAGAATAGTTGCGGGTGAACTGCAGGTCACTATGGGCTATGAATGGGCTATGAAACCGATGTAGCTTCGTGCCCTTACGATAAAATGGACTGGATTACAGGAGCTGGTTAGAATCCTCTGCCATCAATTTGGTAGAAACTGGCAATTATTGGGATTATGATGGCTGGACCTATCCAATATAGCAAAGATCTTGGGAGTGCAAGTTGTCACTAATCAAAAATGGGTCTTTGACAGTCTCTCAAGGTTTCCTGACCTTTCTCATCCAGATTTGGGTACGACCTCAGGTTACACATATTCGTCCAGAATGCCTTGGCGTTTTCGTGCGCCTCGCCACGTGCGTCTAAGCGCCCTCGAAGCAACTTTTTCCATTCCACATCCATGTCTGTAAATCCAAATGAGGCCGAAACATACTCATACCAAATAGGGAAGAAGGCAGCGTATTCCCAATCAAGTATACCGATAACTTTCCCGTCTCTGACCATGATATTTCCCAAATTGAGATCGCAATGAGTAATCACAGGGCTCGCACTTCGGTAGACGCTTTTTCAGATTCTCCAAAACTTGTTGTGGAAGATGGCAAAGATTCAGGGCCAGAGCATCCCACAGCTCTTGGTCTGAGTGAAACGGTCCACGGGGCTCAAGGTCGAAGAATAATAAGCCTGGGTAGCATGGGCTTTGATCGACACACTGAACAGAGGCCGACGTGACGGATCGAAGCTGTTTTCTCACTTTCTCAACTTTATCCGCGACATCTATTTTTTTTGGGTTTCTGACAGAGAAGTCCATGCCTCCTCGAGCGTCTTGCCACTGATGCGTTCGTTCAAAACGAAGTAGCGCCCATCTCGATCAACCCAGTCTCGTAAAACTTTCGGGATGGGAATATCGGTATTGCTCGCTAAATATGCCAATGTTTTTACTTCGATTTTTGCTTTGGGACCCTCGTCGGGTCGGTCTTTCAGTATTGCATCTGATCCGATAGACCATACACCCCGTGTAGATGCACCATAGAAGAGTTTGAGGTGGCTAGTATAATGGCATCGTCTTTCTTTGTCAAGTGTCCACCCACATGCGACACAACCATTCTCAAGCGATTCACCCATTATGTGCAGCTTGTAAAGAGGTCAATTTGTTGTAACAGATAAGTTTCGACTGGGGATTGAAAGCAAAAATTGAAACTTTTTTTTTCCAAGCGAAAAGCCCCTGCGCATATTTCAAGAGGCTGACCGCCATTGAGCGCAGTCAACCACACATCCACTCTCCTCTTGGAACTACAACATAGCTTTTTGACATTGCGAACAGTGGGTCACTGTCTATAGTCTACATAAGATTACCAATGAATTGCAGCTACGTTGACTACGGCCTTATTACGTCCGGCTAAGCGGAGGAGGATGCTAACGCCAATGCGAAGCTTAGCATCAGTATTGCCAGAAAGATGGGTGCGACCACTCGTCTTACTGGACTGGAGGGACTAGGGGCAGTGCTGGCGGTGAAAATGGCGGTGAAAATGGCGGTGAAAATTGCGGTGTGGTTGTTTAGGAATGTCTGTGTATAAAGGCGTCAGACTGCTCCATTTTCAAAGATTCGTAGTAAATTTCTTGGGACAAGATCATATCTGCCATCTATATCATAGATGGATGCCGGAAGTATCTGCTCAGCATGTAGCTGGTCACCAACTCGTCAAGAGGAGTGTCGCTATAATAGTCATGTGAAAATCTTTTACGGCGTCAGCAACCGAGGAGCGTGGTCTCTGGGTTCAAACCTCATCCTCAAAGAGCGGTCTATTGAGCCACCCAATTTCGAATCTGCCAACTTGCAATTTTTGACCGAAAAAAACTTCAATACCTATACCCAAGGCTGTTGAGGAGTGGAAAGAGGATGACGGGACATATTTCCTGCTAACCAAACGGATTCATGGTCAACCCTTGAATGAAGCTTGGCCAACGATGTGCGGGACAGACAAAGAACGCATTGCAAAACAGACCGCTGAATACGTCATTCAGCTTCGCAAACTTCATTCGAGCCGAATGGAAAGCTTAGACGGACAGCCACTGTATTCCGCTTTTCTATTCCCCAATGGTTATGGCATTGGACATGGGCCGTTTTCATCCGATGATGAGCTGTGGGCTGAGATGTCATTGGCATTGAGCAATGTACCAGAGAAAGTTCGCTTGGAATTACGACAGCGTATGCCAACTGCTGCCCCCTATACCTTTTCTCACTGCGACCTTACGAATGTCAATATCATCGTGGATAATGATAATTTGGCGGGTATTCTGGACTGGGAATCTTCGGGCTATTTTCCCGTTTGGTGGGAGTTCACTGCCGCAGGTATTGGTCTTGGTCAAGAGGACAAAGAATGGAAAGACCTTCTACGCAAGCACCTTCCGGATCATACTGAGGCTCGCAATTTCTGGCTGGATTTCTGGGCATTGCGCAAATATCCGAAATTGGACGAGAGAGGATTGAGGTTTTTGAACAGTTGTGGATTCAACTTGCCAAATCAGGTCTGAGAATAGAAATGAAGCTATTGTTCCAATGATCTTCCACAGTAAAAGCAACGAGTGACATTGTTTCCGATGACTTATGTCATTTGTCTATTCTTCCTCCATCGTAGTAGTGCTGATTTGCTTCTTGAAAAGCCGTCATCTTTAGTCGCCAATGTTGTTGGGATTAAACTTGAAACTGATTGAGACGTACCTTAATGAGGACATAAGGGCGGGACATGGATGCAGGGAGCTCAGCACGACAAAATTCACAATTTTCTCTCCCAGTCATGTTGTTTTTACCGCACTGAGGGCACTTCATTTTGAATGAGTTTCAGCTTGTGTCGGTTCCCAATGGAGTCGGGATGTTGTGAAAAAATTTCCGTAGAATTTTGTTGGATATAACACAGAATCAGGAGCCTCCAGTAAACTCCTGTAACCTTGTACCTTTATATGGTTTTCAAAGTACTCTTCCCTTCATCTAACTTCCCTCTGTTTCAGAGAATCTGCGCGAGTCCGTGTGGAGCGAGGTAAAAGAGAGCATTGGGGCGGTGATAAATACCCCTCTTGAGCTTCTGATAGCTCTCATTGATTCAATTTGTGCGGCTGAGAAAACGCCTTGACGCGTGACTGCGCTGCTGAGCCTCCCAGTCGCTCCAGGAATGGAAAAGGCTCCGGGGCATTGGAAGTGACCACCATGCATTAGCGCCCCAGCGGGGGACGGCCAATGCCTCCTTCGAGCCACCCCATGGAACAGGCATAATTATTGGTAAAGTCCAGGGCTGAGCAAAATCGCAGCTATTTACAGGTGACGAGGCGGTTCGCAGAAACCCCTTCCCCGGGAGGTGGAAAGGATTCATAGTTGTATTGGGAGACGCTCAAGAAACGGCGGGGCCCTTTGGTGGACCTCACGTAAAAATTCCATGAATAGCCACTATGTCACGCCCTCTGTTTCTCTTTTATTTGACTCAAACCATATTTTAAGCCCGAGAGCCTCTGAATTTGGATCCTGCTGACGTGGCTGCAGCACGCAGTAAAACTGCAATGACTATGCATGGGAGCACGAACTGGTTGGCGGAGAGGGGGCTGGCGGTTATGTACTGACTGCCATTGGCCATAGAAGAACGGATCAGCCAGCCACTCATGAATCTCTCAAGCCAATATTTTTCAGCAAACCTCAAAATAGTGTGCAGAACACCGGCATATCACATACGAAGCACGTTCATGAGTCTAGTCGAAGTGAACGGGCGACAACTTGCGCAGCTTCCCCACTAGAACATCCCCCACCTTTTCGATAACACTGATTGCATTGGCTGTACTTGAAACAACACTCGCCCACGGAAAAAAACCCCGCATTTTGATGGAGCTTCAAGCGCTTGCAAGCTAGCCGCAACACATTTTGTGATTTCAACTCGCATAATGGGCTGAAATGTGCATTTTTGATTGGCCCGAGATGAGGGGTAACTGCAGTAGCAATGCAACCCTTTGGTGAAGGATTGCGCATGTGAGTGATTTCTCTGTATTTCAACCCAAGAAATCCCATTTCTTATCATAATTTTCCATTTTCTCACGGTAGTATTATGTCATCAGCAGATGAGTTCTTCCGGTCACTATCCAAACAAAAAACTGCTTTGGACACTCCACGACCTTTGTTGGACGCAAGACAGCGCCGTGCATTCAAATCTTGCTATGCTCTTCTCCAGGGAAATGGTGGAAGTACGACATCACCGCAGACATCTAGCAGACGCGAGAACGCACGCCAGCACTTGAGAAATGCTTACTCCTTGGGAGCACGCGTGCTTCTTTTGTTTGCATTATCCGCATCAATTACACAGCTTGCCACTATAAAGCATTGTGACTTATTTCCCCGCTTCCAGACTTGGTTGAATGACCAAACCTTGTCCCAAGACGTTGAGGACGTAGCAATTGGGTTGGTTTCTGAGTTTGAAAACGAACCTCAGTACAAAAATCAAAATGGCAAAAGTAAATAGCCCTTTGATTTTGATACACGTTGACTCCATTGACATGCGAAATAGAGACGAAGAAATCCGGGAAAGATATGCATAGGAAAGCTAGCCGGCGACAGAAAAGACAGGAGACACCACAAACTTCAAGGCCGCAGTTACAGTTGCCTGGATCAACAGAGGACCAGTTGAATGAATTCCCAGAAAACACTGGTTTGTACATCATAGCCGACTTGTCAGAGAAAATTCTAACTTTATAAGGCTTGTCGGGACACAATTTGCCAACTCTGGTAGATCAAGAGACAATTTCGCTGCCTGCAACACAGTTCCTCGAATTTTTTCGCCAGTTTCAAGATAGCCATCCACATTTCCGAGCACTCTGCGAGTTTTTAAAAGCTCACAACTCCTCCGGCCTACAACTGACCTATTCGTGGCTGAACTTGTCCCCTCCTTGTATCCATACCAATCTCGACCTTCCACCAGGTATAAATGTCAAAGTAGAGCTGTCGTTGGAACTCAGTTATTCATTCGTGGAATTTCTATCGATGAGTGGGTTTTCAGTCCTCGCAAACGTGGAAACAGCGAACGGAGGGCTGTCCATAGAATAGGCAAGTCTGTGTTTCACCCAAAATGACAATTCTGAAACCGTTTCCTGCAGTCGGGCCTGTGGGAAGTATTTCGACTTTACTTGCTCCATTGCGGGTATGAACCACTCCGGCTGGGCCATTTTCGTGGATGAGGACTGCGCAGGCTGTTTTCGCATCGAGATATCGCTTAGACACGTCGAATCTTTCTTTATCTAGGGTGACTTCTTTTCCGCCCTAATGAATTAGCTGCGGCACGTAGGCACGACATCAAGCAAACTTACAAGCAAATCTTTTACTTCCTTCTCAAACCCCTCGTCATCGAGCGATGCCGCTTTCCGAAAAGGTGTTTGTTCGCTCGTGGCCATTCGTTCGCTTCAAGTTTGGAGCGTGTATCTGATAGGAGCAAGAGAAAAAAGCCAGTGATGACTACAGTCGAGCCTTCCGAGTCCTAGCGTCACAGTTATGCAAGGCCATAAGATCAGCGGTGACTTTTGCGAGAAAGTGCTTAGGATAAATGTCACGTTGGGCAGTTGGAGAGGGAGGGGCTTTGCGGCCTCATGACACAAGAGCTCATCACATGATGTAACCCCCCCCACTTCTGAAAAGCATCATTAGGTAATCGGCCAATTCTCAATTCTAGTTAGTTATCTCTCCTAATAACCATGTACTTTACACAATTATTTGACTTCCAATGATCTGCTGCATCCTGATAGTACTTTTTAGTCGGCTACATAGCCTAGAGAGGGAAGTACATAATCACAAACCAGTAGTACTTTTGTCCTAATATTTTCTCCTATTTTCTCCCATTTTCTCCCATTTCCCCCCAATTTATATTATGACTTTCTCCTTTGTCACCTAAATTGACCCACAACTAAGCACATCTTTTGCTTAGTTATTGCATCATTTCCTATTTCCTCCCATTTCCTCCCATTTTTTCCCATTTCCTTCTATTCACACTCATCGACGGTCATAAGCTCCTCATGTAAGAGGAAAGAGGCTAATAGCTCCCTATTGATGTGATACTTCGTCTTTCTCACATGAGGTCTGAATTATCGGCATAAAAGGCGCTTCTTCCCACAATGAAACATTTTTGTTTACTCTTCAAGTCCTTCCCGTCTTGAGCAATCTCATTAAGCTATTTTGCACCTCAAACGAGCTTCTCATACTGCATTAATATTTTTCAATCGTTTAGCTGCACAACATGGCACTCAAGGCTTCAAAGGCGTCTTCCTCTCCTTATTCCCAAGGGTTGACACCGCCTGATAGTCCAACGACAGGCTCGGCTACGCGTCAAGCACGCGTGGAGGATCTGAAGCATCTCTTCGGCATGTTTCTTGAAAAGGTGCTCGATTCTACCAACCAAGAACCCCCAAACACTCCCGTCTCCCAGGACCAATCCCTTCCAGGGCTCGACAAGGTTCGGCAGGCACTGGAATGTGTTTCAGCTGAGCTTTCACTGGCAAATAAGCCTGCTCAGTCTTCTGCAGGCGATGAACGAGCCAATGTTCCTGGGCCAGATCGGTTTGACGCCGAGCAGCCCATCTGTACAACACCTGAGGACTTCCAATCATTTGAGAAGTGGGCGTCTGCACCCCAATTTAAGACAGTCAAGGAAAGGTATGTGACTGACTAAGCTCTGTGACCCAGTCAACTCCCTTACTTCAGTCTCCTATCACTTCCAAAAAGTTTTCTGACGTGAAAATAGCTGGGACAAAGAAGCATGCAAATACAAGATCGCCGAACCGACCGAGAGCAGCGGCTGTCTGGATGACTATGCTGAATATGCATTCGTTGTCCGTGAGCGCGTTGGTATGTAGTGTCGTTACTAAATGATTGAATATATGCTAACGGTATTATCAGACCGAAATTCCGAGGAGGTGACGCCGTACATAGACATCAAATCGAAAGGCCTGCGTGACATCCTGCGTGTGGTCCTGCACGGCGTCAAGGCCATCAGCCTGGTGGAGGACAAGCCATCGGTAAGTGTGATAGACTTTTTTATCTAAGAAGGTCGCTGACATTAGTTTAGATCGAGCAAAAGTTCCTTTTCCATTTCCTACCGGAGTTAGACAAATATGCTGAAAATACGAACAACTCTGACTATGAATCTCCATGTCAGCACCTCCGCTTACTCATAGACCACCTCAAGCAAGCATATTCAGCCATCTCGCAGCGTCTCGAGTCAATGTTGCAGCACGGTCACATTACTTACGATCTTCTCTGGGCGCTTTTCAAACCGGGTTCCCATGTTTTTGCAACATGCTTTGGTACAAAAGAACCACGGTGTGTCATATTCGACGCCGGGGAAGAGATCACGAAGAACGATGAGACGTGGTTCAACCTTGAATGCCGTTTCATTGATAATGACGGAGTCAAATTCGGCGAGGCCGGTATCTTTCTACGCGTGGCAAAGTTCCGAGGGTCGAAGCCGATCGAGAGCCTTGAAGCCTTCCCTCTCCGCCACCATCCAAGTCACGAGCAAGTCCGGAAAGACCTAGTCGGAAGAGGCCAAAAGTTTCTGGAATTGGCCGGCTCGCACATTCGGCACTGTGAAGGCAATGCATTCTTTATGAACAAGGGAAGGGCTGTCAAAGTCAAGATCGACAGTCGAGTCGCAGTGGACGCCGCATTTTTCCATGAAATGCAGCCAAATTACTCCCGACCGTCACTCCGTGACCTAGGGGTGAAAGAAAAAGATGGCATTCAAGTCTTTGATATTGACGCAATGTTCACGGAAGACCGTGAGCGAGAGAAGGAGAGAATGCGAGGAGACGGCGTAGATGCACGAAATCTGAGCGAAGCCGATTTACTAGTCGCGTGCCCAACAGTTTGCTGTTTCAGTTTTAAGGAGAAAATGTTCTGTATGTGACAAAACTGAGAAGCCACTGTTTCGAGCTAATGCGATTCTAGTGGAGTGCGCAGTCAGTGCTCTTAGGGACATTGATTGGTCACCTGGATCATTCGATTGTCTTCAGATTCCATCGAATACCAAGACAATGCTCTTGTCGCTGGCGAAAACGCGTTTAGGTCTTATACCAACCGTACCTTTTGACGACGTGATCAATGGCAAAGGCCAAGGGCTCAACGTGCTGCTGAAGTATGTCGGCAAATCCCAGAAGCCCAGCAAAATCTTCAACTGACTTGTGTTAGTGGTCCGCCAGGCGTCGGGAAGACTTTTACTGTCGAGGCAACGTCGGAGTATTTCGAGCGCCCTCTCTACTCGGTACCAAAAACCCGTTCCGTGCAATGACTGACCTAGCTGACCTTCTCAGATATCTGCGGGTGAGCTTGTTGTCGACCATGGGGACTCTCACGCACTTGAATCACAACTTGAAATCATCTTCAAAATTGCAAAGCATTTCAATGCCATCCTTCTTCTGGACGAAGCGGATGCGTTCATGGCGAGTCGGACCGAGCTCCACGATAGTCACAATCGACTGGTCACTGTATTCCTCCGAAAGCTTGAGTATTATCAGGGAGTGCTTTTCTTGACCTCAAACCGGGGTATACACTTTGATGAAGCAATACTGAGCCGAACTCATCTGGTAATTGAGTATGAGGGTTTAACAAGAGGCTTCCGCAGGGATCTCTGGTTCACCTTCTTAGCCAAGGCCCGGACAATGCAAGGGCCCGCGGTGGTTGAAGAGGACGACATCCAGCATTTGGAGTCTTTGGCTCTCAATGGACGAGAGGTAAGTTTCAACTTTTTGCGCAGATATGTAAGTTGCTAACTGCTGGTCAATTAGATCAAAAATATCGCAGCAATTGCACATGCTCTCGCCGAGGCAGATACAGCGCAGGTCAGCTATAAGTATCTGGAGTTAGCAGCGGAATCAAACAAGAAGTTTGCCAAGGAATTTGGCAGGAAGGGTCCTGTTGACGGAATGTATGTCTAACGGCATAAACTGCAAACCTAGGCAAGCCATTCCGCTGTTCATCAGCGGCCTCGAACCTATATAGTGATAATTTCGGTTAGTAAACGATAGTTTTAGGTATTTGAATTGAATCACAGTCTACGAGACTCTGAGAATGATCTTAAAAAAGGTATACCATTCCGAAACTTCTCGAGTTCGAGAGTCCAGCTCGCATGATAACTCGGGTGGTGAAGAATATGAGTAAGGAGCGCAATTTGCCTTGGAATGTATAGGCGACAATGGAAATTTAGGTATCAAGAAAAAGATCGCTAATGTAACGGGTAGAAATAGATTTCCTTATCACGAAATCCTGAGACGTTTTGCATTTCCTGCGTCCACTGGACATAGTCGTCGTTTTACCCGTCCTAGTCGCTGCTTAGCCGGTCGGCATTTCAAAGGGTATGCTGCCCATTCTCTTCCAATTGCTTGTAGAGACCCTCGGTCTTTGTGACCCAGGCCTCAATATCGACACCTATTTGCAACAATTTGGTGTGTGTAACCCATTTATCACGTAGTTCGAAGGCAAATTGAGGGTCCTTTTTAGGCGAAAACCGGGATTGAAGCTTTTGTAGCATCTCACGATCCTTGACGTCGTTGACCAGATAGCGGTAGTACTTGGTCACGCTGGTCTCCATCAGCGTCGTTATAGCACCTAGTGCCTTACGTTGCTCGTTATACATCTTGTTTTTAGCTTCATAGCGGTGTTCCTTATCCTTCATGACGTTCCATATTTGACTAGGGGTCATTCCATCCCAAAGTCTCTTTTGCACGTCTGTGACCTCATTGTCTGCTAGCTTCATAGCAACAATATCCTCCCATTCGTAGTCCTTAGGAGGCTTTGGCTTGGTCAGGATGGAGGCTTCCGCTGTATCGTCATCGATTGCAGGGTCTAGGATATCCCAAACGTCCAGGGATATAGCTTTCTTTCTCACGGTGGCGTAGAAAGCTGACCATGCTGTCTTGTCCGTCAACATCAGGGAGTTGCTGCCCGAGACTATCGCATCCTTCTCCATAGTGAATGCGTGCAATTGCAATGCAATGGTCTTGTTGTGTCGTCAAACGGCGTTGTTAACACGTAGGGATGGGGGTGTAGTCCGATCTTGCTGAGATTCAGGGGTAACCGGGCCGCACCAAATAGAATTCGAATTCGCGTCGATGATAGCGAAGGGGTTATTACAAATAGCTAGAATAGCTTCGTTATTGCCTATTGTAGTAGGCGAACCGGGCTCATAACTTTCACGACCACGATAGGCCGCTAGTTGTCATTTCGTAATGGTATTGCAGCTTGCATGAAAGTCTGGTTTATTCAATAATAGGGGCCAATAGCTATTTAACAAGGTTACTGCTTTGGTAAGCAGGCTAGTTACTAATTGCCAAGTAATAGGCAATGTATCCGACTAGTACCAGTGACTTTGTCGCGACAGTAAGGGACATTGAGGGGCTATATCCCACCATATTACGATAGATATGAAGAATTCTCGCAATGAAGAAGATTTTTGTCGCTTTCTTGCACCGTTATTACTGATTGAGTGCTCCTCCAAAGATGTCAAGGGCCTGAGTACATCCAGGCTCCGAAACCGTCGACACTGACTAACTCCTTGTATATTAGGGCTGAATCCAGTTTCTGAGCGTCGAGATTTTTTTTCGGCCATACAAATCGTATGGTTAGTTTTCGGATGTCTATCATACTGCTCTGCGCTGAATCTGAAGCTTTTGTGAAAGTCGGATTGGGATACTACGAACTCACCAACGGTGGCCCGTAACAAATATGGGCGCAGATTTGTCGATGCGAAAGCTGTTGCGGCGAGAACGAATTGGGTCAGTCAAGTCAGATACACATCTGTAGTGGTTATTGTTGTAATATGATTGGCCTGCAACAACCTCAGTGGTATGCCTCCACCTTGCGAGCCACCCATACAGCGCTGTACAAATACGGTAAGATATCTGGCGTTGCGGTGAGGCCAAATATGAGCGAAGAATATATCAAGAAATCTGGATTCAATATAGGATATGCATTTCCACTGAGCCTTTGAAGATCCCGATGGAGTTTTGCTCGCCCACACGGAGCTCAATCAGTCTTGGCCGAACCTGATCAAGCAGTGACGCATAGACTTGAACAAAGACCTATTGTTGTTATTTGAGGCTGGTGCAGATCAGGAACCAAGCCACACCACCGGGATCAATTCCCGAAAGATCTATACGATGAAATCAACTTGATCTTCTCACTGTATTTCAAGCTTCATTTATTCCACAGAAATAAAACAACTTAATGCACCTCTGAACTTCAACATCTATCTCTTTGCTGGTATCTCTGGCCTTGGATTCAAGTAAAAGGAAGGCCTTGATTGGTTGAGTTGAAGCTTTCCCTGCTTGAAGGGTCAAGTAGAGTGAAACCTTCCATTTTCGTCCAGGTTCTGGGCGTTTTCCAGGCACGCATCACTTTTACTCATAAACTAATCACTCATCAATAAGATGCAATTAAGGGCGACAAGAGCTTAAGCTTTTCATGTCTGTTGCGTTCTTTGCGTTCATAGTGCTTCGAACTCAAGCTTCTCGTATATCAAACTCGAGAAGTACCACCTTCCGCTATTGCTCAATTTTGAAGAATTTGGCAATGGCATTGCCGTGGCTTCAAGACAAAAATAATAGTGGGATATTGAACTTTCGGTTCGCGATGACTTCAGAATCGAACTTTTTCGACCTCAGAGGTAGGAAAATATCGTCAATGAGGTAGACCATGGTGCTGGTGAGCACCTTGTACAGGATATGATGATTATCCAATAGGACAGCATTGGTAGAAGAGGTTTGAGTATCAACCAACTCATGACGATACTGCTCATGGATATTCTCACGAATTGCATTGATAATCATCTGTCCAGCCTCATTATCAGATAGCTGATGAAGCAGAATGTCTCCCTTCACTCTTGGATCAAGAATCAATGCAGTGTAATAAGCATCAGTATTATCCATAAAGGTATAATACTTCTGATATTTGATAAGACCATGATGAATTGCATCCACAATATCATTGTCCAGATCTGCAAAGACACCTTTTTTCTGAGCTTCTTGATTAAGCAGATCATGAAGCTCATAGTAAATAGGTATCGCCATACTGATTTGAGGTCTTTTTTCAGATACAAGACCTGTCAATTTATGGAATAGAGCAAGAACTTGATGTAACTGTGAGAGACGACGCCAATCATCTCCAGTAAACTGAGGAAGATCAGACTATGTATAAATATATTGATTGATCTGTGTCTTTGCCTTCAATGCCATATCAAGCATGAGATACGTTGAATTCCAGCGTATATCGATATCTTGTGGTATAAGTCGAGCAGGAAGCTTCATAAAATCACACATATTTCTCTATGCCTGCTGTCGTTGACCACTTCAACTAATCCATATTGCAAGGACCCAAAGACGTGATAGAGGGGTCTCAGTCTGTGCTAGGAGATCTTTATTCTAGTTCTTCATATGATCACAGATTTTTGAAGCTTCTTGCGCAGTACCAGAGTCTAATACATGAAGGATATCCTTAACAATTAGATTCAGGATATGAGCAAGACAGCGAATATAACTACCAAGGCCATGAAACTGGGAGCCTGGAGGTAGTAGATCATAAAGGAGTGAAACCATAGCTTCGTTATTACTAGCATTATCACCAGTGATTGTAAGAAGCTTTGTCTGAAGATCAAGCTCTAACAGCATATTAAATACTGCATGGGCAAGGTTTTCACCACTATGAGCTCCGTCTAGCTCTGCAAATTCAAGGGCCTTATACATATATATATTCTGGTAAGCCTAGTCCACAATGACCCTGAGAATAGAGAGACTAACCTTTTGCTTATAGGTAAACTCTGGTGTAAGCCAATGGCCGATAATAGCGATGATAGAGATATTGTTCTTGCTCGTCCAGACATCTAATGATAGAGCAATAGACCTGCATGTCAAGGCTAGCTCTGTCTTCAATTGTAGACGCTGGCGTTGAAATTCAGCCTCAATTCTTCGTTTCAGTGTATGTCGTGAAAATAGTGCTGCATCATGCCCAAGATCGGTGAATATTTGGCGGAATGAAGGTGATTCAATAGTTGTAAATGCTACTTTATCCTTGATAAACCACCGTAAAAGGTTCTCCTGAAGCTGAGCTATTATTGATAGTTTAGGCTTCTTGCTTAATGATTCAATAATAGAAAGCTGGGTAGAACTAGAAGTCTCGGAAGGCGGTGCTGTTGTAATGGTTACTAAGTTGTCAGGCTAGAGACCTGTGACTAGGCAAGGATATCGGACAGTAGAGATCAGATTGGATCGTTGATACACAGACTGATTCTTGAAGAACAAGAATCATGGCCATCATCGTGCGTTCTTATATTGCTAGGGCTAGGGCAGACCTGCATATGCAAGCGACTATGCAGATGACTTAGGGGCTTCAGATAAGAGTCCGGGGTATACTCCAAATCCCGTGACAGCTGTAATATCATGTCTTTTCTTAAGATGATACTCCATATTGCCAGTTGATCCTGATCGGACTGAATCATAGGTTTCCCAATTGCATTGCTTGCATTGAATAAGACAATCCTGCTGTACTTTCTTCTTGGCACGAGTTATCCAGGGTTGATCAATTGTAGTGGTTGTGAAGTAGGTCCATAGCCATTGGGTTGCTGTTATAGTTTTGCGAGGTCGTTTCGACGGTTGGGGGACTATACTCAGTGGTGATATAGTATTAGGAGCAATACTCTGAGAAGCTGATTCAGATGGTAGGATTGAATCGGGTGTCTGAATAGTATTATCGTAAATATCAGAAAAAGACGTCTCAGTTGGAGCAAAATCGGTATATCGATCTTCATCTGGGATATTGTCTTCAAATCCAAGGTTCATCGTCACGTAGTCGCGCTGCGTATTTGCACGCTGAGGTCGTGAACTTGAAGCCATAGTCGTATTTGTACGCCAAGGTCACGAACTTGAGGTAATAGCTGTTGATCAAGACGATGGTTGTGGAAGATGAAAAACTAGGGTGAAAATGTATCTCGCCTAGGATGTGGGGTTATTTGTAGGCGAAGATGTGGGTATAGAGGTTGTCTGAGCTAGTCCTAAATAGGAAACAGAGGCTGCTTTATATTTTATTGTATTTTGAGCGATTTAGCGATGAATAGGCGTCGTGGTGGCCGTCGTTGTGGCCACGATCATAGCCGACCTGCAACCGCTACCGCGGCCAATATGCGGAGTATTGCTCACCTAGTTAGGCTTAGTACGTCAATTTTTAGAATATTTTCATGAATAGCTTCAGCTACTACTAAATCGGGCAATTTTATTGTATTCAATTACCACGAATTCGATAAAATCTGTCGAATTGCAGGTTGTAGGAGATCAGCGAGTCCATATATGCTCTTTAGGGTTTACGTTCCCCCATTTACCATACAAATTTATATGGTACGCAGTAGAAAGTTATACTACAAAGACTCAGTGGCACTCAACACTGGCAAGCACCACCAGATATATATATTGAACATGGAGATGGGTAGTGCTACAAATAGTGATCTCTTATTGGCCAGCACTGGCACGTGACAATTATCGTCGATATCGTTATCGTATCGCATTATCGTTTTATCGTGAACACCCCTACCATAAACACCCGCAAGTCGGGTAATAGAGTAAATTACTAGCTGAATCAACACCTAAAAATACCTGTCGAGTATCATAAGTAATGGATATGGCAGTTTTATGTAAATTACATTATTCAGGGTTTCATAATCGTACTCAAATCACAGATGCCGCTTATCGCCAAAATAAGTCCCACTTGATACAATTCTGTGCCATGAAGAGGCTCTATGTTCACTGGTATATATTTTGTTTCGTCTATCCCTTACTCGATATATACATACATACATGCCAACGCGCCGATCCCTCCTCCATCCTATCTAGATCGACTAAATCTGGAAACTCAACATATTCGCCGCTTGTAAGCCCACTGTACATAATTGTACATAATTCACGGAATGGGTGACTAGCTGACCGTTTTCTGATACGAACTTCAAACTAGAGCAGAAAATTTGACAAATCATGATGAGTCTTTGCGAGTCTCCAGTAACGCAAAACGAAGTTCGATTCGAAAGGACGGACATTGCCGATAATATAGCATAATTATTCTAAAATCGAAAAGATTTTTGGCTTTGCTGTTTTACTCCCCAACCGCGGAGAAAAAAAAATGAAAACCCTCATTCTCACATTCCTCGAAAGGCAGGAATCAAGGGCTCAGCTACACCCTACAATGATGTATCTATGCAAAATTTAACTAGAATTACTTGATTGTATAACCATACTAGGAAGCGGATTGCAGATACAATATTACACCGAAGAGTAGTTGGCCGCCAGCACAGTGGCAGTAGCATAAGCCCCATCATGACTGATTGATAGTTGCGCGGCTTGTCTTCTCAGCAGCTGTCGACCTCCGTCCTCATGATTGGTAGTATCTGTATATGCAGGCGGCGGGGCATGTAAAACCATCACTGGCTTTTTTCTCCCCGGGATCATCAACACCTCAGCTTGATGCCAACTAAGGCGGCAGGGATACAATGCCTTCATGGCGGCCTCTTTGGCTGCAAACCTAGTGGTCTTCAGCTTGCTTCCTTCAACCTTGGAACCATGTAGCGTTCTAGGTCCATTTGTTGAGATGGGGCAGCGCCTTACCGTCCAGCAACCCAATTTGATAACTTCGAAAGCTCTCGCCCGTATTTGGAATACTGTACATCACTGTCGACACCGAAACCATAATCGCTATTTTCTTCGTCGGATGTCCGTGTTGAGTTGATCTGTCTCAGTTGCAACAATTTGTCATACTGCACTTGAAAAGCAGGCAGCTCTGCCGGACTGAAAATTCGTCGACTGAATTTGTCGGCGTGCTTCGGATGTTCGCTGGTCAGAATTCGCCGGATTCTGGGAATGTGGCAGATGTCGGTGCCGATACTGAGTGGACATGGGAATGGAAGAATATCTTCTGACGCCATCTAAGCTTCTGGTAGGCAGCGTGGCACCGTAGGATAAGACTCTATTTATATACCCTACCACCCGCCGTAGAGCTTACTTTGTACCTTTCCTGGGTAGGCCCGCTTGGCAATCCATTTTTTTAACCCTCCATTTTCCATACATCCCTGCCCCACTTCTCTCCTTGGATTAAAGAATAATGTTCATACAGGAATTCGTGAGACAAATCTATTTTTATTTAAAAAATAAAAATAAATACTCGGCAAGCCAAGACCGGAATACTAAGCTTGACTACTGTTGACTACCGTTGATAAAGTCAATAGCAGACTGGACTGTATATGGTTAGCCGAACTCACTTCCCTCAAAGAAATCAGATTGTTACCAGTGGTAATTTTCTCAGCTTCTTCATCCGGGATTTCTGTATCAAACTCCTATAATTTTTATCAGCATAGTAAAACCGATACTAAATAGAGCTCATACCTCCTCGAGAGCCATGATTATCTCCACCATATCAAGCGAATCGGCTCCAAGATCGTCCACGAAACTGGCAGAATTTACCACCTAGAGACGGTAAGTAAAATGCCAAAGCAGAGAGTTGCTTTTATATCGAAGCTTGTGAAAAATATACCTCCTCTGGCTTCACTCCCAGTTGCTCCACAACTATGTTTTTGACTCTGGACTCTATGGTTGGCATTTTGCAGGCTGTATGACAGATCTCAAGGAAGTGAAAAGAGGGTTGAAATTGGAATTAAAGTCAAACCTCGGACATGGCTACGATACATAAAATAGTTTTGTTCTTCAAGTGTTACCATTCTAGCTTACCTAACGCAGGGGCTATCTGTATTAAACCTAGATCCCTGATTGGAAACAAACTTTCCAATAGTTGCTTGCAAGGTTGCATGCGATCGACGGTTCACTTTGAGCAGTGATCTTCGCAAGGGGTGGCCAGAATTCCTCGCAAGATCCACCCTACTATTGGGTGTTACATAATGCACAGTGACGTCAGGCAAGCAGTTCCACTGATCCAGGGGTCCACACTGTACAGATCTCAATTCGCACCAGAAGCCAAATAAGATTAAATACCCACCGCTACTGGCTTTAAAAGGGGGGGGTTGGGATGGTAGGATCTATATTAAACCTAGATCCCTGATTGGAAACAAACTTTCCAATAGTTGCTTGCAAGGTTGCATGCGATCGACGGTTCACTTTGAGCAGTGATCTTCGCAAGGGGGTGGCTAGAATTCCTCGCAAGATTCACCCTACTATTGGGTGCTACATAATGCACAGTGACGTCAGGCAAGCAGTTCCACTGATCCAGGGGTCCACACTGTACAGATCTCAATTCGCACCAGAAGCCAAATAAGATTAAATACCCACCGCTACTGGTTTTGCTTCAAAAGGGGGGGGACTGGGATGGTCGGGCTGTAAATGTCGGGTTTGGCGCTAAGCCACATCATCGGGCAAAGTTGAATTCGTTCAGCGATCAGATCGTTTGAGATTCGTCTCATATTGCATGAAATGATCTCGTCGGCTCATCTCCCAGTGTCTGGTGTATTCCACTCTTTCCTGGACTATGTTCACACCACTCTAAACTTGGATCCTCTTGTCTTTGTGAATTTTGGGCTCATTGTGATCGGTCTCATAGCCTCGCTCCGCTCCGCCGGAGCTATAATATATAGCTACGCCGAGAAGACATGCTTATCGACGGTACATGTAGAGGAAGATGATCCTCTCTACGATGATATCATTCGCTGGATGAACGATCATGAATTTCGGCATCGCAACTTCCTCTCCGTCCTGGCACAAACCCTTAACAATTCCGACAGCGACAATGCGCTAATACAATCATCGCCATCAAAACTAGATTTTGATAGACTAGTCAGCTACCGAGAGGTAGACGACAAATCGTTTGTTGAGCTCAAACCTTTCCACGGGTCCCGTCTCTTTCGCTTCAAGCGAACATGGATACTTTTCGACCATGCAACGAAAAGTCCTGAAGTCACCGGTCGCATTCCATCAGTGGAAGGCAAGTCTAAGTTGAAGTTGCAGTGTCTCAGCCTTTCCCTCTCTCCGATCAAGAAGTTCCTCGACGAAGTCCGCGCGTACGGTTGTAAAGTCTCCGTATCTAGCACCACAGTCTATCGCACCAGGCATAACTCTCGCGACGTCGTCCGGTGGAGCTCAGTCACTTCGCGACCGTCTCGGGACATATCTACCATCATCCTTGACAAGCACAAAAAGCAAACTATCCTGCGGGATATCAACGAGTACCTTCATCCGCATACAAGACAGTGGTATGCCAACCATGGCATTCCGTATAGACGTGGTTATTTGTTTTCTGGGCCTCCGGGCACTGGCAAGACGAGCCTTGCATCCGCGATTGCCGGTGTCTTCGGCTTGGATATATATGTGTTGAGTCTGCTAGACCCGACTATGACAGAACCACAGTTTATCCGGCTGTTCTCTGAGGTACCCACGCGGTGCGTAGTGCTGTTGGAGGATGTCGATGCCGCAGGGCTCAGCAGATGTGACCTGGTACCTAGTCAAGATGGTACTCAGCCCAGGTCAGACGCGCAATTTACCATGGGAGCCGGGAGGGCAACGCCGGCAGGTACATCGGCAATCTCTCTATCTGGATTATTGAACGCAATCGACGGCGTCTCATCCCACGAAGGCCGCATCTTGATCATGACAACCAATGTGCCGCAGCGTTTGGACCGCGCACTTATTCGACCGGGTCGTGTGGACATACATACTCGATTTGGGCTTCCGTCTCAAGAGGAGCTGCGAAACCTCTTCTTGAGCATATATAGCGACGTGTTTCAGAACACAGCAGCCCCTACAGGACAGGAAAACGGGCAAACCGAGAAGCTGAATGAGCTTGCAGGGCACTTTGCGGGACGCCTGTCTGAGGGGCGGTTCAGCCTTGCAGAAGTACAAGGTTTTCTTTTGCGGTATAAACGGCAGCCGGACGAAGCGTGTGACAATATTAGTAGCTGGGTTAAGGAAATGGAATATAATTAACTGGGTTGATGAACAGCGTCTGTATGTAATTATATCATGCCAAAAGGAACGTAGACTAAGCCGGGCAAAGCCTCAGTCTCCAGTTCCTCCCTTGTGGTAAGATCTTCGTACTTGCTTGCAGCAATCGTGTGGCGAGATGCATCAAGGGCCATCAACATTCATCAACATTCATCTGGCTCTACGCAGCAACCGCCTACATCGTCGGCACTGTCTGCAGGAGCGAGCGAGGGGTCGAATTGCCCGACTAGTCGGCTTCGCCTTCAACGCGGTAGGAAGATTGTTGGTTTGTATCCAATTCGGTCTTGGGAGCTTTTGGAAGATGCGGCTCGCTTTGTGGGTGTTAATGACACGGCTGTGAATTGGGATACTTCGATGCGCGACGCGTCAGGGTCTAAACCCGCTCTATTTATCGGAATTACCACCAACTCTTCCCCCCCACACCCCCCCCAATCTCTTTCCCACCTCACCCTCACACTCTTGCATTTACTCCCTTCCTATAGCGAGCATTCTCATCATGACCCACCTTAGCCTAGGCACTTGCATTGCCGTTTGGGGATCTTCGTTCATGTCAATTGCGTCGCAAGGGGTTGGTATCTGTCGTTTGTCATGCACGCATTGACCGCGCATTCGTTTTAGTCTTTTCGTATATATATTCATCTTTTTATATCCCAGCGTTGATGGAACTGGGTTCAATTTGTTATAGGCCCTGGCTGTTCTTGTTTGGGTGTTTTTCATCATAGCATACACTCACCTTTTTATATTCAATTACAATTCGCATAGAGGCTTTGTGGTCCAAGATGTTCTCCGACCTCCGTAAATTGAAGCATTGGGACCAAGACGAAGCCCGATGAGATCCAAAGTGTCATAACGAGCAGCAACTGAGAGCACTCTAGAAGCCCGACAGCTAGCAGCATACAAAAGAGCAAGGAATTAAACGTTTATTGCACTCATGAAACATAATCTAGCATAAATCAGTCCTTTCCACTCCAGTCCGACACTGACCACATAAATCAAAAAGAACAGGATGCTGGAATACGTCGCGGATGGAGAAGGAAACGTCCCCATATCGCGCCAAGGCTACAAGCCGCATCGCCCCAATAGAGTCACCACCCCATTGGAAGAAGTTATCATCAGCAGTTATCGGTTTCGGTCGATCTGGAAGCCCTTTGCGCATAGACCTTGCATCAGTATTTCAGTTTCTGATTCTGGCATGCGCATTCTGGTGGCTTTCCCAGAGAGTCTGCAAACATTAGAGATGCTGAATGAGGTTCCAATCTGCTGGAGTTGACGTCGGACAATTTTGCCAGTAGTAGAGATTGGCATCTTTTGAATGGGTATATACGCAGACGGCAGCATATAAATAGGGAGCTTTCCTGCAAGCTGCTCTGTAGTCTGGGCGGCTATGCGCTGAACGGTACTGTTGAAATCATCGGAAGACAACATCGATGAATCTCTCTCCAGAATGACGAATGCAACAAGCGACTTATCCAATGACCCATCCAAATGAAGGTATTCCACTGCCACTTGCATGTTGGCTGCATGTTCATCACTCATAATCCCAATGGCTCGACGGACATGACTTTCGATGTCTCCCAGCTCTACCCGCTGGCCTCTGATCTTGATTTGGGAGTCCCGGCGCCCAAGAAAGACCAGGGAACCATCGCCATTGTATCCAAATAGATCACCTGATGTCCAGCGAAATCGGCGGGGTCTGTTCCCAGCGTTGTTGGGTTGACAATACTATCTTCCACGAGCCTTGGCCACGATGATCACATGATCACTTGAATCAGAGGTAGCCTGTGTGTTTCCAATCCATCAATGTGATATTGAATTTGAACGGTACATACATTGCTATCGCTAATACGCCCCTTCTATGTCATATATAGCCCAGGCGCCATTGCCAGTCCTTTGGGTTCCTGTTTTTTAGTGACATCACCGCATCAGAACAGTACTCCTGCTCCTCTTTCTCGACATCTGGTGTTTCAAGGCAATTTCACGCCCCGTACGTCACAAAGCAAGCCGTCACTCCCGTGTTGAACAGCGTCGATAGCATATCAAATCACAAGCCGCCGTCTGTCTCGGGCTATGTCTACCTGGAAGAGACGTTGTGACATGTAAGAAATTATTCTTTATTACAATGATGCTGAGATATGTTACCAATCAGATTTTTTGACCACCCAAGCATGCTCAGTTCTTGATCTGACTACCCCGCCCACTTTGGTCAATCTCAGAGTATTCTCACGTTAATGCTCACCCTTGGAGTAGCTCGATGTCTGAGAAACGTCATGATCATCGACCATTTCTACGTCGTGTGCACCAAATCGGTGTTCGTGAAGACTTCAAGAACCCAATTGTGGAAACATGTGAGCCATCTAAGATTGACAGCCACAAGAAATTAAATGTAGCATGTGAGACTTTTTGTCAGCGCATCGAGTGGTATTTTACCACTAGCAAGCGATTGATTACCCAGGAACCCACATTTCTTTGTGTTTTGTATGGTAAATTGGTTCAACTAGCAACCTCGGTGTAATAACCACCGAGTATACGGACATACGGGGGGTATTTCAACCTGCCCTCGATCGCACGCTTATTTCGATTCAATCATTCATTCCTTTTATCCTGAATTGGTTCCGCTTGATATCATTCGTCCTGAATGCATACTAGTCCATACACCTTTAGCAAGTGCTGATATCTGTTTTGTGACAGGAAAATACGTCTTACAAGCATATATCCAACTACTCCAACCAACGATCCAATGCCGGCACCACCGACGAGCCTACGCCAACCCCCCCATAGCTACCCCCGAAGGCCTCCGTAAAACCACTGTAAGCACCCCTAGAGCTGCTGCCGGCTCACTCCAGTTGTCAATGGCCAACTGGTCTGAGTTGTACCGTAACCGCCAACTGCGACCACGTCCCTTTCCCTCCGGTACGAACTGCTCTTGGACCATCGCGTACGTGATCAAGCTAACGCCTGCTGCCTCGTCTCTCGTTGTCTATGCTCAATACCAAAATACGCTGATGGCAGGTATGTGCAGTCCTCGGTAACTGGAAATAATATTGAGGTGGAAATGGATGCATTGGATTTCAGCCTGTTGTGGCTGTCTGCATGAGCGAGATCCGTTGTTCTGACGAAAGTTCAATTGAATGTACCCTGCCGGAATCGAACCCGAACCGTCGTTAGAAAGTAAATGAGGCAAGTTCCACTAGACCAAATAAGGGACACGTGCTGGCGGAACAAACTTTGCTCAACTATAAGCACCATTTTCCCAGAATATCATACCAACCGTTATTCCGAGCAAGTACCCAGCCAGATCGGCGGTTTGAGCTCCAGAAGTGTCTTTCATTTGATCATGCCAATATAAAATGATACTTGAGAGAATATTGAAAGAATTAACTTGTTACTGTTGATATTCTGATGATTCGTTTCCTATTTTACCGCCAATAATGTATGTAGCAGCATGCGTCTGGAATCACATATATGTGTTGTGATATGAGGCTGGTGCAGATCAGGAACCAAGCCGAACCATCGGAATTAATCCCGAGATATCTATACGAAGAACCAAGTTGATTTCCAATCAACTTGTTCTTCTCGTTGTATATATATAGCCTAATATTTCCCTCCGAATAACCACACAATTCATACCTCTGAACTACTACAATTACCAACAGACACATATCGTCCACAGCACTCGCCTCTGATCTCCGTTCCGGGCGCTACCGTGAGTCTACTGTGCACAATCAAAATACCCCTACTAAGTCTGAATACCTTCCCTTGAGAATCCAAGAGGGCACTAGGGAAGAGCACGTTTCTATCATTTATTTTGCCAAATCAAGGAGCAGGTATCGCTGCTTGAACACGATCGGCGCAATCTTACTTCTGAACTCGAAACTCTGCGCAATTATTCATGGACCTTGTACAATGTGTACAATAAGGTGACGGGGGAACTGGATCAGGCCAAAAAGCAGCAGTGGTCTGGACGCTGATGGTGAAGGAACGATTCTTTGCGCAGTAAATAAAACTCCATTTTATGGCCATGAGGCACTGTCAGCAGAAACGCCAGATATTATCTCATATTAAAACTTCCTCCGTAATTGATACAGTACAACTTTTTGACCACGAGTTCTGGCAGGGGCCTCGTAAGAGACCCTGTCCGTTTTCGTACTCTGATTGATTCCTCCATGAATAGTACGGTAGAGTTTTATCTGGTCTACTCAAAATGTTTATAGTTCAAACATATCCGCAAAGGCTACACCTGAATCTCAGAGGTCAGCTTGTAATGTTGTTTCTATCTCGGGCTCATAAGAATGGAGACATGGGTACTGTATGGACATCATTGTATCAGCGCTATCCAATGATGGCGGGTAGAATGGTAGCCTCAGGCTCCTAGGAGCTCATAGCCAAATTTGGACCAATCATTTCTACTGAGGCTATGTGGCGTAATTATATGGGTTGTCCACGGTATCGATTAGCTCATTATTCCTCGGTAGATATCATTGTATTCATAGTATCTAGTGATAGCATTAATATTGACGACCCACAAGCTCCTGGGAGTCATGGCCAGCTATTAACCAATCATTTCACTGAATATTTGTGCGTATGTGGGCCACTCAAGGCACTGATTGTCTCATATTTGGTAGTAGTACGCACCTTCCCGTGTCCACTTAGTTCCCAGGGGATTAATATGGGTATTGCCATGCGCAAAGTCGAGGCCGATGACAGAGACAATTGTTCTACGGAAACATGATCGATCTAGTAGCTCACTCACTATTCAAGGAACTATTTGGTGAGAGGTGGGCTGTGCGAATCAGTCCAAAGCTTCACCGTAGCTTGTATCTGCTTGAACATAGAACATTATGCGTTTGGGCTAGTAGGTAGCCAGGAGTGAAGCATCGCTTGACGGTTGTTTGTTATTGATGGGGCAATCTTCGAGTAAAATAATGCGCTCATCATCAGTTAGTGAAGGTTGCCGCCCCACCCATCGCAATAACGTACGGACACATGGTGGTGAATGTTGATACGCGTCATCGGGGCGTCTCTGCGGCATTTTCGCGACTGTTTAAACAATCGCGACTGTTTAAACAAGACTAACAATGAGAAAAGCAATTCATATGCTGGATCATCAGGAAAAGATACAAAGCCTTCGAGTGCTGCATTAAATCAATGATGAAATGTTGAACTAGCTGCAATTTGAGAGTCATCTGTGTTTGTGCCCTCAAAATTCACGCTATTCATTGCATCGACGCAAGCAGAATCACTGGCTACAATGCTATAAAAATCCTATCTCTCGCCAGCAGAGCAGTTGTTCTCAAGCATTCCTTTGCCACTCTGAGTCAAAGAAGATGGAACGCTTTTCGTCTCTGCCGGCTACTCTTTGGTATGAACTCACCCCGAATTGCCATGCAATTGTGTTTAAACTGACCTGTTGTATAACCCCCAGCTTATCCACGCTCGATAGGGAAGTCTGTGAGCAGTAGATGAGTGCAGCTATCCAGTCATTCGGCGTTACAGTGGAATTCGAAAACAGATTCCCCTCGAAGACACATACGCTTTCTTTCCCAACGCCCCACTTTAAGCTTAATTTGGCCTGAAAGCCCCTTGTTAGGAACTTTAGTAGCTGTGATTGGCTGTTAGAGCGACATGAAACAGGGCGATCCGGGGTTGACACTCTAGTGGGTCGCTGGGAAAGAAAACGAGTGTGTCTTCGGGGGGAATCTGTTTTCGAATTCCACTGTATAGAAGAACGACCGGCGTATGTACTATCATATCGAATCCAGTAGGTAGAAATCATCGTTTCGCACTGTATATCAACTTTTGCATTCGTGAGGAACAAAGATCCCCACTATAACGGGAACGGGGGTTACCGTTGGCCGCCACTTCACCGCCCGGGAGTCACCTGCACTGCACATCAACAGAGGGACCCACTGGTCCGGCCCCGTTATCACCAGCTCTCACTCAACCCTCACTCAACCTTGGCCCTCACCATCAACCCACAATCCATCACCGTCAATCACCGTCAATCACCGCCCCCGAATCCTCCCCCCTCACCATTCGTACCCTCAACACGCACCATCCTCGATGTCCACAATACTTGCGCCTCCCTACATCCGGGCAATCCCGCTGCGACTGCTAGCCAGCAGAGACAAGCATTCATACCAATGAACTACTGTCGATTTCAATCGATACCCAGAATGGCCACCATGCTATCATACACCGCGATTCCAACCGGTCCGTGACTGAATGCTCTACTCCTTGCTCCGTGGAAGCAGATGCCTATCCTCGAACATCAGAGCGAGATCGAAGGCTACAAAGCACACTGCGCTAATCGTGGCTACGCATGATGGAGTCTACAGTACATTAAATCTTGAAGTGCGCATACACAAAGCCCCTTTAGAGGATTCTTGAGTCTTTTGATTCTTTGGAGCAGGTCTTGGCTTCTTCGAGGACTCCCCCGAATACTAGTCTCTGACACCACGAAGAGGTGCCTGCAAACGCCAGAGGATTAGGACGAGCACCGCGGCGCCACGGGTCGCCTAACGAGCGCAAATTTGATAACGCAGGGCTCAAGGCTGCATGGAAGCTCAATATTATACAATCACAGGGCTCAGGGCTGTGAGGGAGAACTTGGTGTCGCAGCGGTCTCCTGCGGAGGTTCTTGGTAACGCAGGCGTCCCTGCGGAGCCCATGTTTACAACGCAGGGCTCATTGCTGCGAGGGAGCACGTTTTTACAATCACAGGGCTCATGGGCTGTGAGGGAGCGCGTTTTTACAGTCACAGGGCTCATGGGCTGTGAGGGAGAACTTGTTGACGCAGCACTCTCCTGCGGAGAACTTGGTGACGCAGCGGTCTCCTGCGGAGAACTTGGTATCGCAGCGGTCTCCTGCGGGTCTCCCTTGGTTTCGCAGCGTCCCCCTGCGGAGGCTCTTGATGTCGCGGAGGTCCCCGCGGAGCACATTTGTACAACACAGGGCTCATTGGCTGTGAGGGAGCACACTTATACAACACAGGGCTCATTGGCTGTGAGGGAGCACATTTGTACAACACAGGGCTCATTGGCTGTGAGGGAGCGCATTTATACAACACAGGGCTCATTGGCTGTGAGGGAGCGCATTTGTACAACACAGGGCTCATTGCTGCGAGGGAGAACTTGTTGACGCAGCACTCTCCTGCGAAGAACTTGGTGACGCAGCGGTCTCCTGCAGAGAACTTGGTATCGCAGCGGTCTCCTGCGAGGCAAACTTGATGACGCGGGGCCCGTCCCGCGAGGCACACTTGATCACGCAGAGCCCGTCCTGCGAAGAGTACTTGGTAACGCAGATCTTACCTGCAAAAGACACCCCAAGGCTGCGAGGCCCGGAGTGTGAGGAGGAAAGTCCTGCTCTTCATTTTGACGGGAAAAGAGCGTCTTTTATGCTATTCTGAGTAGGGGTTGCGGCAGCGACCACTTGCGTACATTTTGCCGAGTTCAGAGATTTTGACTTCAAATTCGCACTGGGCGAGCCTAATTTCGTGGGTGTTGAGGCGGTTTATCAACGTTGAAATAAGAAATTTCAAGAGTTTGGAGTGGAGAGCGGGTGGAGTGGCTGGATCCACCCGGAGCCGTGGTTGATACGAAGCTATGTGTGACAAATCATTTGCCTCATCAACATTGATTCACCTGGCTTAAACGGCCTGCAACGCAGTTGGTATGAGGTTTAGACTGAAGTGGCATGCCATGGGCTAGTCGCCCTGGCGGCTTAATTTCTCGTGGCAGCAGAAGTCTGCCAATATTCGCTCGGACCGTAGCCAATCGATTTGCGAATCATTGGTCTCAACATTGCTCAACGATGTGAAACGGTTTTCACGCAGCTAATATGTAGAGTCGTTCCATGGAAGACTCGCCTTGGCAAATCGGTTGCCCATCCGCAGAATTTTTCGCCTGCAAAAGTTTTGTTCTCGCCCCGTGAGAGAAAAAAAAATTCCCTCAGCCTAGCCGACATATTTTCCGTCACAAGTCGCAGTCACTGCAACGCGTCATGCCGCCCAAATCTTTATTTCACTTGCCAGCACAGGATGACCAGGGCACTTCGTGTACCCACGTCCACAAGGCGGCCGAGGTACCATCGATGAAGAGATGTCGACGCCGAGTCCGTCGTCGGAAAATGATTTCGTCGCGCTCCAATAGAGACTCCACCGCTATCCATCATTGGTCTCCACAGTCAATCAGCTACCGGTGAATGACCTCGCGATCCTCTCAAAATTGAATAATTCCACAATTGACTGTCGAAGGTCCTTGAAATCGTTTTTGACACAGAGCCGGGGACTGGAAGCTAAGGGTAAGCTAAAACAAGAGACTAGAGTGCCTTCGCTAATCACGATCGGTAGAGTTTTATAGAGGTCTTGTTTCCCATCCTAGGACTTCATGTGACGTCTATCCCTTTTCGAGCACAACATTTGATCCTCCAAACGCTGCAACGCCACCTCGAGCATTCCGCTTTCCAATTTGTTCAAAAATGGCTTCAACCACAGTCTTTTGCTGTTGGATGGACATGCCCGAGGCACTGGAGCTGCATAAGTTCTTCAAATTCTTAGCTAGAAACCGATCGAATATCTCGTCTGAGCAACATGGTGAAAATATCACCACTGTTCAGAACTTGCGCCATTCGATCGCCGGCAGTCGCCACGCCGCTGTTCATCGCTTGGCCCAAGACAGAGATAGTCTGCTTGAGAAGAATTATGCTGCCATCAAATTCTGCCTTCGTATCAGCGACGACTATCGCGTAGAGAGTCTCTGTCGTCTCTTTGAATTCCTACAGAAAACCCTGCCGAAGTCAAGCAGGGTGCAAGTGCAGCCACAGCAGGCTGTTCCCTCTCATCCTCGTTTACCCGAGCTCTCTCTTCGCACACAACTACAAGTACGATCGATGATACCCACTGACGTGATCAAGCGACTCGTTGGAGGTATCGAGCAGGACTTGATCTCCGAGGTGATGCATTTCTTGCAGATTGAGTTTCCGTGAGGCGTGGTACGTGGGCCGGTTCGGTTTATGTTCGGGACCATATTGAATTGCGGCATGTACCTGAACATGGTCAGCCCAAGCAAAAAAAACTTTATGTACTCTAAACATTGATTTCCCATGTATTTCTCTTTAATTGACTTCAATACTTGTAGTCTTCGAGATGTGTTAAGAAAAGCGGTTACTTCGTTTGAACACAGCATTTCAGGATTATCTCTCGCATTTGGACGTACGCTTTAACAAAGGTTCAGATCTCCATCACATTACTCGAACGATGCTATATAATGCAAAGACAATGCTTTGAAAGTGCGGCAGGAGGCGCCAGCAGCGGCTGAGCGACGGCTTACTGTAAGCAACCCGAGGAAAGGCGATCTATCTTCACAATGAGGCCCCATTGATGTCGCGAGATTAGGGCAGCAGATAGTCTCAGAACAGCATATCGGCAGTCTTAACTCTAGAGCGTGATATGCATAGGGAATCTTAGCAGAGTCATTGATGTTCCAACGTTGATTTCAGTGATGCTTCATCATCAGTAAAGTGATCTAACCGTGCTGCCAACGTTGGCTTCGGCATAGCCATGTCAAATAGACTGGCCCGTGATCTCCTATGCTTTTCAGAGCGGTCATCTTCCATGACCAGAAATTCATGGGCTATAAATTTCCTACCCATCATCGACTTTTGAGAAAATAACTTTTTTTTCTCCGCCTCATACCCACCACATTTTTCTCTGGTCCCACCAGGTAGGTAACGAATCTCGATGTAAGGCACCAACACCTGCTGATCTCTATGACTTTCCAGAAGAACAGAAGAATACCACGATCATCACGAGCCTACAGCCAACCGCCACCATCAAGACTCCACCAGTCGCAAGACTGAATCTATGTCCTCCGAAAAAAAATCAAAGCCTAAATCACCGCCCAGGAGGCAATTTCTTGGAGCTAAGAGAAAGTCTCCTGGAGCAGTTCCAACCGCTGCAAGAAAGACTTTGCCTTACCCTAGACGAATCCCAGGACATATTGGATCAATTTGAAAAAAATGCGAGCCTCGCGGTCATTTACAATGCCCCGATGATCAGTGTCAATCTTATGAAAGGGATAGATGCCATCTTTGGTTCTCCAAGCCCGAAAGTCACCCAGCTCGAAAATGGCACGATACGGAAGATTGTCACTTGGCTGGATGTTATGAATGCAAAGGAATCCAAGATCGAATACAAGGAAGCCGGCGTCTATCATTATTATCTGCATGACTTCGACGCAACTGCGGAGTTGTCAGACTTCCAGCATAATATGATGATTTCCGGCCTACCACAGAAATTGATTCAACCTTGGTACTACAAGAGAGATGTCCAAACAGAGTTATATACACTGTCGTTCACTGCCAAGATGGTTGCAATTTCGAACCAACTTGCATCAAAAGGTGAGTTATGTTACGCCTGATCCGGTATAAAAATGATTGTGCTTTAACTGACCGGCAAATTCCTGAGCCACAGTGATTGAAGTCAACAATAAGATAATTGGAAAGGCTCACCAGAGAACTCGAGCGCTTCAAGATATTTTGAACAAATGGAAAGAATCAACACATTCGAATACATGTCCATCAAGCCTAGTTTTGGAGCAGGCCCAGCATGATCAAGGCTTAGGGTACGCGGCAGTTCCCAATAAAGAGACTCTAGTCGGGAAAGCATGGTCAGCCCTGAAGGAACTCAAAAGAGCGCATCGCATGTGGCGCAGGAGGAAATTCCGAAGTAGCCTTCCCGGCAAGCTTACTAGACGGAGTTTCCACGGTAGGAAAACACTGCCAGCTTCCAGGATAATGGCGAATAAACTGCTCGGAAGAGTCCCCATGAGAATGGGCCAGAGGAAAAGGCTACATAGCCGAAATGGTCGGCGAGCCACCCGTCCAGATGCACCGTTGTGGATGCCCGCGAAAGGTTCTGAAAAACGACAGGGTCTTAGTTGCCAACCGGGGCCCCTGATGGAGCATCCCCATCCACAAACAGAGAATTTCAACCATACCTATCTGCATGAAAATCCTAGCGAGGAGAGCGGAAACCGCAGAGAATCCCTTGAGGAAGCGAGAAATGAATGTGGCAAGACCTGTTTTGATCGGCAAAATAGCCTCCCAGAAGTACGGCCAAGTATCGTGAGCCCATCCAACGACAGGGAGAAGCTGGCTGAAAATGAGTCATTGACCAGAAGGCCTGCACCTCTGATTCCAGAAGCTGAAATCCTGGAAGGACAGAGCAATCCTGGGATAGAAATATCAGAGAGAAGAGGAAGTGCGGGCCCATTTGATGGGAATAATGAGCGCGTGGCAGCGCTGACAGAGCCAAAGAAAAACGCGAGCCTCACCTTGCAAGGCGACACTACGCCCGAAAATCGTCGACCGGAAACGATAGCTCGAAACACCTCAACGGCACTTTCAAGTCCTTCCCCCACAGAGCCCTTGCAGCACAACGAAGAAGAAGTCTACCAGGGGCCAGTTGGGTTCAATCTAACAGATAGAATCCCGTCATCCGTGACCTGTCTACAGGATGCTCCGGCCACTTCTATAGTGAGCGAAGGAAATGACGCGCTAGTTCCTGAAGCCTCTATAGAGGTCCAGATCATAAATAGACCTCAACCGAGTAAGTGACGTAATAGATATCGTACAAGCGGCTATGACTGACAGAGAAAAGCTAGATCTCGTAATCGCCGATGGTCAACTCAAGACCTAGAGCGTTTACCCTCCTGGTTCACAGAAAGGAAGCATTTGAGCGAGGAAGAAATTCAAGCTGCATTCCTGGCAGACTTTGAACACGAGAGGAGCTTTGGAGCGATTCATGCGGCTTTTAAGAAACAAAAGCGCAATTTGCAACAACCACAACGCACAAACAAGACAGCGCATATTTCAAAACATTCAAGTGTCGTTGGTAGTGGCTTTTTCTCACCCGAGAGTGCTCAAAATCCAAATCAAGGTATTTCATCCATTGATGGTCACGTATTTCCCACAATTCAACAACTGCTAATCTCAAAATTGCTCCCAGAATCATCTTGCATGGCCAGAGCTGATTCTCCAATTTATACGCCACTTTCGCCTCCTCCACATAGTGCTAGTCCCCTAATCTACACGCCCACCTCACCTTCTCTTTAGAATTTAAGCCCAAAGGTATTAGATGACCGTATTATTGAATTCTTTGTGTTGCGATATGAGCCTGCCGTAGACCAGGAATTGAATCGTAGCTTCGCTATTAGCCCTGAGATGCTATATGGAAAACTAAGCTAATACGATCAACTTAGCATTTGTACGTATATATATGCCCATATTTCCTTTTATACTACAACTCATATCTCTCAGCTACAAAGAAGCCTGTGAAGCCCTAGTCGGTGTGATGGTTGATGGCGGTTGAAGATTGGGAGTCTCACATGTGACTTTGAAGTCCATATTAGATTTGATTCTTGGGATCCCTTGCGACGTCCAGTCTGGGTTTTCAAAAATCAGTAGCTGACCGAAATATCCCCAGCCATACCCAAGCCCAACAAAATCTCTAGTCCACCCTTTACATGCATATGAGAGCTTTACACGCCAGTGGAACTATCCAGGAAGTGCCGCAAGAAGATCACAAACCTTGTTACTATTTGGAAGGGACAGGGATCATAGGTGAACTTGAAAAAGTAAACTTAGCAATTCTTGTCCGATTAGCTAAGAGAAAGATAAATAAACCCTATTTTCTGCGCAAGAACGCTAGAAACTCCTCCCTAGAATCTTTATTCGAGCGCATACACCCCAGCATGCAGCTAGTTAAAGTTTTGCTAGCGACCTTTTGTACACCGCGCATCTCCATGCAAAGATGAGATGACTCCATGATGACACCCACTCCCTGAGGCTTAATGGCATTAGATATAGCTAGAGCAAGCTGTTTCGTTAACCGCTCTTGAACTTGAAGCCTGCGAGAAAACATCTCGGCCAGCCGTGCTATCTTGGAAAGTCCAAGCACGCGGCAGTCAGGAATGTAACCAACGTGTATCTATTCATACAGTCAGTGAGATCCGCAACGAATGTATGTAAAGTACGGACCTTTCCAAAGAAGGGAACCATGTGGTGCTCACAAAGAGAGAAGACATCTATGTCTTTCACAACTACCAACTCGTCATGATCTTCACTGAAAACAGCCTCATTGATAAGATCGTACACATTTTGCTTGTATCCACTTGTGAAATAAAGCATGGCCCGGGCATACCGTTCGGGAGTCTCTCGTAACCCCTCTCGTGTTAGGTCTTCGCCAATACACTCAATTATGATGCGCACAGCCTCCGCGAGCTTCTGTAGCCTGTTATCACCTTCTGCTGGTGCTAACTGCAAGCTTTGCGATATTTCACGACCTAAGGCTTAGTTTAGAAATGAAGGATGCAGGAAAATTATCTGGGCCCACTTACGAGGCCAGCTAAGGCCATCGGGCTCGATCGGAGGGCTACACGTCTTTGTTGTAGTGATTGGGTGATCAAGACTCGTGATTGTAGTGGATAGATCATTTTCTTCGATATTATCCTGTGAATTTCTGAGTGAAATGCTTTTGAAATCCAGATTAGTCCATGATATGCTCGTATTGAATGGGTTGTACTAGTAGCATACTGCATGTTTCCCGTGCTTTTGAACACTTCAGTATCCCCAGCCAGAGTATCAGTCCCAGAGACAGAGTGAACATCTTCGTTCATCTTCAATGTGTCCCACCTCAGAGATGTACCAAAGAGAAACGAGAGATTTGAACAAAAAGTTGAAGTGATATATATAGAATAAATTCCACGAGGCTTCATCGATCACCGAAGGTGTGGTCTCTCACTCAAGATCCAATGTGAAGTGATGAATATATGAGTCAAATGGGCAAAGTAAAAGAAATATAATTTCGCAGAGATACGAAAGAGCCCAAATCGCACTGGAGGCGCTTTATAGACGAGCCTTGACAGCGTACATATGATCGTTTTCGCTGTGTCGTCTGGGTGAATCGGGGTCAAATATTGGTTTTACAAATTAAGACAGTGAGGCAGCAGTCATTTGCCACTTGTGCCAATCAGAGTGGTCTATAATATTGGCAATGGTTGCGTATCAAGGTTTTTTCTGCCTCATGTACTGCGAATGTTGCTGTCGTGAGAGTACTGGGATAGTACTGCCGTTTGTTGGCCAAATCATATCCTAGCACAGGAGGCTTGGAAGCTCACAAGTAAGACTGTCTAGCCTTTATGTTCCAGAGGCAGGGGGAAAGGCATTCGGCAACGTGATTGAACATGTCTCTTTCTGCCCAAAAAGTGACTCGGTTTTGGTACATTTGCGTAAGTGCCCGGGGTGAAAGAGTATGCAGTGCATTGCCCGGAAACTTGTCCTGCTAAGCTGTCTACGTAGGCGACGTAACTCCGCAGAAGAATTACTACTTAGATTCGTGGCATACTCATAGTGAGGGACGCAGAGGTTGTCCAGCTAGCTTTTTTACGCAAAGACTAAGCGTAAACGCCAATGAAAAAAAGACACGATGCACTTCCCATACTGATGCCTGATCTTGGCACTTATTGAAAATTGTATGGAGGTGCCAGCGTGGTATGCATGAAGCACGATTGTTGGCACGCTGTGGCTGGCCCGGGGTTCCAGCCCCGCTTTACCTGCCATCCTCCTTATACTGCGAACACCCCTCCCCATGCAGACTCCTTTCTCAAGGCCTCCCAGCTTAAGGGGTGAAACATAACTCCGGATAACACGATATGGCTACACTCAACTATCTAGCCAAGGTTCTCAAGCAGGTTAAGGTATCGGACTCGTGTCAAAAAATGCCGATTTCAGACGAGCAATATAGTTCTGGCTTCGATATCTTGCTGCGAGGCTCTGAATGGGGGACATACAGAGAGTTCATCATCCCACATCTATCAATCGTCATCACGTCTCTTCTAAGCTCGCGTGACCGTATCGCAGTACTAGAAATAGGTCCTGGTCCGATAAGCGTGCTAGGGGACCTACCGGGTCACCTACGAGAAAAGGTTGGGAAGTATGCCGCATTTGAGCCTAACCACTTGTTTGCAGCAAGTATAAAAAGCTGGTTAAACCCTACTTCTGAGTTAGGTTCACCACTTCCAAGCCTGCAGAGCCTGCCCGAAATCCATAGAATGTCGTTCTCTCTTCACAGCGAGAGAGCCAGTACCGGCGCCTGTGGAAAACACCTCCACGAGAAGTTCGATGTCATAATCTTCTGCCATAGCATGTACGGTATGGAGCCAAAAACAGGAATAATTGAGCAGGCCGTCGAAATGCTCGTCGAAAAGCCTTCAAGCGGTCTAGTGATTGTCTTCCATCGTGACGGTCTGCGTCTCCATGGACTAGCGTGCCACCAAACGGCCACTTTCCCATCAGGAACAGTATGTGTGACAGACAATGATCAAGTACTGGATTGTTTCGCTTCTTTCGTTACAGGTTTCACTGTAGATGAGAAAGAGCGATTGACTGTTCAGGACTATTGGCGAAGAGTATGTCGCGCCTTAGGCCGTCGCGGGAAACTTCCCTCAAACCGGCTCTCCTTCAGCTCTCCCAATATCATGACCACCTTTACCAGGAACTCGATTGCTTTATCAGAGTTGAAAAAAACAGGTGCCATCATTGTTTCAGGGGGAAAATGTGGTTAAAAATCGTGAAGCTAGCTCCCACCAGCCCGCCTCAGTCGTGAGACCGAAGAGCATTCGAGAAGTTCAGCTGTGTGTACGATGGGCAATCGATCATCAATTGGCCCTGACTATTATCGGTGGCGGCCATAGTGGTCACTGTCAATGGCCAAATGTCGTTGCGATTGATATGAGTGCTTTTGATCAGATGCAGATTGTTGCGACCGGAGAAGGAGAAACGGGATGTAACCCCAACTCTGGCCCTTTGATGATCGTGGGAGCTGGCTGCAAGTCAGGTGAAATTGTCCGTGAAACTATGAAAGCCGGTATCACAGTACCTTTGGGATCACGTCCGAGTGTTGGTGCGGGACTGTGGCTACAAGGAGGAATTGGACATCTGTCAAGGCTCTATGGACTCGCCTGTGACGCCATTGTCGGCGTTTTATTGGTCAGCATTGAATCTCAGCCAATTACTCTGTATAGGCCATGTGCCGAGCCAATACAGACCAGCCGACGCGGTGATGTCGGAAAACGAAGATGATCTGCTGTGGGCCATCAAAGGCGCCGGGACCAATTTTGGCATCATAATCAGCGTTACTTTCAGGACATTCGAGGCGCCAATATATTGCACTCGAAACTGGGTTCTTCCGATGAAAGATGCAAGCGAATCAAGACACTGGCTTAGTGTTGTTGATCGTTTAGCTAGGAATTTGCCACACATATGTTCTGTTGACGCCTACTTGTACGGCGAAGCTGATCAAATTCAACTTGGCGTTACTATGTTCGAGTGTGTCACGAATGAGATCACCTCAGTATCACCTTTATCCGCCCATATAAGCACAGTCTTAGGTCCAGAGAACAGTTGCAATACAGTAGACAGTGTTGAGCTCTTCGAGGCTGAAATGTACATGTCCAAGATGCACGGCGGGCACGGTGGGGGTAAGACATCCTCATTTAAGCGGTGTGCATTTTTGAAGAACATCGACAAGACCGTCGCCGAGACTTTGTTAAAAGTCATTGAGGCTCGTCCTACGCCCTTATGTTACCTCCATCTCTTGCATGGCGGTGCTGCAGTCCAGGGAGTACCGGCTAATGCCACTGCCTTTGGCTGTAGGGACTGGAACTTCGCATGTGTGATTACTGGCGTCTGGCCTCGCGAAGAGGATCATACTGAGCCCGCACAAGCTGCCGTGGCATGGGTATACAGGGCTATGAAGAGACTCATGCCACTTAGCTGCGGGGTATACAGTGCTGATCTTGGGCCTGACCCGCGAGATAAAATGCTAGCAGCCACGGCTTTTGGGCAAAATGGATCGGAGCTGGCTCGCCTCAAACAAAAATTGGATCCGCACAATGTACTTGCCTATGCTTGCCCGCATCGGGAAGCGCAAATAGCACCAAAGCTCATCATTCTCGTCACGGGCGAAAGCGGCGCTGGCAAGGACTATTGCGCCGATGTCTGGGCTTCCTTATTAGACTCATGCACCCAGCAAAATCTCACAGTGCGGAAGGTGAGCATTAGCGATGCGACCAAGCGAGAGTATGCCATGGCTACCGGTGCCGACTTTGATCGTCTCCATCGGGACCGGGAATACAAAGAGCAGCACAGACCGGAATTGACTAGATTCTTCAAAGACCAAGTGCGGCATCGACCTCAGCTGCCAGAAGAGCACTTTTCCGAAGCGGTTAATAGTGCAGCAGATGTGCATGTTTTGCTCATCACAGGTATGAGAGACGAAGCACCTGTTTCTGCCTTCTCGCACTTGGTGCCAGCGAGCCGGCTGATTGATATTCGTGTACGAGCTGATGAAAGAATACGCCGGATTCGCCGAGGCTGCTGCGACTGTAGTTCTGGCTATAATGGAACTTGTGCGGTTGATGGGGAGGATGAGTCAAGTATGGAGCCGGCAAATTATTGTCCCAGCTTTCTTTTCGACAATGACAAGGCAGGGAGCGTTGCGGTGGAGAAATTCGCCAGAACACATTTGTTACCTTTCTTTGACGATGGGTTTCAGCGACTAGCTGACATGGTGCGACCGGTCTCCAACTTTCCACGCTTAGGTGTCGACTTCCGTCATGTACTCAACATATGTCAACAGCAGGGCGGCCTAGTCTTGTGTTCGTCTGTCATGCGAATCCAATTCATCGGCGATTGGAACGCCATCCACAGTGTTGTATGCTGCGAGGTTGGCGGCTTTGTCTTCGCGTCGGCATTAGCCACGCACGTCGATAGACCGTTGGCGCTAATTCGAAAAGCCGGCAAGCTTCCGCCACCAACTGTTTCCGTGCTCAAATCCACATCTCATATCTCTTCCTCGGTGTCCAGCCAGTTGGAGGACACTTGGATTGAGATGGACCGAGATCTGATTCGCAGAGACGTTTCAGTCGTGGTAGTGGATGACGTACTTGCCACAGGTAAGACGCTCTGTGCTGTTCTACAGCTTTTAGAGAAGGCCAATGTCAGCGTGAAGGATATAAGCATCATGGTCGTGGCCGAATTTCCCATCCATCGCGGCCGAGAACTACTACGCCAACATGGCTATGGCGGAATCCGAATCCAAAGTCTGCTGGTCTTTGAGGGTGCCTGAGCTAGGAGGAGATTCATGGATGGAATTGGTATACTGTCTGTGTAAGCTCTGTTTGGTTGTGATGAAATCACTCGATGTTTGTTCAAACAGGGGTTTCGGATAGCGAATGTGCGACCGGGTAGAATTGAAAATGTTGATGAGGTAAATCAAAGCTCGCTACTGGAAATTACGGCTGATTGCCAAGCCCAACGTAGCTCAATCATCCCGAAAGCACCATTTGCGACATTATTTGCAGTTTTGCACGCGAATTGCATAGAATCTAATGGCGAGATCGTAAATTTCTGGGAATTTGCGATGCACCCAAACCGAAGAGACCTTACTGGTATATAACGTGAAATACGAGCGCCTGGCTTGATAGAGCCCCTGAAAAGCTAACTATTTTGATTTCTGATGGCCTATTGAGTAGACAACGAAGCATTGTAGCCGTTAGCAGTGAATGTTGCGAATTTACAAGTATGAACGCAAAAAAGAGGCATGCAAGAACTAAGGCCTCAAATTTGAACTCGCTTCTCTAATCTTTCCATAGAAGATGAAGTCAGAGAGAAAGCAGTAGTCGATAGATGAAAAACGACAAATACGTTATGGAAAAGAGGGACTAGGATTGGATTCAATCACACACAGCATGTGGAGCCCCAATGACAAGAATCCTGAGAATACAAGGCATCATCCGATTTGTTTATGGTGAGATACTGTATCTAGACACGTCCCTCGTGGAAAGTCGCCTTCTCGTGGTGAGGGATGTCAGTAAGTTAGACTGCAAGGTCTGACCGAAGCTGAGAACTTTCCAAGTCGAAACTCCGGCGGAAACTCCTTTATTGGTTGTGACGACGCGGCGGGAAGCTTTCAAAAGAACACGTCGACAACTTCGCAAGGTCGACGAGCCTTCGAACAACCGACCTGCCTACCCATTTTCAACCTATACTCACCGGGTTTTGTTCACAATAACTCACCTGCCCTACCGGTTCGATAGCATGTCGATTCGTCAGTCCTTCGTCTGCTATCTGGTGTTGCCGCCAGCGAGGCAGTCAGCTACTTCGGGCGTTAATATGAGAAGTACTCTCGGTAAATCGCTACTCAGGGAAGAGGTTCACGAAACTACATCGAGAATGGACACGTGGGGGGTCCGGTGTCACAGAGGGATGGGTTATTGCTTTTGGGGAGAGGATATGACGACAACAACAAGAAGAAGAAATCGTTAAGGACATAGTCGTATGGGCTAGAGGGGTTTTTGGCAGCTGGTTCAGCTTTTCCTCTCGAAAATGAGACTATGACAAAATGTATGCAGTGGAAAGATCAAATAGCGTATAGGTGCCCTCTAGGCTTGATACCTCCGGGCGTAATGAATTGTGTGTGTGTGTATCTAGACACGGCCGGCGACGACTCTCACCTCCCCGTGGTGCCGGCTGGGAACCTGTGAATACCTTGCCTGGATGGTATTCGCAGAGCTAAGAAGAGTCACCACCGGCCAGCACTGTCCGCTGGCTAGGGCTAGGGCTGGAGCGAGAGCTCAGGGGTCAGAGGCCGTGACCCCACGCACAGGCGACAAGGGAACACTTTGAAAACCACCCGACACACGACCGCGAAACAGATCCTACAATCAGTGGACACTAGGGTCGTGGGATAGGACACCCTTGGGGTGCTCTCGGGCTGCTCTGTTGAAAGGAGGATATCGCTGGGTCTGAGGACACAGAAACGACATAGTCATAACAAAAACGCGAACGATACGGCACGACCCAGCATGCTTGAACCCACACAGAGAACGACGAGGTACTTTGGTTAGTAGGAGGAACAACACTGTGTTGCTTGGCTGTTCTGGGTACAGAGAGGATACAAGTGGGCGAACTCCTGCGAGACACGGTCGGCCTTGTTAGAGAGATCTTGCAAGGTAGCGCGAAACAGATTTGACAATCTGTGGGGCGCAGCATATAATGGAAGCGACGGAAGACTGGGTGGGCGGACCGCAGATACGACACTTTCTATATGGCTCGAGAGGACGGACGCGCGTGTCGGTCTACTGAGAGAATAGGATTCTGAAGATGGCTATCGAGGATGGAGTCTTTAGGGCGGCTATGGAAGTAGGCTTAAGGTGCAAACTGGTATTGACTTGCGGAACCGGCTGTGCCCCGCGAAGGATGCGGAAAAGGATCGAAGGGGACGTAAGGTGGAGGGTCTATGTAGGTAGACATGCTGCCACCTCCACAATGTATTATTAGGCTTGCTTAGCTTAGGAATACAAATCAGTACTTGCAACGTTGCAGAGACGGATCAATGCGCATGTGGACAAGCCAGAGAGACCGTGGAGCACTTCCTCTTTCGATGTCAGCGGTGGACCACACACCGGACGGAAATGCTGCAATGTACACTCACTAACCGAGCCAACATATCATTTTTCCTAGGCGGAAAATCGCCTTTGGATGACCAGAACTGGAAGCCGAATTTGGAAGCAGTGCGAGCCACAATACGGTTTGCAATCGCCACGGGCCGACTCGACGCCGCTTAACCGTGTCGACCAACACAGATTAACCCTACCCCACCCCAACCCCAATCTAACCCCCACCAACTACCTTGTGCCAGAGACGGTAGACGCGCTTCAATTGCCGAGGATAGGATGTTGAACACTTGGAGAAGCGCCTTCAAGCAAGTCTACTAACTCAACACTAACCCACAAGGACCCGCTAAGATATTGACATCTGAGATGACATACACTGAAAGGAATCTTATATGGGCTCTAAGGAGGCACAGCATTAGCTAAGGCATGTAAATTTAGATCAGTGATAGTTGCCCTTTCGGTTCAGCCGCCGGGCGTTAATAAATTGTGTGTGTGTGTGTGTGTGTGTGTGTGTGTGTGTGTGTATCTAGACACTATTGGGAATAAGTTCCAGTACAATGAGTAATATAACACAGTGAATAGCCTAACGCAGGTAGCTGTACTGTTTCCCCGGGTGGAAAAAACTGATTGCATCTCAAAATCTATATTTCTAGTTCAACTGCCACTTCTACTCGAAATTTCCGTGGAGGTTCTGGACGAAGAACCCTGAATCAAGGCATGGCAACGTAGGCAGCGTAGTGTGCGGCGACTCCACGAAGTGCTGAGTGTAAGGAAGAGGTTCCAAGCGGGGCCATATCGACAGCCGGAAGAGGGCTGTCTGCACCGCAGAGCATACTTGGAAGATGATGTCGAGAATCTGCTTGCGCACACGAGACAGATTCCCCATCGCTGTCTCTAATCGTGGCAGGAAGAAAAGGTGCTCACTCATCAACTCATCACTGAGAGAGTCAAATCTTGAAAGACGAAATTCCACCCAGTAGACTTTCTCCGGTAGCAAGAAGGCAGAAAAGTATACAAAAATATCCTCCGCCTTGGTAGACGGAGACAGAGGATCCGGACCTGTCCACGGAAAGCTTTGTTGGGTTTCAAAATTCGGATAAAAAACACATTCGACCAAAGATAGCCCGTGAATCTCTGAGCTGGAGACCCCTGATAAGTTGAATGAAGTTTGCTTCAATCCGCGGCGGTCGGTAGCAAGACAGGGGGCACAGCGGGTACGTTAGAGGACTCCTGCCAAGCTGCGTGGATGTCATCATCAGAAACAAAGTCTGCATGGCGGTAAGTATGCGTTTTGAGAGATGTGAAATGGACTTTACCAACCAATTTGGGCCAGATGGTTCATTTACTCGGAAGTCGAGAGTTCAAGGAATTGGAGAGAACAGCACTGGATCATTGGTATTAGATCGACGAACTTGCGGGTTAGAAAGGGAGCGAGCAATAGGCCAATTTAACCTTCTTATCAGAGCCAGACATCGTACTAATCAAAGGTCCATCGATACTTCTATTTGAGCAAGGTATGGGTAGTCACAAGTTCAACGGGAATTAACTCTCGACTGCATCGACGTCTCAACGGTCATGCCCGTTGAGAGTAAGAAAAGATCATCTCGCGTCCTCGCTTTCATACATTTTCACCAATGTTTGTTCATCACTCAGAGATAATTTTCTTAGTCAGAATTCCGGTCACACGTCCGTAATATCGACATGATTCCATTCTAAACAGCGTGGGCTGCGCACCCACGGTCCCAGAGTACCAGGGCCTGCTCATTACAACGCTGCTGTAGAAGACCATTTTCGGCTTTTAGTTCGTCATTTGACAGCCGAAGTTGACGTCGCTCGCGTTGCAGTCGAATTTTCTCGGCAGATTTGACAACATAACATTGCCAGAGACATAGGAATAGATCGAGTAGGTCGAGAGTTGGCCGAGAGATGGAAGAGCCCATCCGAAAAATCTGCTTGGCCTCAGTTGGCAAAAGGCTGGCAGCGCCGGTAGTGTTCTATTACATGTCAATTAGGCTCCCATGTTGCTACTGGGAAGTTTCTGATCTTGAACTCGATACTTTCACGCCCCGAAGGTTTTTGGAATATGCCATGCAGGTTGGCGGTAGTGTCATCCCCAGAGTGTTTGGGGCGCTGCCGCTGTCTTTTAATTGGTCGCTCGGTCGATGAAGAGCGATCTGGTGCGTCCATTTTCTTTATGTACGAAGTGAGCTGCATGGGCTGGGAGAAGAGAATCTTCAGAGGTTTCTTATATGCTATCATGACAGAAGGCACGCGAAGCCCAACATGTTCTCCACACCCGCAATTATCAGCTTCTTACCCGGAATGGAGCTCTATAACGACGCATGTTTCAATCTAAGCCCGTTTGCCATATCGCATAGATGAGGATCAACAACAGGGTCGTTCATGAATTGATGCAGAGAGAAACATTCTGTGGCATTATTTATACTTGATTACTGTCGAGCTATCAACGCCGCGTCCTATGACGGTTGGCATTATTCTCAATCCATCAAGTTCCTGGCCTTCCACCATCCCATTCCACACCTCCGCCGGCCTTTCAATGCAGTTTGTATCGCCCTGCCGTACAAGTCTTTTGCTGATTTTTGAGGAATCCACCGATTCTCCATTTTAATGATGAGACTGTACTTGTACTTCGACGGCTGCGGAGATCATTGACCCGCTTCTGGATTGCCTGCCGAATTGGACCCTCCTCGGCAAAATAAAGCGATGCCCACAAACTGGTAAGCCTCATTCTCGGGTCCTGCAGCAGCATTTCAACGACCACCAAGTGTCCGCTTTTAACTGCAAGCAACAAAGGATCCTCGAACCAACGATTCTGATGGTTGGGATCAACTTTGGGATGGCGCAGTAAAACTCGCACCATCTCCGAGTCGCCCGCCCGGGCGGCGAGACACAGGGCGGTGTCTTGGACGGTAACAGTGCTCTGGTTAATTGCCAGAGCCTCGCCCTGCCGGACCAAGAGCTTTACCGCTTCCAAGCGGCCGTTTTCCACCGCTCGACAGAGGGGCGGATCTGCCAACTCGGTCGCATTGATCTCTAAGCCTCCCTTGTTCAAGAGCATCGCCATCGCATGAGTGCTGCCTTTCGCGGCCGCCGCGGAGAAAGGAGAGACGCCTGTCACACAGAGATTTGGGTCGATGCCAGGTATCTCGAGAAGCCCCCGCAGAGCGACAGTGTCACTCCTTGCGACCGCGTGGTGCAGCGAAGTGGAAGGCGATTGGGTCTGACCACGACCACCCACAAAGTTGATATCAATGCCACCCGCCTTTAACAGCCTCTCGGTCATGTCATCGCGCGATAAGAACGTCGACAACCAGAGCGGAGTGTTGCCGTCTTTGTATCGACAGTTTATGTCGGCGCACGGGTGGCTCAACAGCAATTCCACCACTGCCAGACGCCGACATCGAACAGCGAGGTGGAGTGGAGTGTCCCCATTGTGATCCTGAGCATCCAAGGCCAGCTCCTTCTGCGTCAGAAGTAGCTTGACAGCGTCTGCGGATCCATGGGCTACTGCTTGGTGGAGCGGCAGCTAGCTGTTATCAGTGGTCTGAATACCGGCGGATGGCCTGTGGAAAGAGAGCGAGTGTCTAGCTTCCTGTGGGCCTACAAAAATCCACTTTATGGACGGCCGGCCGATGCGCCATGCCCATGCGCGGGGTGACTTGCCAAAGTCATCTGTAGTGAGAGGATCGCTGCCGCTGGAGAGGAGCAGACGCGCCAGGTCCGTTTTGCCCCACCAGACCGCGAGATGGAGTGCCGTTCGTCCTCGCCTGTGCGGGAGGTCAATTTGCAACCTTGGGACCTGCAGCAAGCTCTGTACCACAGAAGAAGTTCCGTATGTGACAGCATACCATAGCGCGCTTTCTTGCGCCTGGTTTTGGGGGTTGATATCCAGCGTGGGGCTTTCCAGCAGGAGCTGCAATACGTCATGGGATGAGTACTTGAGAGCTCTCATCAGCGGGGTCTTCCCTCGAAAGAACGCGTTGACGTCTGCCCTGCGACATAGGAGTCTTTCGGCGAGGTCAATATCGTTGCTCATGGCAGCGAGGCCGAGTAAATTGCTCTTTGACATTCAACGTTGATTGCAAGTATGACTGGCTGTAGCCTAGTTTGGAGATTTCGACATGATCTCGCAAGAGCAAATATCTCGCTGCTCTCGAGATATGCTGCAACTCTGTATAGGATTGAATTCGGTAGACCTCGCAGATGGGGCTGCCTCTAGTTTAGTATGTAGTTGCCAACATAAAGGATATCCGTTACGAACCATAATGAATATTGGGGTGGCGAGCAAGGATAGGGCAATATGATTGCGCGTAGGGTTATGACGGTCTCGTGAAAAGAGCGGCTAGGCGAGTTTATATCGTACGTCATGCCGCTACATGGCAATCATCGTATCGAATCCATCAAGGTAGCTCCTAGTACAAGAATGCGTCGCGAAGAATGAAAGTCCCTTAAAGCGAATTGTAATAGCAGCACTGCCGATACCCCCAGGATCACATTCCTAATTCCTAGGAGAGCCAAGTTCCGGGGAGCTCCCCCAGGGATTTCCCAGGCACTGCCTCCACGCCACTGGGGCCGGTGCTTGAAGCAATGCACTCTGGATGCAATGAGACAACAGTGGAGTGTTCAATGTGAGTCTTGGTCCTAATTTCTACCCTCAGTCTTATTTGGGTGGCTGTGACGGTTCATTATTATTCTGTTTTGAAAGCAACTAGTCGAGGTTCTATCCAAATGGGCTTAAACGGCTATACATCCCCTTCGTCCGCTATACGAAGCACCCCCAACACCCCTAACATGAATCGCCCTCGCCCATATAGGTCCTATCATTTTATCTGACGGAAGTTTGTCCCATCTGACTTTCCTATAATTTCGAAAGCCAAGAATCCTTGCATTTGTAGTTTTGCAAGGTACAATTCAGTCAATCATTGAATCAGTCACTTTGACTCGTCTTGGTGGCCGACGCTCAGTGACCTCACAGATGTATCCCCGGGCGCTAAGTGATACCGAAATCTTATTGAGCCAAGACTGCAACTGACTGTATTGCAGGGCAAAACCTTTCTCCCAGTCCTGAGCAGTATGGTATATGATGGCCCACAAGTCACCCTCATCCTCAGGAAGCATTGCAGTGGCTCAAGCTAAGTAAGCGCCTTCGAACAAGACATTGTTTCCTCCTTGGGCTTCCAGGGTTTCTTGTGACGGCACCAGGATCGTATGTCCCTTTCCAGTATCACGCTATTATCCATAGGAGCATATGTTGCTCTAGGAGCGGCGGAATGGCTCCTGGGACCCACTATGCCAGGTGTCAGGGGTGCGGTTGCTTGGGGTTTACCACTAGGCTAACAGGCCAAAAAGGCACAATGTTTGGTCAGCGACCAAATACCCAAGCTACTATATAAGTTCGATCTCTGACACCTGGAAATTTCATGGGTCTGCAAAATAAACAGCAAGCGCCTCAGTCGTGCGGGCACCCGGGAGAGACTTCTCACCTCCCTGCTGTAATATACCCGCTTCCACTCTCAGGTTCAGTGGAGAGTAAGGACGAGCCTGAGCGCCTTCTACCAATCCTACGACCCTCTTATATGATTGGTTCGATGTTAATCCTTTCTCCACTTTGGAGTAGCACGGTCTTCCTTGGGGGGGGGGGGGCTACGTTGATAGTGACTACAATTGGGAGAAGGTCACCAGGACACATGTACATGCCGGCACCACGAAGGCAAACACCTACGACGTCAATTCATTTGTGAGTGCTACTACATCGACCTCGTCTACATCTTTCTCTCATGGAATTGAGCGTGTGTTAATGGCTGTCTCTTTTGTTCCCGTGGTTACCATGGTGCACCGTTGGTCTGATCTGGAGGCAGCTGGGTTTACAGGTGGGTCTAACAGTGCCAAATATACTGGGACTGAGACTGGATCTGGCACTGCTATCTCTGAGGCTACGGGAAATGCTGCGGATAAACTCCGTAGCAGGGTGTCTACTTGGGATGGATTTTGTGCGATTTTCGGGGGCTCGGCTGCTGCGATGGCGCCGGGCATGGCTTTGCTTATCTAGTAATATATCTTCGGTAATGCCAAACTCCGATAGAAAGTACCATCACATGGGCAGGGACGCGAATGGGGGCGGCTCAGCGGCGGCTCGCTGTTCAAGTCACGGATTGGGGGGGGGGGACCCATGCACGCTATGTAGCAAACGCTATGCGGATACCGCTAGGGTTCGCTAGGGCATATCGATTCCTTTTCTTCCTAATTAGATTTATTTTTCGCTCAGGACATTCAGGAAATTGAGCGGGAACGGCCTCCACCCAATCATCACATAGACCTCGGATTTTCCAGGATCCACATGATATATTATTGGCCCGGTAACAATAGCGCCAATCATACTAGAACGATCTCAATCTTTTGTGATATATCTCAATACCAATTTGAAACATTTTGACGACCAATTGAGATACCAGAGCTTACTAGTATACTATGAATCGAAACAATACCCTCGGAAAAATACGATCTTATGTTCTAATATTCCTATGTTGAACAAGCTCGGGAACAGTTGTAGCATATAACGACACAAATTCCGCCCTTATCAACCTTCTGCAATTCGGTTCATCCATTTTCCTTCTTCCAATATGGACTTAAACAGTGATCTCTGTCAAGTTCATCGTATGGAAGTACGAAATGGAGTCCGAAGCGATGTACACTTCTCGAATATGCCCTGTACAGTCGTCTTGTACTAAGAAATCCGTCCCGTTGTAGGTGACAGGGTCCCCTGCCTTCAATGGTCTATATTAAACGTTTAGCACACTCTCAGAAATAAGATCTAACGGCCTCATCAAATCAACTAACGTCGGAAAGGTCTTGAAATCTGCTCCAAGAATCCCATGCATAATCCATCGAGCAGCAATTGTGTGCTCAGCTGCCACGGTTCGAATAGGTTGAAAATAATACTCGTCCCAACCGGCTCGCGATCTTGTGATGAAGTCCTTCAACCCTGTTCTGTTTGTCACATGGGTCGCTGTGCTGCCTTTGCCAGTTCTCGAGGGAAAACGGTCGACGTGGAGCTCCACGTTGGGATGAAAAATATCGTCAATAAGTGACAGATTGCCCGCCCACATGGCGGTGTATTTGTGCAGGAGGGCGTCATGGAATTCCTTGGTAGTAATATCATCTCTGCAGCAGGCAAAGCCAGCAGCGGTAGGAAAGGAGCTAAACAAGGAACACAAAGTAGCCTTGCAAAGAATGGAGTTGATTTTCATTGTGACGATTAGGCAAAAATACGTGGCCCGATCAGTTTGGGTGAAGAGCGATCGAAATGGGAGAAAGAGTGTAGGTTTGTCAATGTTTTTGCACTGGAATTATGTATTCTTTTATAGCTGATTCAGTGGAGCATCGTTGAAGTAGATTTTCTCAGCCAGCGAGCACTTTTCGGAAATCTCGGGCTTGTGACCCAATGTTGGAAAGGAGAGAAAATGAAATCCAAGATGTGATGGGATGCCTATAAGAAAATGGCGTTGCCAGAAGCGATTTTAAAGTTCAAAATGCAGGCGGCGCAGAAATTTTCTATTTTGGGTTTAGTGACTTGATTAATGCTACAAGACGGGACCTATGATGGGGTGGGCCTACAATGTAAGCGGAACAAGATTCTGCCCCGCCCTCGTATTTCCTGCAGCTCGCGCAATCCATTGCCAACATTTATAGTCAGAATGAGCCCTACATTAGGAACGTACCATCTGATTGCCCTTGTAATAGCCAATAAACCCACAAGTTGTGATAAGCTTGGGTTGAGCTACCAATAATTTTGAAGGGTTATCGCTTCAGACATCAACTAGCATCAATTTCCGGTGCAACTCCCTTGAATCAACACGCATAGCCGAAATTCCGATTTCTGTTACTGAACAGCCTGCGGTGTGCTATTCTGCTCAGGGTACATATTGAATTTTCATTGAACCCAAAACGATTATGGTCCGTACCGAGGGTCGATCGACTGCATGCTTGACTTGTTTGAGACGAAAGAAAGGGGTATGTGCTCGCTTTTTTGATGGCTCGTCACAAAATGACGGCTTTACCTTGTCAGTGACAGAACTGATAGACCTCACCCAGTGCGACCGGCAAAAGCCTTCTTGTGGACAATGCCGTAAATCATGCGTACTTTGTCTGGGCTATCAAAGGTCTTACGAGTTCCGTAATGTCACCGCGGAAGATATCTCCGAGTCCCGTGCGTCTCTTAGTTTGAAGGCATCGAAGGAGAATGGAGAGCTTCAATATGTCTATCAGAGAGAATTAATCCGATCTGTTCATATTGCAAATATGCTGAGCAGATTTTGGGAAACTTATCTCCCAGGTGGGCGGCAATTGGACCCTCAACTGGGTGGTCGTGCCACTTGGGGGGATAGTCGAACCTATGGCAAATGCGGCATCACAGACCGGTGTCTTGAGCAAAGCTACCGCAGCTTTGTGTCTCGCGGTCGTTAACTTACAAGAGAACGATGATTGGATAAGGGAAAACAGTCTCCGTTTTTATACAGAAGCGCTTCGTGACATGACTGTAGCCCTCAGCCGACCGGGTAGAGATCGTGGGGTCGGCCTCATGAGTGCAATACGAATTTTCAGTATTTATGAGGTGAGATTCTCCCAAAAGCTTTCAAGTATCTCGTAACCCCTCCGTCGCTGACATACACTAGGCCTTTTTCATTGAAACAGACCGCCAGCCCCCAACCGCGCAGAGTCTTGGCTGGATGACACATATCGTAGGCGAGATATCACTGCTTCTCTCGAATGGCCCGGCTTTCTATGCGACAGGTCTGGCCCACCAAGTGTTTGTTGATGATAGATTGTTCTTGGTTAGTCATGATAGCAGCGCCCCACTACTGCCATTTTTAGAGGTTTAGCTGATGTAGATTTTCGTCCAGATCTCTCTAGCTCTCAAGAATCGAAAAACCTCGTTTCTTACTGAAAGGACATGGGCGACATTACCATGGAGCGTTTTTGCCAAAACACCACGTGACCACATTCTTGACATATTGGCCCAAGTCCCGACGGCATTCCATGAATTCGATGAATATCACAAAATTATTGATAGTGATCCAGTGTTGGCAGAAATGAAACTTCAAAGTATTCTACAATACTGCCTTCGGTTAAACGATAAGCTTGCTTGGTGGCGTGCGGAAAATTCTGTTCTCGTACAGTCTTGGGTCCAAGTTGAGCCACTTTGGGATATGAGTATGGGGAGAGCACTATTAGATCCATCCGAAATCTCTATGCTGCACTTAATGAGCTTGCACTGGGCCACATCCACTCTTATCTGCGATACTCTAAGCAAAATGCTCGGAGAAGATGAACTCAGGCTGTGTAGCCTGAGCCCAGAAGCATCCTGCGGCAAATTGATTGTTGCACTCTCAAATCTCCTTCATCCTCACATTGGGTTATTCCGAATCCACTTAATCACAGTTCCCTTGAGTATTGTCATGGTTCAACTTCAAGATCCGGCTATGAAGTTGCATACCATTCGTAATGAGACACGTTTGCTAGCTCACTGTTTAGCACATCCAGGATGCGTGAACATATCCAAATTCTTTTCCAAGCTTGCGGACTCGCTCCAGTTTAAGGTCCGCCTTGGATATATCTAAGGTGTTGTTCCAAAGTATGGAAGTGAGCGGTTCTGATCATTTACTAAAGATTCAGCCTCTTACTCTTTTATTTTTAGATTTAGCATCTATATTCGGTCTGATAGGAGTATATGGTGATCAAAATTTAGAAGAGCCAAATTAAGCATGCTAAGGGCTCCCTCAAATTAGTCTGATCCGATTTCTATACAAAACAAATGTCAACATCAGCCCATGTTACTACGTTTTGTAGTGTAGATTATGGTAAAAGAAATGCCAGTCTGCACGTTCTGTCTTGTAACCTACTGGTTTCCTGACGACGCCGTATCTGGCGTTCTTTGTTGAAATGGTTTGTGGCCGTTGGGTATGAACCCCTAACCATGAGTGACTATGCTAATGTATTTCCTTTCCAAGGAGATAATGAGGCAGCGCAAGAAACCAGTCGACAACTATTATGTAAGCTACACCATACTGAGAACAATACCAGCACAAGCCCCGCAACAAAGAGTAGTCTACGTCCTGGTGGATTGCCCGAAGCTGTGGGAATTACGACGAGGCTTGTGGAAGAAAGCTAGCGATGTGTTCAATAGCGTGTGGTCTACTAGAATGATGACTGCGTCACAGCTTTGTACAGAAAGAAGAGATATATCATCAATTATTCTTCAACTTGGACAACAACTTTAACCCTTCCAACTGCTCGTCTCCGCTGTCACACGCGAGTCTGAAGGGCTGATCCTTCTTAATTAATTTGGACACGCAATCACATTTCATCTAATTCCGGCTCCTTGTTTTTCATTAATGGAGTCTCGATTTTCCTCACTCGAGGCTGCATATTAAATCTAATATCAACTCGATCGGCTTGAACCTGGAAATGACAGCGTCTCAATATAAAGTTCTTCTATCCGTGATAATTTGAACAATGATTTGCTTTGACAGGAAAGGGGGAAATTTTTTTGGGGAGGGGGCTTACTGCAGCCTCGCTCAAAGTAGCCAAGGTTTCCTCCCATCTATGCGTGCTTTTGCTTTCTTCGGGCAGGTCCGAGGCTGAAGGCGAGGATTCAAAATCATCAGGGTATGAGGCAGCAACCGAGACTGAGGGAGTTCCCCTCGTAGTAACAGATTGGGGTAGTCCGTGATAGCAAACCCTTGACGAATGACTGATCCAGAAAATACAATTAGGTCGGGTGAATCGCGATCGAATGGCAGCAGCAAAGGACATGGTTACGGGAATGTTGTAATTGAAGTGACTAAAAGAATTAATAGATTTTTGCTTGGATGATCTGGTATCAAGCTTGATGCATCTAATGATCGCGATTCTGAGTAGATGATGGCATTAAATCCCTGTTGGTCAGCTGATTGTAAGGTGAGTATCAGTCATTATGAGGTCAATTTCTTTACCCGCCTGTGGGTTCTTGGCGGGTTCCCGCTTGATTAATTGATTGACTGATTGATCCCTCACACTTTTTGCGCCTGACGGCTGCATGTAGTCCCCTAGCAATTATGTATTGAATGCAACCCCCATATTACATTATCGCCCCGCTTGGTGGTTTCTATATCCTTATTTCACGGTCTAGTCATGCTGTGCTCTCCCCAAGGAGAGCCAAGTTCCGGGGAGCTCCCCCAGGTATTCCGAGGCACTGCCTCCATGCCACATTAGGGCCGGTGCTTGAAGCAATATACTCCGGATGCAAGGAGACTACAGTGGAGTGTTCAATGTGAGTCTTGGTCCTAATTCCTACCCCTAGTCTTATTTGAGTGGCTGTGGGAGTTCATTTATGTTGTAGTTCAGAGGTATGAATTGACTTATTATTTCAGAGCGAATACGTGAGGCTATATATACATTGAGAAGATCAATTTGATTGGAAATCAATTTGATATTTCGTACAGATCTCTTGGGAACTAATTCCAATGGTGCGGCTTCGTTCCTGATCTGCACCAGCCTCATATCACAACACATGCAGTTAGCAAAGCGCCACATATGGCCAGATACAAGCTATGGTGCAGCTTGGGACTGTTTCGCACAGCCCACATCTCACAAAAGAGTTCCTTGAATAGTGAGTGAGTTCCGTAGAACAATTGTCTCTGCCATGGGCCTCCACTTTGCGTATGACAATACCCACATCAATCTCCTGGGAACTAAGTGGACACGGGAAGGCGGGTACTACAAGGAAATGTGAGCCAATTAGTGCCGTGAGTGGCCCACATGCGCACAGGCCTTCGGTTAAATGATTGGTTAATATTTGGCCATGGCTCCCAGGAGCCTGTGGGTCGTCAATATTAATGCTATCATTGAATACTACTAATATAATGATATCTGCCAAGGGAATATGAGCCAATCGGTGCCATGAATAAACGACATACGCCACATAGCCTCAGCAGAAATGATTGGTTCGAATTTGGCTATGAGCTCCTACAGTGGCGTTGCAAAAGTTTGAAACCCCCCCCTATTATTCTGCCGCTTTTTCTGCCGCACCAAAACCTCGCAAGCCCGCGCAAAATAAAAACCTTATGTAATGCAATTGCTAATAACTAGTATACCAGCCATCATTTTCAATAACTTGCTGTACGCGATGTGGCATGGTAATAGCTAAATTCTCCAGTATGTCTATATCAATCATAGACCACGCTTGCTGTGCTACACCAATAATAAACTGGATAGTATCGTCGTTATTTGGCATTTGTCGAATCTCAGGGTGTAAATCATACACCTTTGCTTTCAACAACGGCCATAAATTTTCAATTGGACTGAGATCTGGGGAATATGGAGGCCATTTCATGATCTCGTAGTCCTGATCAGCTATCCAATCACGTACAACGTGTGCAGTATGAACTGAAGCACGGTCTTGTTGAAAAACAGCACCTTCAACTCCGTTCAACAAAGTTGGGAGTATACGCTGGTATAATTCTAGAATAACAAACCGATTAACCCCTCCATTAGGAGAATTTGAATCTCCAAAGAGCGGAATAAGCCCAGATCGACGGCCTGTTCCTGAGAAAGCAGCCCAAAACATCTGCTTTACAGCCTTGTGACATGAGACTTCTTGGACATCTCGTTCCGCAATTTGGCGGTTTCGTGGTGTAAAAGTCCACTCTCGCCGTCCTCCCTTTCCTCTTTCAATCGTAGTTTCATCGGACCAGAAGATTCTTTTCCACTTTTCAGAGTCATAATCCCGGACTCGATGTGCCCAAGCGAGTCGCTGACGCGCCTGTTGATCGGTTAACTCAGGTCGTTGAAGTTGAAGCCATTTCCTCTTATTCTCACTTTGGAGGAGTCGCCAAACAGTTGTTCGATCAACTTTAAAGTTAACCACAGCTAGTAGAGCCTCATATTTAACTCGTGGGTTCTCTGAAATTGCTTGAAGTAACCTCAATCGATCTGTTTCATCAAGCTTTTTTGGTGTACCAGAACGTGCTAATGTAGCTTGAGTTGGGCCTCGTATAGAAGCTCGAGCAATTGTAGTTTTAATAGTTCCAATTGGAATATAAGGGTAGCGTGAATAGATCTCTGAATAGGACCATCCAATAGCTTTCAATTCAACAATTCGAACACGCTCATGTGGTGCTAATTGACAGCGGCGTGAGCGTTGTGCAACATTTGAATGCTGTGACGGTGTATCATATTGATTTTGCGCTATTTGCAGTGCAGTACGACGAATTGGTGGCATTCTAAAGGCTCAAATAGCTCAGTACAGCGCGTGGAATGTGTATAATATGCTATATACACGCGTCTCGCGTGGTGGAATAGGGGGCGGTGTACTAATATGGTGGGCGGTAGGGGAAGGCGGTCGCCGGGGGGGGGTTTCAAACTTTTGCAACGCCACTGTAGGAGCCTGGGGCTACCATTATACCTGCCATCATTGGATAGCGCTGATACAATGATATCCACAACGTGCCCATGTCTCCACTCTTATGAGCCCGAGATAGAAATGACATTACACGCTGACCGTTATCGTAAGATTCAGGTGTAGCTTGTGCGGATATATTCGAAATACAACATTGTGAGTGGACAAGATCAAACTCTATCGGTACTATTTATGGAGGAACTTCAGACCCTTGATGCTCTCGAGTCATGTTTGCTCATACTGGCCTCCGCGCTTATTATTATTTGATGAACTGAGGGGGTGGTCAAATACCACTAGGACCCTTCAGATTAGGCTTATTCATCGTTCACCCAATTCGTCCTAGTATGGTTTCACGACAAGCCATAGTTCAATTAGAACAAGAGACCCCTGAGATCGCTCAATCGATCTCAACACCTTCAATCAATCATCCGATGGTTACTATTGGACATGTTCAGTGCTAGCCAGTACATCAGTTCCTCATCCTGACAGCTGATTTTGTAGACAATCCGGCAGTTCAACTTCCGGTACCCTCGCTCGCCAGAGCGAATCAAGAGCCTGCATTTCGCATTTCTGGACCTTTCGTCCGACTGTTATCTTAATCTACTCGTATTGTTTAGCGGGGGCAGGGGTTATAGGGTGTTCACACAATCTTGGCCCCTCCGGATAGACCTTTCACAAATGGACTCAATACGATTTCTGGGGATTTGATTCTATTTTACCCTTGCTGCCGTCGACGTTGGACTCGAAACCGGACTCGAAACCGGAGATGAACTACTCCGGAGACCTAACTTTGCATTGCCCGAAAAGCCGATTTCTGCTATCTCCTAGTCACATATGTCACCAACACCGAGAACACGACGCTAGACTATGAAGGGCATAACTAGGTTGAAACTAGGACCTGGAGGAAGTGTAAGTATCCATCCTGCGAACAATCTTGGCCTGAGTTATACAATAGGCAGATTTGCCCGGGAGACTAGTCGGAGCCCCCGTCAGTATACAGATCGTCGGTCGGCGTCCGAATGAAGAGTATCTCCTGGGATTTACGTGGGCCTGTGACAATGCTCTGATATCGGCCAAGAACATTCCCAATGGCTGTGGAATGTAAGTTCCATCCCATACTGGGAGGCAAAAACACAGAATGAAAGGATTACTACAACCCCTTCTCCCCAATCTCACAAACAGCAATTCCCAGGACCCATTCGGAGCTCAGAATCTCTTCTGCTGTAATCCTCAGGCCCGGGTCAGGATGCAACATGGCATAAATAACATTCCGACAGTTCTGTTGCGTTATGAACTATTAGATATTATGTTCATGCTGAGCGTGTGGAATCTGGCGCGATCGGATCTGTAACTTACATTTTCCAGAGCCTGTATAGGGCCATATCCATTCTGCATCAAACGGCAATGGAGATATTCAGTATAGGATTTGTCAGGATCCACTGTCCGGGTGGTGCGCCACGGAAGTCGGCCAGACTGTAGGATCATGTAGATCATGCCGCATGCCCATATATCACCTGCCCTAACATCATACATATCTTGGTGGGTATAGCCTTGACGGACAGAGTCACGGCGACCGGAAAACCTCTCTGGAGGAAGATAAGGAGTACTCAACTCCGACACACTTCTTCGTACACACAGGAGCAACTTAGAATTAAATTCTCGGGAGTTGCCAGGGCTTGGTCCAGACTGAGGGGAAGTAGAATCTTCACGACGTGAGAATGCGACCAATTCCCGCACTGCATCTTCATTTCCCCCAAAGCCACCCACCTTCACCGCACCTCGGGTAGTGAGTAGTACATGTTCTGGCCTTAAATCCCCATAGGAAATCCCGTGTTCGTGTAGGAAGCCGATTGCACGCAATATCTGGACATTCAAGCAGTTTATTTCCTCAAGGGACAGGCCATCGTTGGCCCTCGCTTCTTGTTGCAGAAAAGCGTGCAAGTTCCCACCAGTACAGTAAGGCATGACAAGACAAATATTTCCTTGCTTATTGTAAAGAATATCGAGGATGGAGACAATATTTGGATGAGAGAGGGGTGGCCTTCTACTTCTGCCTCGTGGGAGGTTGGGCACCCGGCCCAAGTTGGCTTTGGTATGATGAAATACTCTGACTGCGTAGAGTTCCCTGATTGTTGACTTCGGCATAGAAGCACGCCTTAATTTCGTCAGCATGAACCCTTTCCGGGGTTGTGTCGGCGATAGGATTGGCTGGGAAACTGGTGCTTTCTTTTCGAAAAGTTGCACGGTGCTAGTATTGTTGTAATAGAGGACTTTGGTGAATACCCCATACTCCCCTGTGAATGATGTCTGCTCCAATTGGGTGATCGCTGTGGGGATCCTCTGGGCCTGAGCCGAGTCATCTCGATCAGAACGCTTATCCGTTGATCTTGAGGCAGTTTTCTGCCTTGTAAGCCCTTGATTTGAGATATTTGCTCCCGGCTGAGAACGACCTTCACAATCCTGCGACGTTGACCAACCCCACTCGGAAAATACATTTGTCAGGTTGTCAACAATAGGAAGACTTCGGAAATCATGCTTGTCTCTAACATCATCCCTTATCTTGCGATGATAATGGGTCGATACAGAGCGGTCTGGCGATGGGACGTGCTCGAAGGGAGAATGTAGATGAGGACTTTGAGAGTTCCCTGTCTCTTGCATAGTCTGTTATAGGAAGAGACGAATAATTATCGCCAGAGAGTCGAATTACCGCGTCTTCAGGCCAGGCAAAATGAGGCTGGGATCACGTGCATACGTGTATCTCTGTCTCTTGGTCTACTTGTATCTTAGACAATACACATATCACAGCATACAATCAACTCCCCTCAATATTATGAACATTGAAGCATCACTTAATAAACCAACAGGTTATGAGCCCGGCACCGCTCACCTCAAATTGGAGACTCTACTCCCTGCTCCTAAGTTTTTCCCCGTTAAGTGATAGCTTCATCTGTTGACCAAACTGGAACTACTCATTTAGTACATCAACAAGAAGACATTTTCTCACGACCAGGAGAAAATTGATTGTGCGAAATCATCTCAAGATTTGGATCAATCGTCACACCGCTACGAATATTCCTCAGGCCAATCATAGTCTACGGGTTTGCTTTACAACAGATGACGGCTGCAGACGTGCCACACCGCTACAGACGTATCACATTGCCCAGCCAAGAGGAAATAATCTACCATCTGTGGCAGGATGGGATTCCATTTACCCCTCAATACCCTGATGCTCTCGAACAAGGTCGATCCGCCTTTTCTTCAGATTTATGGCAAGAAGACAAGGGTCGTACAAAGGGCATAACTGGTCTGACGAAGAGCTCAACTTGGTGTGCTATCTTCGATGCATCCGTCATTGGCGCTTCACACAGATCCAAAAGGCGAAGTTTCCATTACTTTCCCAACACTCAGTCGGCCGGGCCTATAGGAGACTACCTCCAGAAGAGCGCACACACCGGGCACTAGCTGCCGTACCTGTCAATATAAGGCCCCGACATATCACAGAAAGCTACGTTTCAAGTCAATTTCAGCCAGCATTCTCCAATACAGTACCAAGGCATAGCTATTACAGCTCAGCAAACAACGAGATTGGAGATACACCATTGGGCACGAATGGTGACAACCCAAATCGCTACAACCTCCGGCCAAACAGACCCTCAATCTTTGCAGAACGAAAGCCACGTTATATAGTGGACCGTGACCGTTTCCCTCATTTCTTTGAATCATATCGCAGTTCTCTAAAGCCAAACGAGCTACCAGACAGTGAATACATCCCTCCATCACATACACCTACTCCAAGCTCGTCGGAGTGCTCTCTTTCCATCAGCTCCAGTCCTCCCAGCGAGATATCAAGCTTGGAGCTGTTTGGTCTTGAGGCACGGTCTCCCGAGCCATCAAACCATACGCCTTCTGTTCTCTCAGTTTGCTCAAGTGGCTCGTCGAGCGCTGAATTCTTTAGCACCGAAGAGCCCTGAACACCATCACGATGGATTCGAACAAGTTTGAACAGCTAGGCTTGAGCTCATTCTATCACGCCATACCAACTCTCGATAATGCCAACGACTGGTCGCAGTGGAACCAGAAAGTCAAGGAGTTTCTCCGAATATCTCCTGTGTCCAAGGATGAGTCCATCCCACCTCTGGAAGAGGAGGAAGCGCAGCAATGGTCTCACCGCCAGACATTCTACTCGGCAATGATCGCAGCAAAGCTGACCCACAATGCGGCTCAGCGAATAAACGCTTTCGATATCACCCGAGTCCATTCACTGATTAAAGCGGTAAAAGAAAACTTCAAGCCAGAAGGTTCAGGAACATATGTGAATCTTCAGAGGAGGTACATGTCACTTACCCGGGCAAGATGTGGGAGTGCACAAGCCCTCGGGGCCGAGATCAGGAAGATCCATGCCGAGAAACTCTTACTCGACCCCGCATGTGTCACCTCTGAGATCGAACGAACCTTCTTTTTCCTCCATGCATTAGGCCCGGAATATGAGAGCTTTCGCGACCATATCTTCAGACAAATGGACATAGTCAATGACAGAGACGAGGACGGAAATATCACCAAAGCAGCTCCTACATTTGACTACATCGAAAATAAGGCCATTGAGGAGGAGCATAGGAAGGATCAGCTGGGCGACCAGCCCACAGATACGAATGCGCTTCCTGCCTTCACACTGAGCCATAAGCCTCGAGACAGGAAAGTCATACCGTCTCCAGATGGGAAAACATGCCGAGTCGAGATGAACAACGTTCCTTTCTGTGCCTTCTGCCGAAAACCCTATCATAGAGAGTCACACTGCTTCAAAAAGGATCGTAGCCTGAAGGATCAAGAAAAGGAGAGAATGACGCGCAGGCCAAGACCCAAAGAAGCGCACACCGGTGTTCGCAATTCATCAAAGCGGCGACCTAGTACGGATCATGAAGACGACGATTCAGAAGGACCGAGAGACCCCAAAAGACCGACGTTTGTGGCGACACAGGCCTCAAAACAAGATATCAACGCGGCTTTCAGCGCCGAAATTGAAGGAAACATTGCCACATTTGACTTCTTTCCCAGTATGATGGCCACAAAGTCCGCCTCGATCAACGACGCCTGGATTGTGGACAGCGGATGTGCTCAGCACGTTTGCAACAATGCCACAAGATTCGTCAAGATGGACAAATATGATGGTCCACCGTTACGCAGTGTCGATACCTCGACGGCTCCTTCTGGCATAGGAATAGCAAATGTCCTATGCAATGTCCGAGGGAGGAAGAAATGGCTTGTCCTAAATGACGTTCTGTTCGTCCCGACTGCACATGCGAATCTCATATCCGTGTTGCAGCTTCTCAATCGGGGGGGCAAAGATTGATTTCTCGAGCAAAGGCGCCATCATTCGGAACAAATCAGATGGGAGAAATCTGTTCACTGCAAGCGAATACCATGGAGTCTATGCACTTGATTTATGGGCAAAACTTGTTTTTCCGGCCTATCATATCAGCCCGCAGTCGGCACTCTGGCACCATAGGCTCGCTCACCTAGGCGGTGCGAACATACAACGATTGAAAAAGCAAGCCCACGGCATTAAAGACAATGCGCCACGCGAACCTTGCAACCCTTGTCTTCAGGGAAGAATGGTCGAAGTCCCACATCGCCGTTCAGAAGTGTGCAAAAGAGCCAAATACGCCATGGAGCTCCTGCATATCGATGTTGCAGGACCGTTTGAGGAGGGCCTCGACGGCAGCCGTTACTGGCTCACCATTGTTGATGACTTTACTGGATGGATTGAGATTGTCCCTATACCACGACGACAAGGATACGTCATTGAGTCCTTGCGGCATTTTCTCGACCACAATGAGCGCCCTGAACGCAAATGCAGGCGAATCCGCCTTGACCGGATTCCGGAGCAAGTGGGAGAAGATATGAAATTTACTCTCTTCTCAAGGGCAATACGAGCCGAGGTCACGGGTGTCGACCAGCACCAGCAAAATGGGGTAGCAGAAAGAACCCACAAGACAATTTACGATCGAGTTGGACCAACGCTCGCGCATGCAAAGTTGCCAACAAAATTCTGGCCAGAGATTGCGCGAACGGCGGCATACCTCTCCAATCGATCACCATCATCTAAACGCAATATGACTCCGTACCATGCCTGGTATGGTGACAAACCTGACCTATCACGGCTGAGAGTTATAGGATCCAAGGGACAGTATCTAATTCCCCCTAAACAAAGAAAGAAGCTGACGGGACCAAGAACAAGGCCATGTCTACTATTGGGATACGAAGGCAATATGAACTATCGCATCCTACTAGAAGACGGCAGAATCATTGGTACGCCAAACGCAGAATTTTATGAAGTCCTTGAAACTCCCTCCACGCAGACCATACAAGACGTGGGAGCCAAACAGCAGAGCTTTCCTGTGGCAACGGCTGCTGCCGCAGGGGGAGTGAGACGGTGGGGCAAATAAATCACCCGTCGGCCAGTATGCGACATGCATCCGTGCCAGCCTCGGGACGTCAAATATCCCTGGCACCACAAGAACAGACACAGCCTGGATCATGGGACGACATAGTGCAAGTGCATCTGCCTCAGTCGAGTAGTAATGATAACTCGCAGCCCGCCGTTGCTGGCCGAGGAGCCATCACCTTTTCGCCTCCACGGAGTGAAGATACCTTTGGACCCTTATCACCTGCTTCACAGGATTCCGTCCTCAGGATTGAATCACCACCGGGTAGCGACCAGCAACAAGGCGATGCACAGCAAGGGCGAATCCCAGATTGGCTAGATTATTCCGAGCTTCAGGAGGGTGGTGCAAAACACATAGTGCAAAAAGACTCACTGGAACGCCACCCTGAACTCAAGCTCCGTGACACACAAAATTTTCAAGACACATCCGGTTATGACCAAGAAGAACTCGCATTGATGAATATCCCCGACAAGAACGTTATTCCAACCTTTTTGACTATAGCGGCGGAAGAGATAGAACCCTTCGAACCAAAGTCCCTTCGAGAGGCCAAAAATGATCCACGCTGGCTCGAGTGGGAAAAAGGAATGATCGAAGAGATACAATCACTCAAACAAAACAAAACCTGGGAAGCGGTCGATCCTCCCAAGGATCGCCGAGTCCTGAGCGGAAAATGGATCTTCAAACTCAAACGAGGATCCAGCGGAGAAATCGTCCGCCACAAATGCAGATGGGTAGTTAGAGGTTTCACCCAGGAAGAAGGTGTCGATTATGATCAGACATTTGCTTCCGTAGTCAAACCAATGAGCTACAAAGCCCTGTTCGCAATTGCCGCTGCTCTGGATCTCGAGATCGAACAAATGGACGTCAAAACAGCGTTCCTATACGGCGAGATAGACCATGAGATCTATGTTGAACAACCTCATCACATCACAGACGGCACATCGAGGGTCTGCAAGCTTCGCAAGGCACTCTACGGCCTGAAGCAAGCACCTCGTATCTGGTATCAGACGCTGACCAATTTCCTTCGGGATCTTGGCTTTGAGCCCATCAACGCCGATCTCAGTATCTTTGTTCGGAGTGGCATGTACATTGCAGTGTACGTCGATGACCTCTTGATCATCGGACCCAGCATTGCAGAGATAAAAAAGATCAAACGAAGCCTCAGAAATCGTTTTCATATGACAGACCTTGGCCCGTGCAGCTACTATCTCGGCATGACCATCCGACGAGATCGGCAGAACAGAATTCTCTATCTCAGCCAAGAGGCTTACGTGCGCAAAGTCCTTCAGCAATTCGAGATGCTGGACTGTGCCCCTATCAGCACGCCGATCGACACTTCACCCCTGCCAGAGAACGATCCTGAATACATCTGCCCGTCGAATATTAAGAACGAATACCAGCGCTTGATCGGATCGCTGATGTATGTCATGCTTGGAACCAGAGGTGATATCGCATACGCTGTCTCAGCGGCAAGCAGGCACTTAACGAATCCTGGCCCACAACACATGAAGCTCGCGCGCCGAATCCTTCGATACCTGAAAGGCACCAAATCTCTCAGCCTCGCATATAAAGGCCAGCTCCAGATGCTCCGTGGCTTCACGGATGCAGATTGGGCCGGCTGTCGCCAGACAAGGCGCTCGACAGCAGGATATCTTTTCAACATTGGGAGTGGAGCAATCAGCTGGCAATCAAAGCGCCAGAGTGTTGTTGCCCTGTCAACTTGCGAGGCCGAATTCATAGGCCAGACACAGGCAACCAAGGAAGCTATCTGGTTGAGAAGACTTCTTCATGAGCTAAACATGGGCCAAGGACAACGCGCAACAATCATCTGCGGCGACAACCAGGGGGCCATCGCGCTGGCCTCGAACCCTCAATTTCATTCGCGTACAAAGCATATGGACATCCAGCGAAAGTGGCAAGGAGAAGTTCAAGACGCCAGGACAGTGGAACTCAAATATATACCAACGTCAGAACAGATAGCGGATGGCTTCACAAAGCCCCTTGCGCGAGATAGATTTGAATGGTTTCGGAAAGGCCTCGGCATTGAGTAATAGCTCGGTCAGACAAGAGCCTTCCAGAATCTGGAAAACAAAGAAACGGGCATACAAGCACCCTTTCCTTCCTTTCCACCATTGGTTTTTGGGAGGTTTTAATGGGGCTTGGCAACCGTGATGAGATATCGCCAATACCCTTCTGACGAGGGTGATTAGCGAGTGGGAGTGTTGAAATATCCCGGTTGCTGAGATAATGAGGCTGGGATCACGTGCATACGTGTATCTCTGTCTCTTGGTCTACTTTGTATCTTAGACAATACACATATCACAGCATACAATCAACTCCCCTCAATATTATGAACATTGAAGCATCACTTAATAAACCAACACACCAAATAGGCCTCGCCAAAACCCGCCCACCGCCCAAGCCCGCCCGCGAAAACCCGGCCCACGGGTCGGGTTGGGTCTTAGTCAGCAAACCCGTGGGCGGGTTGTCATGTAGAAAACCCAACCCAAGACCCAAATGGGTACCCGTGATAACCCAAAAAAGCAAAAATAGTTGACTTGTCAATTTACATTAAATTATGCAGTAATTTTTGATTATCTCATTGTATCGTCTGTGTTCTCCTGGTCTACAGATGAGAATTTTTGGAACATTTATGATCGAAGAAGAAAAATAAGATTGGCTAAGTATAAAGACTAGTATACCTCATAACCTCGCAGTCGGCTCGAGGGCATTGTTACCCGTCCTGAAGATCTCTTCTGGCTTCGATCACCCAGCTGCGTTATTGGTGGTGGAAGTAGATCTGCTTCGTCGTATTCGACCCCCTCTTCCTCCACGCTATCTTCTTCCTCTTGTTCCACATCGTAACTCTGGCTGTGCATGGAGCTTCGGTCAGTCTCTGCCAGCGTACACTCCGCCTGGTATGGCTCTTCGAGCTCAAAGCTACCCTCAAAATCTTCGCTCTCTTCAATTTCTTCCTTGTCGCTGATCGGCTCAGCATCCTCTTCAATTGCCTTCAGCGCTTCATCCTCTTCAACTGCCTCTTGCTTTTCGCTCTCCATTGGTTTCTCCAGGCGGGTCAGTTGCTGTCCGTCCAGTGTGAGCTTTTCTGAGCACATATACATCATCAATTCTTGAATAGTTGCTTCGTTAAGAGAACCTCGACGATAGTGACAAATGTCTCGAGCACTGTTGAAAAGCCTCTCCACACCTGCGCCGGTGGCTGGCACCGAAAGCAAGTCTCGTGCAAGTCGAGAAAGAATAGGGAACTCGCTCTCGTGCTCCTTCCAGTAAATTCGCGGGGATACAGGAACATTCGCTATTAGAAGTCAGTCAGTCGTTCTAGCGCAGTGTGCCAGTCGCTCGTACCCTCTTTAAGATACTAGTCCACTTCATCATACTCTGTTCCTTCATCGAGCATTGATGCATCCAGGGGTTCAAGTAGCCGATCAAGCTCCGAGCTATGTAAAGTGGAAGAGCGCTGCACCGTGCGGAATAACAGCTCAGGGCTCTGCTGCTGATACTGTGTGAAACATGCTCGCAAGTATTCACAGTATCTTTTTGACGTATCTTCATGGCAAGTAGAGTACTCTCTATCATCGAAAGCACTCAGTTTATATTGTGGAGCGAGTAATGCTCCGGTGCCATAGAGAAAACCGTGATCGCGGTAGGTCTTTTCATAGTACTCTTTCAGCTTCTGCCATGCAACGAGCAAAGCGCCATACATGTCCTTCTTCCAAGGTGTTAACTTTCTTTTTAATTTTCGATTCGACCTTTCAATATGCTCCAGAAGCTTCCTGTATACGAGGAACACACTATGGATTGTAACATCTCTGGTCTTCATCAAAGCCATAGTGAACCGAAAGAACGGTTTGGTCAAATGAACCAGGTAGTCGATTTGCCTCCATTCGACATCAGTAACCTTGAACTGCGAGTATTCATGATCACAGCAGTATTTGTTGATGACATTTCTGAGCCGGCGCGCACGGCGAAGCATCAGAAACGTCGATTTCCAGCGTGTTTGAACATCATGCAACGGGAATAGCCGGGTACCACCTGATTGGAGGCACAGAAAGGCATCTCGCCGTTGTGGACTCGCGTTGACAAAAACAGCAAATGATCGAATCTACTTTTATTAGTGCTTCATACACATTGGTAGTCAATCAGAGAGAATCCGGGCTTACTTTAGTTAGAGTGTGAGCCACGTCTCTATGGTTGACCGAATCTTTCAACCTATTCGCTTGGGTGTCAGACCAAAACGTTTTTATCTCTTTGTTCCGGGGTGCTGCTTTGATATGCCCCAAAAGTTGTTTCAGGCAAAGCTGAATCACATGAGCCATACAAGGAACTCGAACTATTGATTCTCTGGAACCAATTGCACCGGTGGAGATCAGTCTCTCTTGCAAGGCTCGTATGAGAGTTTCGTTATTGGCCGCATTATCTGTAGTGACGCTAAAGATACGATCCAGGAGTTTCCGGTCCTTCAGTAGTTGGTGCAAAACATCACTGAGGTTACTCCCAGTGTGAGGTCCATGTAGCGGTTCAAACCCAAGAAGCATTTCTCGATAGTTCCAGTCCTTGTCAATGAAGTATACTGTGATTGCCATGAAGGCCTGCTGGAATGGGCTGGTCCAGCAATCTAGGGCAAGTGATACCTTAGCATTTTCAGGCAGATCTTGTAACTGTGACTCCTGCTGAACCGCAACTACCTCTCGAAGTCGCCGTCGTAGGGTCTTTGCCGACGGGATTTCCAGTTCCCCGGGACCAGAGTGTAAGAGGTTCAACAGTCTTTGGAACACGGGATTCTCCACAGTCTGAAATGGCAGCCGGAGGCAAGTAATAGTTTTCAGCAACTGCTCCTCAAGTTCAGATGTTGTGACTCTTTCTGCGCTAAGTGAAGCACTAGTGGAATGATTTTGCAACGAATCAGAGAGTAAAGTTTGACGGGATCTTCTCTTTTTCCCGCGGCGACAAGTATTGGATTTCTGGTGTCTGCCCATGGCGCTTGTACCATTTTTTCTGTGCTGTGGATGGTCAAGTAAAGTAAGACAGGCTTGACAGAAGACTCGTGGACGCCCAGTATCGATATCAGCTACTTGGTCAAAGTGCTTCCAAACGTTGGCATGACGCGATTCGGTGGACCATTTTATCTGAGATTGACCATCTCCGTTCAGCTTTTGACCGTACTCCGTTGTTTCCCACCATCCTAGGAACTCTCTCTCTAGGCTCGGTTCGTACAAGATCCAATTCTTGATTCGTTGAGGCCCCACACGCCTTAGCGTTCCCGGGGGTCTTCGAGTGATTATATCGTAGCTATTACGAGGTCTAGGGAAAGGCTATAGGCTGTCTTAGCATACCTGTTGGTGGTCTCACAATATTCAGGGGCAGGATATTCTCTCACAGAGGACTGAATGTCAGAGTCCAAGAATGCATCAGATGACGGCTCAATGGAGAGCAGAGGACTGAAAGCCTGATGTAATGATCGCGACGACGAGGAAGAAGAAGCCATACTCAGGAGGCGTGCCATCAGGCGTGGGTATGGATTTTTTCCATTGTGAAAATTTGGAAATTGGACTTTGTTGGGGTCGCGTCGTGCGTTTGGATCTATCTACTTTTGCGACGCGTATGTAAACTTGCGGGTACCCAAAACCCAACCCAACCCAGCCCAGCCCAAAACGGACATGACTTTGTATGGGCGCTGAGAAAGCGCGTGTCGCCAATTTAATTTCTTAATTTCTAAATAATCATCCAGAGTTAGCTCACAAAGCCAGAACTCATTGAATTCTCGTGTATTCATCCGTGTGGCCCTTGATTCCTTGAGGTGTAGAAGTGTTGTGATGGAGGAGGTGGTCCTTGTGCAGGAGATATATATATCCAAACGAACCGCATGCATTGTTTCGATGTAACACACACCTAAAAGCGTGACAGAAATAAATTACCAAAGTTACGATAGGTGACTAATCAGGTTTATCCACGATTTATGCATATTTTTGGGTATTTTGGGCAACCCGCGGGTACCCGCCAAGAACCCACGGGCGGGTTCTGTTGTTTTATTAAGTGATGCTTCAATGGTCATATTATTGAGGGGAGTTGATTGTGTGTTGTGTTAGATGTGTTGTCTAAGATACAAGTAGACCAAGAGACGGAGATACACGTATGCACGTGATCCCAGCCTCATTATCTCAGCAACCGGGATATTTCAACAGGTTCACCAAGGTCAAGACCCGCGGTGGGTTGCCCGTGGGTGGGTAAAGAAAATGAAAACCCAACCCAAACCCGCGCTTGGCGAGGTCTAGCACCAAATAATGACGGGGATAGCTATTTATTTTGAATCGGATCAATGTACAGTGGCACAGCAAAAGTCCGAGACCCACTTACTAACCGCCTTCTTAAGATAGATTAGTTATCGCCAAAACTAGAAGTGATAGACAAAACTATAGTTTATGTTAACTACTAACTAGTTACTTAAGATGGTTACTAATCCATTATGGAAAGGCGGAGACCAAAGCGGTCAACAAGGAGTCTCAGACTTTTGTAAGTCCTCATCGGGAATTACGATGAAACTCAGAAATCAATAGCTCCGCCGATCAGTAGCAGTGCTTAGTAGCGCGATCCCGGGTGAATAACTCCTTGGTTTAACGCCATTGGGCATGTGGGTATGTGGACTGAAAAACTACGTGAGGAGCTGAGGGGGTGATGGTTGGTTCGAATTATTTCATTGAGGTCCATTGGAAACCCCTTAAGATCCACCGGCGGGACACCAGGTAGGATTTTCATACTTTTAGGCATCTTATGTTCGCGGTAGCGGTGAGATCAAATCAAGGATTGTGACAAAGATCGAAAGGCGAGGTTCCATTGCTTCCGCTCTTAGATTGGCAGAAAATCCAGTAGGAATTGCTGAGGGTGTTGTAGTTCAGAGGTATGAATTGTCTTATTGTTCAGAGGGAAACATTAGGCTATATAACGAGAAGAACAAGTTGATTTCCAATCAACTTGGTTCTTCGTATAGATACCTCGGGATTAATTCCGATGGTTCGGCTTGGTTCCTGATCTGCACCAGCCTCATATCACAACAGAGGGGATTGTTTGATTTTTTTTAGTGATTATTAGCCAATCAGAAGTGAAAATGCAAAAGAATGGTCGGTGTACAGAAGCGACGTAAACACAACCCTGGCAAGATCTGGTGTTTTAGAGCTGTCTCAAGTGTGAGATTGGTAGGATTCTCTGTCCGGAATGCACTCCGCGATCTGCGTTGACCCCTTATGAGCCCCGCTTCAGCCAGCCACCAACTGGATCCGCGATAATTGAATGAATAGTCTGTATTCTATACGGAATATTTGTTGGAACGCACTGTGGGCCCTCGTTGCATGCACGAATGATATAGTAAGCTAGTCTGGATTCGAAATGTCTCCCTATGCCGCACTACACCCCGCCCCAGAACATCCTATATGGAGCACTCTTCTCCGGGCCCAGGGAAGACGAAACAATCTTGGATCATACGCCAGGTTCCCTCTAGCAGAGCCGTTGAAAACAATGAATTTAGAGAGACTGAGAGAAATCGAAATGATTGACCCGACCCCGCTCCCACAATCGAGATGGAACCGGACAGGGAAGTCGCAATAGAGAAGGCGGGAGCGACACGATTCATCTCGGACGTGGTGATCTACTCAGATGCCTCGGGACGACAGGGTCATCTGGGAGCTGCAGCCTTCGTGATCGACAAGAGGCAACAGATAACTGACAGGATACAAATCCAGGTGGGCAATATGGACCACTGGTCGGTTCATGCCGCTGAGCTGATTGGGATCCTATATGCGATCAACATCATCAATCAAGTCGCGGTTCGACGCTGGACAGCATCGCAAACGCGGGTGAGATCCGCCATGATCTTCAGCGACAGTATGTCAGCATTGCAAGCCATTCAGAAACCGGGGAACAAGTCGGGACAATAGATCATCCACGCCATTCTCCAAGCAGCCAAGAACATCAAGATCCACGGCATACGTGCCACGCCCACACTGAGAGTAACATCAGCGGCTACGTTCGAGGTCAACAAGCGCGTCTTCTCCACAATGTATCACAAACCGACCTGGCATCTTTCGAATAACAATTGGGCTATTGAGACTATCGCGGCCGTCGACTGGCCGTACTTGCGAGGCTGCTTCTGCTGGCGAGTCGTGCCCCTCGGTGGTGACATCATGGAGGCATTCGGTCGGCTTGCGGCTGCATTGAGCATAGCATCAGGAAAATATAGCCAACTTCATTACAGCGCTTTGACAACATGGTTAGTTGCCTTCCAAATTATTCTGGTGATGAGAACGTACTTGCCAGCTTCGTTCATGAATAGGCCATTGTGGCAGCTTTGAATCGCCGTCTGCATTGGGACACAGCCAAAGCAATTTGTTGTAGGATACATTCGATCTAGCACCAATGATTAGCAGTGGGCGCAAGGTGGTCGCTCGCAACCCACCGTGCTTGTGGCCTAGATAAGATCCCCTAATACTAGCCGCGACCAGCACCCCGACCGGAATCGTGGGAACGGCGGAACCAGGGGCTGTTTTTCACTGACTCTCCGTGTCAGCGTGATTTCTGGTGACTGAGGGTGGTAGAGACTTGCCGTCAGTGTGGTCTGGCATTGGCATAGGCAAACCAGAGACGAGGCAGCGGGCTCGGCCGGATCACAGGTGCACGAGGGCCCCGGGATCAAATCTAGATTGCGGGGAATGGATGGTGGCTAAATCTGCCAATGCATAGCTGTTTCGCCCTTGCTGTTCGTGCGCTAGGCAGATCTTCAACCATGTCAAGAGAAAGTTTCACTGGAGGAGGGATCCATGGTCTTTGGTCCGGGGAAAACCATGAACTGACCTGAAAACGACTGCTGTCGCGGTTAGAGATCTGGGATACATCCAGTGCTGCGGCCTGGCTTATCGCTTGCTCAGCTGCAATCAGGGCTTGACAAAGTTGGCTTCAGCCTGTGACCAGAAACTCGATTCATTTCTGATTTATATTATTCTCGGAGAAATCGGGGTCTTTCTCGACGGCCGTCGATGCTAGGTTTCTTTTCGGTGCCGCCGAACGCTGCGATAGCTCACTCGATTTAGCATGGAGCCCGACCATGCCGTCGCCGGAACTTTGAATCGGCAATGGGAAAAGAGATGCGGAGCCGTCTGAATACGAAAGATTCCTAGCACAGCGACAGTTGACATGTGGTCGGACAGTTGGGGCTGGGAAAGGTGCGGCTCGGTGGTGGCGAAAGACCTCTTGGCGTTTCAAAGCCGAGCCAGTCGTAATACGACGAATGAATGCTTGACCTTCCACTGAAGTAATATCATCTTCTTATGTTACTAGAGCTCGAGTATGCGAATAAATTGCGCCCTGAGCAGGCCGAATTGGGTAATTAGGATCAAAGGCCTCCAACAACAGCTGTTGGCGAAGAAGCAAAGATACCAGAGAAAAGTCTGAAAATAACAATGGCCGCAAAATTGGGCGCAACAGCACAAGCGAGACTGAAGATTATATATCCTGCGAATGTCCATATCATCACCGGGCGCCTGCCATACGTCTCCGATAATGGACCGAAAAGGATAGGCCCGAGAATATATCCGATCAAGTAAGTAGTGATTGGCAGTACGAGCCTCTGCTGGTCTGTTATACTAAAATCGGCAGCGATGAAGTCGATGGCGCCGCTAGGAAGGGCGGAGCCAAGAGTACTATTCAGGACTATCACCAAGCCAGTGATGAAGACAAAAAGCTTTTTTTTCTATCAAGTTGGCATGTTAGCTTATTTAATTGCGCAGGGGGGGTAATATTTTACTGTTGTCCAACTGTATGGATTAAGATTGGATTCGTCAATCATACTGGCGGAGTGGTCAGAGCTATGTTGTAGCATTTCAGACAAAGTATAATTATTCATATCCAGAGCACCTGTCTTTTCACAAAGATATTAGAAATACTAACGTAGTGACAGCCCGCCCGATATCGGTGTCTAAAAAACTTTCAATGCTTCAAAAGGCGTCAATGCTCGAGACCCGCCGATCTCGGCCCCACCGACCCTCGTATAGTTTTTTTATTTAGGTTTTGGCTAATAGCGGCCCGCAACGGACATCCGGCGGTCCACACCCTAAACCCCTAGAGCACGTCATCGGCTCATTCCCAAGGCTCCGATATCGGAGCTGCACATGACTCGCAATGTCTGAGATGGCCTTATAATACTACTGGACCCCCGGCCCTGTTGTGTTCTGTAAAACCAAGAAAGAACCGAGAGAGCATGGCGGAGCAGCAAAAGCAGAAAGACATCTGGTCAGCCGACCTTTACGGCGAAAAGGTGGCTCCATTTGTTGCAACTTCGACTGAGAAGGTACTTGCCTGGTTGGACCCGAAACCAACAGGTAAGTCTTTAGATGACGATGGCCAGACTTTAATAACAATATAGATGAAATTCTTGATATCGGCTCTGGGGAAGGGCCTTTGACAGCCTGCATAGCCCCCCCATGTCAAAAGAATCGTAGGGATCGACGGCTCACCCAACATGATCGAGCACTTCAAAAAGGCCTACCCACATATCGAGTCGAGGGTTGTCGATTGCAGATGGTTAGATCAAGAGCCCGGCCTTACAAACGGGAGTTTCAACAAAGTATTTTCGAACGCTGCCTTGCATTGGATTCTGAGAGACCCCGAAACCAGGTCAAATACTATAAAGGGCTGCTTCAAGGCTCTCAAACCAGGTGGTCTTCTGGTCAATGAGTCCGGTGCGCTGGGAAATGTTGCCGAGGTCCACTCCGCAATTATAAGTGGATTAGTCACTCAAGGTATCCCTGTCACGCAGGCGCGAAAAGCATCACCTTGGTGGTTCCCATCGCTGCAGGCCATGAAGGACCTTGTTGAAGGAGCGGGTTTTACCTGGGTCAAGGGCGAGGTCCAACTGAGACAGACAACTTTGACTGAGAACGAGAAGGGTGGCGTCGAAGGATGGTGGGTCTGACACCAATGTTTCATTGTCTAGCCGGCTGATGGTGTATAGGATTCGTCTTTTTGGTGAGCCCTTTCTTGAACTCCTTCCGACGACTCAAGCACGCGACGCAGCTATCAAACATGCCGTTGATGTCCTCGAGGCTGTTGGAAGACAGCAACACGATGGTTCTTTTACAGTAAACTACATTCGCCTTCGCTTCGTTGCCCAGAAACCTGAGTGATATGCAGTGGGATATCCTAACTATCAGGAATGCCTCGTGGTAATCATGAGTCCAAAGATACGGAAAATTCACGTCACTCGGTGAAAAAGATAGGTTCTTTTGCACGAGTCCCAGCCGGAAGACGTTAGAGAAGAATATTTGGTATCGAATCAATGAATTTTCTCAATATGAACAGAGCAAAGTTGTGACATCTGGGAGCGCCATCATCTTGGTCACATCAACCATTGTAGTTATGAGTAGACAACGTTTTCTCAGAACATGGGAAGTACTATTATTTTGGTTTTGTGATTATCTATTATAGCTGACAGCGCCGATTCTATTCAGGGGCGTAGTTGGTTGTTCCTTCGTCGGGAAGATCTCGCTCATGAAGTCTCCACAGCTACAATATTAGATAGCAGTAATTGCCGAATCCTTTCCCGAGGATTTACCATCTCTACGCCACATAGTACAGTAAGCCATGTTATTTGGATTCAGTCATAGCGTCGCGTGGTTTGAGGTGCATCGAAGTGGCCAGCTCGATTTCCATAATTAAAAACCTGATAAGGCAAATTGTAAGATCTCGGAGGCCCTAGAAAAGGGGAGCTTATGTACCGTCAGCAACACTGCAAGACAAGGGTTTCGGAATGAAGAGATTCGGGCTGCTTCGGTCAGGCCCGAAAGAATAAATCTCAGCAATTGAGCAGAGGTGATGGATCATTACACCCAGGCATTCCTATCATTAAGTCCTGTCCTCCTTCCAAAACTCACTCTGGTCGCTTTGGGGATCAAACCGTCAGCTTACTGTACCATCCACCAAGTAGCTACTTTCTCTGCAAATTTGTTCTATGACAGGCATCTGATTTGTTGAGTATCACGGTGGTCAAAGCATGTGGTGGGGATCATCAAGAGACGGATAAATAGATGAGGAGCCCCACCTCCAACAAGATAGTCAACTTAACCAATCCAACATACCTATCTCAGCATGATTGGATACCTAGGAAAGGACTTCAAAAGAGTCACTGAAGTTCTCTGGTCAAAGCCTGAAACGAATCGTGGTCACAGAAATATTTCATGTTAAAGCGTGGCAGGAAATGTTGGACGTAAAGTTGGAAGTGTTGTATGTGATTGTGTTTCATGTTGATATAAACTTATGCAAAGCAGATAGCCTAAGATTTGAATCAAATATGCTGCACTGGGGGTCGACAAATCGCATCTCTAGTCTTTGAATTCGAATCCGGCGGAATAGTGGGAAGATATTCGACTGCATCCAGAGCTATGAAATCGGAAGCATGCTTTACAAGATTCAAGTAGTTTTCTCATGGTAAGTATCGAAAAGTTAGATGGACATTGCTCATTCCACGGCTATGATAAAGCCTACGCAGCCTGTTCAAGACCCCGCTGTTCTTTGGTCATTTTGAGAAAATGTTTCCACAGTCGCCAAGGTTTTAAACTCCGGCCTGACTACTGAGACTACAAAAAAGCCTGTGGTTTTTTGGATAGCATCAGCTTCATTCCAGGTGATTAATCATTGAAGTCTCAACGGCATACTGTTGACTGAATCGTAAATAAATGGTTAATCTTAGTATCCCACCATTAATGCATGGTTTATTTTGGGGGGGTCCTCTCTATTTAGTTACCTCCGGTCAAATTGTCTTGATTCTCTTTGCAAAGTGCGATCTGCCTATACAGACCTTGGGTCGCTAGCTTCCCCTTGCACGGTCCGAAGGAAATGCTGTCCTGAACGTCTCTGGTCTTGAAAATCACGAAGAACTGGACTATGATAGCAAGCCATTATTTAGCGACTCGAAGCCTGACTTCAACCACTTCTTCAAAAGACCAATTGGTATGTGCTGGATCATTCTAGCGATTGTGAATGAGAATTCTAAGATTCAACAAGATAAGACTCATTTTACGGACCACAACTCCTCTCAAGTATCTCTGGACAGATTCCCTTTCAATTTAACAGAGGAGCTTTTCTGGAAGTGGAAGCAGTTGAGTTTCTTTGGCCAGAACATTAATACTACCTTACAGTCCACTGCCATGCCACTGGATCATCCTTCAATCCGGCCTAACAGGGCAGGCAAATTCAACGCCCCTGAGAATGGAAGTTTTATTAGGCATCCTCCAGCACACTTCACGGATCTGAAGCCGGAGGAATATCAGGTGGGGTTTCTTCATACAGAAAACCTTACAGATATGAAGATCATTCTCCTTGGGCTACCCGAATGAAAAAGACCCTCCAAAGTCCGGGAAAGCATGCTTCGTTTTGAGAACTTGCTGGTCAGGAAAAGGTTTCCATTCTTCTATAATTGGTCAACCGAGTACTGGATCTCAGATACGGTCATTCTCGATCCACGGTCAACCGACGACATTGAGATGATCAGTAAGGGGAAACGGACGGCAAGTAGTCAAGATTTGAGGTACCTTTGCGCTGGCCTTCCATCAACCACGATAGGACCTCTTTTCAATACGCTTGTGACCTCAGGGAATGCAGACCCAGCCTGCTTTGAGTATTCGATGGGGCTCATTTGGATTCATGCGTCGATAGATCCGAAGAACTTCAAGATAGAGCTTGACACCTCTATCGATACGTCTTGCGATCGCGTTGCTTACATGCTACAACAGATGAGAGAGAGGTTATGGTTGGTTCAGGCAAAGCTAGCGATCAAGCTCGAGAGGTCCAGCAGGGTGAAAGCCGCTATCTCGGTTCAGGTTTTGGGCGTTTCTCAAGTTCGCGTCACTTCTACTCATAAACCAATCACTCATCAGTAGGGTGTGTTTCAGAGCCAGGTGCCATACCTTTTGCCTGGGCCATGCTATTTGTGTCAAACTATCTTCCCAAATTCCATCATCTTCCAATAATTACGTCATTCACGTCCCGTTGCCGCCGTATCGGAAAGGCTTACCAAAGGGACGAATTGGTATATAGACTCGGCCACTGAGCAAAGATTTACCTCCGTGTAATACGTAACATCGACTGACTCGGTGGGTAGGTATATTCATAAAAGGTCCATTTGCAAGGCCTTTGCTGTTCTCGCAGAAGACAAATTAATTGCCTATCCCCAATTCAAAACACAACAGGAGTCCTGGTCCGAGCATTGTAAAATTGGTAATCGTAAGAATGGCAAGTGTGTATTCAACGTAAGAGAATCCATTGGACGCGTGCTCCGCGAATTCCCGCACCATGAACGTCCTTAGAGGCCCCCAAAGCCCGTCGAATTTCACCGCCTCTGCGACTGCCGGGTCCGCACCGTCTTCTGCCCCGGCCCATCTGGCGTATCAGTCATATCGCTCTTCATCCGCTCCTCTGCTTCCGCCTCGACAGCCTCCAGCCGGTGGAGAAGGTCTGCCAGGTCCCTGCGGAGATCCTTGATACACTTATTTTGGTCCGCCAATTTACACCCTAGGGATCTGGCCTTAGGTTAGCCCTTTGTTCATTGCTTGGAGGAAATGCAAAACTCACTTCACCCGCACGTCTAGTCTTGAAGTATGATCTATTAGTAAACACTTTGCTTTCACGATAAAGGGTGACTCGGACTAACTCTGCGAGGCATGTGAGGGTAAGGACGTTGCTATCTCTGGGCTGAGATACGTGTCCGCCGTATTGAGGACTCGGAAGCACCCTGCGATCGTGGGTACTGGGAGGATCGCCCTGTTGCGGAACAGCTTTGTCGTTCTTGTTCGAGGGGGTCGATGGCTCTTCCTCGGTAGTGTCTCTAGACAGAGATCGGGATGGGCTTGGGCTGTATTCGGACTCCGAGGATGACAAGGACAGTGCGCGCTGCAATCGTCGTCCCAAGTCTGGCATCTGCCGGGTGCGTGGCATTTTTCGAATGGCTCCCATAGTCGCGTATCGAATCAAGCGGGGTGTTGCCGTCAAATAGACCTGTTTGAAAATTATGACGGGAGTGGCTCTTAAATGATTCGTGACGGGTGTGACACTCTATATGTGTGAAAATAGATCCGGCGAGAAAATGGCCGCAGTGGAAGAGGCCATCCCCCCTGAGCCCCGGCCCGCCATATCTGGCCTCACATCGTGAAATTCAAAGCGGGGCGCAATAAACATTTGACCACACTTCAACGGAGTTTCAACGGGACAAACATTGACTAACAAGCCATCTGCACGAAGTAAACGTCCCAATGCGCGGCTTGCAGAAAGTTGGATTCGTGGTTGGAATTGCAAGTCAGCGCCCAGCGATTGGTGCAGCAAAGCTGTCACTTTCAATGTGTCCTACTAGCAAAGATTCATCTGCGTGCACATCGGGCTGGATAATCTTGTAACATTCTAGCAGGGGTCAATCGAACTGATAATTTAATTAAAGATTCGTTGATTCAGTGCCTATATCAGATAATAAGTGAGGAAGGGTAGTTGCACGTCCAAAATTGGGAGCACGCATCGAGGCAGCTACGATGGCAATGTCTACAAACACAAGTTCGAGGCTATGAGCAGTCGATTTGCCAGAGTCAGCCCATTCTTTCGAAATTACCAGCCAAGTTGAAAGTCATTTGACCTTTGTCAAGTTGAGGCATTTTATTTATCAGGTCTAGACCCAGGGGGGGGCCAAGGGTCCAGGTGGGGCGTACCACTCCACCCGCTCTCTCCGCCCCGAACTCTTGAAATTTCTTATTTCAACGTTGATAAACCGCCTCAACACCCAGCAAAAAGGCGGTCGCTCGGTGCGAATTTCGAATGAAGATCTCTGAGTCCGACAAAATGTACGCAAGTGGTCGCTGCAGGAAACCCTACTCAGAATGACATAAAAGACGCTCTTTTCCCGTCGAAAAGAAAAGCAGGACTTTCCCCCTCACACTCCCAAGCCACTCGGGTGTTCTTCGCAGGATAAGCTCTGCGTTACCAAGTGTGCTTCGCAGGATAAGCTCTGCGTTACCAAGTGTGCTTCGCAGGATAAGCTCTGCGTTACCAAGTGTTCTTCGCAGGATAAGCTCTGCGTTACCAAGTGTGCTTCGCAGGATAAGCTCTGCGTTACCAAGGGAGACCCGCAGGAGAGTGCTGCGACACC